CGCCGACTTTCGTAGTTCTGTCGACCAGCTGGGGGAACAAACTCCGCTACGAGCCGAGCAACTAGATTACTATGTATAGGTATTCGTACTGTCATAAGCTTTCGCGTTACCCTTTAAACTTCTATAATACGATTAACTATTCCAATTTTTCATCCGTCTATTATTTACAGTCACCTCCATTCACAGGCACTTTTGGCTTGTTTATGTATAATTGTTTATGATTTGATGTGGTTTAGCATGTTTGTATACAAACTACATCTGCTTAAATTATAAAAATAGCAGAAGTTGGTTGCTGACTTTTGAACTCAAGGCAGGGTAGAGAGAGAGAGAGAGAGAGATTTTCGCGAATATATGGTGAGTAAATAAACGGGTGAGTAAGAACCAAGCTGTTGGTCAATAATAGTGTTGGCCAGTTATATGCTTGGTCAATTTGTGGACACTACGCTATCGAGGGAATAGTAGATGCGAATAGATCAAATTAGAATTAGGATTTCAATTGGCGGCTAGACACGGTTTCAAGACGTATGTGACGCATAAGAAGTAGAATCGATGCATACCTGTACTAGATAATAATAATAATATGCCATTATTGATGAAGTTAGAAGGACTGAAGATAAGGGACTATCTACTCAAGATTAAATTGAACAGTACAAAGTGCATGGATATATTGTTTACTTACTCAATATCGCCGGACTTTGACATAAAATTATTCTTATCAAAAACAGTGCAAAACCATATAGTCAGATACTTAAGAATGATGAACTCAAGTCACAGGCCTAGCAAAACACTAACAAAACTGATTACAAAATCATGTAACTCATTTGTTTAGCCAGGTAAGATTACAGCTGAGTCAAGTAATTCTTTATATCATTTTTTATCGGTAGTGTTTTCTTTTTTATGTAAACAATTTATTGATTGGTCAAAAAACGCAATATTTTATCAGTAAACATACAATAATAAATTATGATACTTTCATCTTGAACAATGTTCCAATGAATAAACTGATCATTTAACTTACATCAGTGATTACAGTTGTAATGTAGTCAACTATGTAGCAAGCAACATCAATAACTAGATACACATTTAGACATTAAACTAAGATACATATAGATTTAGTCTGAAGTTTAATCACAGACTACTGACTAGATTAAATGTGATTCAATTCAATGAGAGCATTGTTTGCTTTGATAATCAACTATGGAGTGACAAACCTTATGTCATATTTCATTGGATTTAGTTTAGTGGAATGTAGAACTTCGTACCGACCGAAGCTGCTACCTTGACGTGGTGGTCGGGCTTGCCTATCGTGATGACTCAACCGAGCTATATTGGGTGGAACTTATGTTCCTGCAGGTCCTACCATGCCAGGCTGGTCGATTGGAGAACGATGAGACTAAAAGCAGCTACCCAACGTCTGAGGGCGAAGTCGTACTGCTGACTGCAGAGGGGTGTGACAGCAGTAAGGTGTTTCCCTCGGACAACCAGCATCTGCAGCGATGCTGCCTTCTCACAAGGAAGGAAGGGTTAGAAAAGGTCGGCCCTAAAAATGTCACACTCCCCCTAACTCACGGATTTCCGTCTCCTTGGGTAAGGGTGCCCACTAAGGGCCTTTAAGAACGGAGCTAATCCTCTAAATACCTCTCATAAAAAGGCCGTACGTGACCGGCCTCAAGCAGTTGTCCCTTGGACTCTGCGGTCACGCACAAACACTAATCCATCTTCCTTTTCAGGTTCGTCAAGAAACAACCTTCCACGGTGTGGGCAGCCGGGAAGTGACAACCGCCCTCATACCCGCAACAGCACACGAGACAAAATTGTTCAAAATCAAATCCTTCCTACATTCCCTAATACCTCTCTTATCTCCACAACTAACTCTTCTCACATTCATTTATTACAGTGCACAGCTAATGCAAACGATGCGAGTTTGCGAAACGTCGTTCCTGGTCTCCTCAAACCCCGTGCCATACTACATGTTGGAGCATTCAATGTACGGACGTTGTGTCAAATAGGGCAACAGGCATCATTAGCTAGTACTTTAGAATCTCGTTCCATCGATGTGTGCTGCGTCTCGGAAACGCGCATACAGGATTCGAGTAGCATCACTCATTTGACCTCACCATGTCAAGATAAAGAAGCAGCTCGATTTACCCTTCGTGTATCCGGTAGCCCTGATGCTGCTTCTAGGGGCCTCGCCGGTGTAGGTATAGCATTGAGTCGTAGGGCAGAACAATCTCTCCTAGACTGGATCCCTGTAGATAGTCGCTTGTGCGCTGTCCGACTGAACGGGACAGTAAGGACTCGGAAAGATAGGGACACTCGCCGTTGCCTCTTCGTCATATCAGCCTACGCCCCCACTGACTGCAGCCCAGATGATGTAAAAGATGAGTTTTACAGAAAGCTTTCGGACCTCCTCCAAAAAGTTAAGCGCTCTGATATAGTTATAATGGCTGGTGACTTCAATGCACAAGTAGGTAGACTAAGTGAAAATGAAAGACACCTAGGTGGATGTTACGGTCTCGCGGCTCAGAGAACAGACAATGGTGACCGTCTGTTGCAACTGTGCTCAGATAACCAACTATTTCTAGCAAACACTAATTTTAAGCATAAGGAAAAACACCTTTTGACCTGGCGACCCCCGAAGTCGTCTCAACGTTGGACTCAACTAGATCACATCGCCATCAGCCACCGATGGAGGGGTTCGATAGAGGACTGTCGCTCGTTCTGGGGCACATGTTTGGATCCAGATCATGCTCTAGTGCGAGCTCGTATCTGTTTAAGGCTTACTGGACGTAGGAAAGACACCGTAAGAAAGCCTCTTAGGGTTTTACTTAATGATAATCAAACCAAGAAAATATTTCAGGAGCTACTAGAAAGAGAGTTAAGCAACCATGCAAGCGATTCCCATCCAGAAGCAGGTTGGTATGATATCAAAAAGGCTGTGGAAACAGCAGTGATATCTGCTAGTAAGGTAAACCATGAGGCTAGGATGAAGCCGTGGATTTCAGCCGCATCCACCGAACTGATGGATGCTCGAAAACGCATCCCACCTGACTCTGAGCATGATGAAGAGCGTAGTCAGCTTAGGCGCAGACTTATAAAAAGTCTGCGTAACGACCGCGAACAGTGGTGGGTGGCGAAAGCAAAAGCGATGGAAAAGGCAGCGGCGATAGGCAACACTAGACAACTTTTCCGCCTTATTAAAGAAACCGGTATTAAGAACCCGAATGTAAGTGAGACTATCTCGGAAAAGGATGGTCTTATTATCCATTCTCAATCCAGGAGACTGGATCGATGGGCAGAACACTTTAGGGATCAGTTCAACTGGCCACGAGCCACTCTTCAGTTACCCACGATCTCCAGTCATCCTGAATGGCAAATCGACCTAAGTCCCCCTAGTCTTAATGACGTTGAGAAAGCGTTAGGAAATCTGAAACGAGGACGAGCTGCAGGTCCTGATAGACTGACCCCTGAGATATTCAGGGATGGTGGTCCAGTTTTAGCAGCTAGATTGACTGAGATCTTAGGTAAAATCTGGGAACTGGACGTAATCCCATCCGACTGGTCTCAATCCTTGATTGTCCCAATCTATAAGAAAGGACAAAAGTCTTCTTGTGACAATCACAGAGGAATAAGTCTAACTAATATAGTATCTAAAATACTGGCCTCAATAATACTTCGACGCTTAACGAAAGCTCGTGAAGAGCAGACTCGAGAAAACCAGGCTGGTTTTCGACCTGGACGTGGCTGTATAGACCACGTCTTCACACTCAGACAGGTCCTGGAACATAGACACACATTTAGGCGTCCTACAATAGTTGTTTTCCTAGACCTTAAGGCGGCATTTGACTCAGTGGATCGTGAGGTTCTGTGGCAGTGTCTGTCATTGAAAGGTGTACCACAGAAGTACATTAACCTTATACAAGCTCTTTACTCGAACACCACTGGTCGGGTGAGGGCTTATGGCGAACTGTCACCGGAATTCTCTACATCAAGTGGTGTCCGTCAGGGATGTCCACTTTCTCCATTCTTGTTTAATTTTATCATAGACATGCTCCTAGAGTTAACATTATCCTCGTCTGAATTTTCAGGAGTAGACCTTCTTCCAGGTGGCTCGCTTATTGACTTAGAATATGCCGATGACATAGTCCTACTTGGTGAAGACGCTGACAAAATGCAGCGTCTTCTGACTACCCTAAGCAACAATGCAAGCATGTTCGGGATGCGGTTTTCCCCCGTCGAAATGCAAAATGTTGCTTCAAGACTGGGTTGCATCGGCACCTGAACTAGTGATAGGGAGTGAAGTAGTCGAGCGAGTAGACCGATTCACTTATCTCGGGAGTCTCATCAGTGCCGATGGCCTGGTGAGTGACGAAATCTCAGCACGAATACAGAAGGCTCGATTGGCTTTTGCCAACCTGCGTCACTTATGGCGTAGGCGAGATATCCGTTTGCTGACTAAAGGACGAGTGTACTGCGCAGTAGTTCGCTCCGTCTTACTTTATGGCTGTGAAACATGGCCGTTAAGAGTAGAAGATGTTCGTAGGTTACTAGTATTCGATCATAGATGTTTAAGAAGCATTGCTCGTATATCGTGGGACAGCCGAGTGAGCAACGCTGTTATTAGGAATCGGGTGCTAGGTAAGAATGGCAGATCAATCGATGAAGTATTGAAACTTCACCAGTTGAGGTGGTTGGGACATGTGTTGCGTATGCCGAACCACCGGCTGCCTCGTCGAGCCTTGTTTTGTAGTGTGGGAATAGGTTGGAAGAAAGCTAGGGGCGGCCAAACCAAAACATGGCAGAAATCCATGAAGTCACTGACAAGTGGACTTAGCCATGTCGGTAATTGTCGACTACCTGGTTGGTGTCCGCGAGATGATAATAATCGATGGTTAGAGACCTTGAATGACATGGCTCAAAATCGTTCGCAATGGCGCCGGTGCATTTATTCTCTGTGTTCTCTCAAATGCTAATCTTCTGGATTCTTCAACACCTCTAGTTTCGACTCTCTAAACTTTTCTCACTGAATCATACTTCTTGAGTAGTATCTTCTAATCCTAACCTCTCCGATTATTTCTAATTCCCTTACTACCTCTTCTACTATTGGATTTGAATTGACAATTACTTCTCTGTGCTGATGTGGTATGGCAACATGAACTGATGTACTTATGTACAAAGTTCTACGTTGCGTCTGACTGACTGACTGATAGGTCATATCCATGTTGGAGGGCGGGTAGGCGTACTGCTGTAAGTCCTACACGTTCTTCCGGAGTGGATTAGGGGATGAGTGGGAACCCTAAATTGAAGTGTCATTAAACGCTTGCTTTTTTGCATGGAGGGATTTTGCGGGCCGGTGTAGAATCCCTTTTGAATGTTTTGTTTTTTGGAAAATCCCTCCATGTTTACATATTTTTGTTATGACATGACGGACTTTTTCTGTTGACATTTTGGTATTTTATTTGATTCCAATTTGAGATTTTATCATTGCATATTGTTATTATTTCTATATTTTGTACTTATATTGAAGTTTTTATGTTTGCTTCTGAACTGTATATATGTTGTTTAAATTTGATCTTTAATATGGCCACAGCCATATTTGGATTGATACTGTGGCGGTTGGATTTTAAATCACTTAGTCCCTCTAATCTTGGATACTCCTCGGAGTAATTGTGACTTGGAAAGTGCATCAACTTCAGACCGTTTTCTCCTAGAATTGTTGTGTTTTTTGGACATTGGACTAGGAGATACGCGTTCGGATTGCACTTACTGGAAACCATTTGAACTGCTACGGTAGAAAATCCAATTATAGCCAATGATAATTCCGATTTCCGCGCTATGTAGATAAGTTTAATTTGTAATGAAGATTGTGTGAGATGAACGATGTGTAAGCGAATGAGGGGAAACAAGGATTATGAACGAGATAGAATTATTTAATGATCTGATGAAATGATATTAAAGTTTCGAAACATTCAACAGGTAGAGCTAGTTCAAACCGAAAATGATAATCCCTTTTATGTGAGTATTTTTCAAGTCTCTTCTTAAAGCCATCCACTGTGGGGGCCGTAGTTACTTCGGGAAGGAGAACATTCCTAGTTACGAATACTCGTAATGAGAAAAAATAAGAACATACTAGGGTGTTTACCCGTTTATATGTAATTTTTCGAGGGTTACCTAGAAGAGCGTAGTGGCTATGGTGGAAACTGATTTAAGTCCAGTAAATGCCTGAACACGTTATGCAGCAACGACCCAAAATGTTCTGCACACTGTTTTAAGACTATACGGCGAATATTGTCACATCCCGGTGACTTTCTTGGGCACAATGATTTCAATTTTCTTAGTATCATTTATGTTGGGTATTCCCTAGGCCATCGGCTAGGTCTGAGTATTACTCTGAACTTATGGTTGCCAGGTTTAAGCTATCGGTGAAGTTGTCGTTAAAGATTTCGGTCATCTTTAAGTTAGTGAAGTCTTCGCCATTCAGACCTTTGAGATCACAAACACTCTGGTTCGCGGACTCTATTTTAGTTATGAAACTGGAAGATATTTTGAACCTTTAGTCTAAGACCTTGTTAAATATTACCGGGGCACGGTCAGTACTTCCTACTGGTGTGTGAATATGGACACCCGTGACCAGGGACTGATCAATTGTTAATATATAATCAAAGTTTGAGAGGTTTGCACCTTTGCGTTGCATGCATTCTCAGTCAGTCCGGAACGGCTAATGGCTGTTAAAAGTCGCTTTAAGATCAGCCTTTGGAAGTTGTATCCTGTTTGCTGAGATAAGAGTATTTGATCAAACCCAAAGAATGGTAGTTGCGATATTGCCTGTCTTGATATGTCTTTCTGGGCTCTGGTGCTTAAGCAGGGCCGGTAACTCCTATACATCAAGTATTTTGTACCATTTGTGCTGAAGCAATACCAGTATGATTGTGCCACTTCGATTAGTTGAATGTATCTGATCTTATCGGTAGAATGTCATGCACATTAACATCAGCACTGTTGGGGGACGTCCATGATTCGAGTACGATTATGATCTTCACATCCATCTAAGAGCACACATTTCTGAACTTTAACTGTTTACCCTTCGGTCCTCTTACGTTGCTATGATAGCAATCACCACCACCTGGTGCACCTCTACAGCAAGAGGAGTTGTCAGATTTTGAAACAAGTTGTTTAAACCGAGATGGCAAGTTGTGTATGAACTAGTGGTTGCAGATTTTTTGCTTGTATAGTACATCTACTCGACGAGATGACGATCTCCATATCCTGTGCCTTGGATTGTCTATCGCGGTAGATTGACGTTATTGTGTGTTGATTTTGGCCTTTCTGTTGTTGTCTATCTGATCTAGGTCGATTGTTACGAAATCTAAAGTGACTAGAGAGATGGTTATTCATTCTGATTGGAGCTTGAAGCGCCTCAGTAAGGTATGAAGACCAATTCTACGCTATGGTAACCCTCATTATTGCATATCATAAGCGTAAGCTTTATTCAAGGCACTAACAACCACCTCAGGTACTCCGTGAACTAGAATGGTGGTTTTCTCTTGAGATCCATCTGATATTACGACAGCAGCCCATACTGACCATGTTTTTTCGTGCATGATTCAAATCAAAGAGTCAGCTTAAACTATGGTCTCTAAGGTGTTAGAAAGATTTCTTCAGCAACTTATGTCACGTCTAAAGTTACCCTCGATGGACGGAGTTTCCCTCTAGCTACATTCGGACCCCTGAAAAGTTGATATAGTTTGGGCGGGTTGCTACCCATTTCAACTAGTGAGAAGTATTTATCTCACTGTTTCTTGTAAAAAAGGCTCTACTTCCCACTAAGATACACTCTGACAATAAGACATGAAGTTAGTGAATTTCATGTAACGTCCCCGTTCCTGATACGTGGCTTTATTCTAACCCATGGTATTGCGTCATCACAGAGACAGTGAAGCCATCCTCTGCATAAGCTAAATGCAAATGCATTGTTGCTAGAAACGGGCAGTCTAAACCACTGCTGTGTTGTTCTTTCTAAACAGCAGGCTACATCACTACAGTTTTAGGAAACCTTTTTCTCCTATCATGAAAGTGTATGAAGCAACTAGGAAAAGGCAAATGATCAAGTTTGCTAGACCTACCACCTTGGTTGGATTACGTTTTTCTGACTTTTTACTAAGACTAACAATAAGGACGACAAAGTTTGTATCCTCAAGAATGTTTAAATGTCCCAATCTGGTATCAACAGCTGGACTGTTTCCTGTTAATGATGACTCGTCAACAAAGATATTTCGATTTCGAAGGGCGCATGTGAGATATGGTTGTGAGAATCGTGAATGTAAGTGTTCCAAAAAACAGTTGGCTTTATTTGACTTTTGAGAAAGAGTTAATCAAGATAGCATGGCTTAGTCACACAGGAGCGGCCATGCTTAGTGTCCTCTTCTGATAATTATTCGCTTATTCTCTTCCCAGGCCCATGTAATCCTTTGAAATTCCTAAGACGCATACAGTGAACAGTGAAGCGTCGGTGAATGTTAAATCTTCTGTGCAAGTTAAACCAGACGACGAGTCAAATATCGAACGAAACATACGTCCTGTATCTCATTGCCGGTCGGTATCGCTAAGCTGAGAATAAGTTGAGGACACTACGGATGTTCATTATTACTCGTTAAACCTGTATAATAGGGGATTTTGAAGTCAGCCTAATCAGAAGCTTGAAATGAGGGAATGGAAAATATTTTTTGTAGATGGTCGAAATATAAGATCCAAGCTTACTAATTAATGTAAAATGTATACCACTTGATGTGCTCAGACTTGAGCCTGAGCAAATACTTGACTGAGCGCTGTCATCTAGGGATTCACTCAAAAAACATCCATGATGAAGACATATGGAATCATTCATTCTGAGGACTTTTTTCCTGCTACAGGGTTAACAAGCTTCGTGACAGCAAAAACGATAACTACTGGTTAGGTGAAGTCTTTAAAGTGATTCCTGACAGCAAGAAGAGAAAATGGATAAGAGGCTTCCATAATACGACCAGTGAACATCCTATCCCTTCCAACTGGAATTAATAGTTCACTGCTACTCATACCAAAAATATTTTACATTGGATTGAGAGCAGTTTTCTGTCTCATCGATGTAAACCTTCAGTATCAAATGTGTTTATAGACATTATACTACCTGATCGCCGTACTAAGGATACTCGACAGCCCGAACATTTTTATCTGTTTACCATTCAGTTGTGTTGCCTAATCTGCCTAATTTGTCTGTCAAGGTCATCTATGGAAACAGTTCTTAAGGGTATGAAGTCTAATTATTTTTGTGTTTATAGACAGGAGTGGTAGCATACATTGATGTCAAGTCATCATTTGGAAACCCAGCAATCGCTCTTAGTGGGAGTCTTGAATCTTTGGGGGCTAGAGTCTCCCATTCTCTAAGTCACTTGGTTACACATGTTATTTTTCGAAATGGCTCCGAATTTGTGAGAACTTGGGCTACGAAGAGAAATATACCAGTAGTATCTCCAGCATGGGTAAAGGCTTCGAGAATGATGAAGGTAAGTTAGTATTTCACCTATCACTACATCGGTGTGGTAGGTTAAAGCTCCTGAAGCGGCGTACTCTGAAAAAGAGGACAAAAGTGATGTCTCTGGACTATTTACAAAGCTGAGTAGCGAAGATAAATATAAAGAAAAGGCTTCAGGTCAAATTAATGCGGTTATTCCAGGTGTTGTCTATCTATGTCTCTCATCTGTTTTTTCTTGTTATTCTTCTAATTGTCTATTCTCGTAAAAATGTTTAGTTTCCATCAGATAAATTTCTTCTATTTTTGCATGGATATATTTGCGTTTCTACAGAAGGAATAACATGAATCAGGTCACAATATATGGTAGTTTTATTCATAGTTATAAAATCATTTTTTATTACAAAACTGAAGTAAGACTGCAAAAAATATGCATTTCTAAGTATTTGGGAGATGCGAATAAATATTTAAATTAGAAATGTAGTGGAAGGTTTTTAAGTTGAGAATACTATAATGATGTACAGTAGATGTAAATTACTTTTATCTTACTGTTGTATTCTTGCCTGTATACAGGAATCTAGTTGAAATGGTTTATTAAGCTCTAATAAATCTCTTATAATTAAATAATACTGAAATCTCAATAATATGATCTGTGACTAATAGTTTTCTCTGAAGTTCACCTGAATCATTTTGTGGCAAAGGATATTTTCACCGGTCTCAAAATCGTTTGCAATGGCGCAAGTGCATCCATTCGTTGTGCTCTCTTAAATCCTAATCTTCTGGAATCGTCAGCACCTCTGCCTTTGTGTGTTGCTAACCTTATCTCACTGAATTATACTTCTTGAATAATATCTTCAAACCCTAGTCTTCTTCATCACCATTAATACCTCTACTATATTTATCACTATGGGATTTGAACTGACAATTGCGTCTCTGTGCTAATGTGGTATGGCAACAGAAACTTATGTACATACGTACGTAGTTCTACGTTGCAACTGACTGACTGACTGTTTTCACTGTGCTCGATGTTGATTATGACTATAATCAGAATCACTGGGTTCTCCAGGAGCATGGATTATGGAACAATCTCAAAAGGCCCTTCGTTACTAAAATCTTGAGAAGCATTTTATTGTAATAAAATAAAAGAACCTTTACAGTCACTCTAAATGGTTGTTCTTAAAGAAGAAGCTCGGTCACCACTATGAACTCTTGCTTACAGAGAATCATCTCATATAAACTGCTTTGCGTCATGTGTTGCTTTGTTTAGCACGAATCTAGTCTTCAAGTAGAACGTGTTCCTAACCAATGAACAGGAATGAACTACGGGTACTGACAAGTTATAAAATGTACTAGGGTATATGCAAAATTATTAGTACTTTAAACATGTTTTATTACCAGAAAACATTCTGAATATGTGGTTAAAAATCGAGGACATCAACCTTTACTTGACTTGTTAGTTTACTTAAATAAGAGATGGTATACATATTACTAAAAATCATCAGCTTATGTTTTAAAATCTTTAGATATCATGTCTACTCCTTAAATTTTCTAGACAAGTCGTTCAAAAATAATTCTTGCATACGTTTAGCTCACAAAATACGTATATTATTCAAAATCATAACGGTTTTATCCATAGCATGTTCATCAAAACATACAAATGAAGAACTTGTTCATTCAAAGTAACCGGTAGTTATTATTCTAATAATTTTGTTAGATGGAGAATACACTGATGGATTATCGATCTTCAAGCCAATTCGTATAAGTGAAAAATTTGTTAGACCAAAAACACCTCCAGAAACGAAAAACTTTCTACTTCGTATTCAGGAACGTCAAAAAGCAAATCAGAAAGACTCTATTTGTGATGAAACTATACTTGTAAATTCAAAAGAAAACATTGAAAGTAAAACACAGGATCCAGATGTTGGAGAACAATCTCAGAATTCCAATATACAATCAAAAGGTATGTGTTAAAATTCTTTTTTTTATCGTCAGTTAAATTACTCAGTTTAGTATCATAAAAAGTGTTGCAATGAGTTTATGTCAGTCAGTCAGTCAGATGCAACGTAAAACTTTGTACGTAAGTACATCAGTTCATGTTGCCATACCTTATCAGCACAGAGATGCAATTGTCAATTCAAATCCAAAAGTAGGAGAGGTAGTAAGGGTATTAGAGTAATCGGAGAGGTTAGGATTAGAAGATATTATTCAGGAAGTAAGATTCAGTGAGAAAAGTTTGGAAAGTCAAAACTAGAGTTGTTGGAAAATTCAGAAGATTAGGATTTGAGAGAACACAAAGAATAAATGCACCGGCTACATTGCGAACGATTTTGAGCTATGTCATTCAAGGTCTCTAACCATCGATTATTATCATCTCGCGGACCCCAACCAGGTAGTTGACAACTACCGACATGACTCAGTCCACTTGTCAACGACTTCATGGATTTTTGCCATGTTTATGAAAAGCTAGACAAAACTTTCCACACATATAATTCATAAGTGTTGATGCTATTTGTACTGATTAAATGTTTTAACTATTCTAGTGATGTAGATCTCATTTATATTCACACAATCAGTATAACTCGTAGGTTAATACGCCAGTTTTCACGTGGTTACTGAATTGTATTGTTCGTTCATCTATGCAACATATATACTTACATTTCTTCTAAAAGAAGTATTTTTAACATTTCAGATGGTGAGATTTGAGTTATTTCTAGTCAGTTTTTTTTAAGCAACTGTTCAAATACACTATGTTATTCCGAACCTAATATATTCTAGTTGATAAAATAGAGTTGTTAGCTAACACACGTGTTGAATGATATAAATATTTTCTATGATTTTAATGCAGTTCAGAATGTACTGGCAACTTTATTTCCACTACTCTTTTTAGAATCAAATAATAATTCGATATTCTACTTGCCTTGTGTTCGCTTTTTATAAAACTCACATTTTTTCGCGCCTTTTTTTATTAAGATTGATTTATATCTCTGGGAAAGGTTTTGGTAACAGTATGCCTTGTCTATCTTTATAATACAAGTAGACAGATATATCCTCTTGATACTTTGTTCGATCTGGGCATAGCTGCATAGACCAGATACTCACACTTCTCCAGGTCCTAGAACATTGATATACGTTCAAGCGTCCCATAATAGTAGTATTTCTCAAGTGGCATTTGATTCTACAAATTGTGAGGTGCTGTGACAGAGTTTGTTGCTAAAAGGAGTACCAAGGAAGGACATTAACCTTATACAAACTCCCTACTCGAACACTACTGGTCGAGTGAGAGCTTATGGCGAACTGTCATCGGAACTGATTGCTTCAAGTGGTGTTTCGCAAGGTTGTACAGTTTCCTCATTCTTATTCAACTTTGTCAAAGACATGCTTTTAGAGATAACACCAAATTCATTTGGTTTTTAAGGGGTTAACCTTCTACCAAGAGACTTGCTAGTCTATTTAGAATATGTCACATATTTCTGTTTGGTTAAGATCGCTGACGAAATTCAGTCTTCTAACCATCGTAAACAAAAATACAAGCATGTTCAGGATGCGATTCTCCCCCTCCAAATACAAAATGTTGCTTCGGGATTGGGTTGCATCTGAACCTGAACTAGCGATAGGAAGTGAAGCAGTTCAGCGTGTCAACCGCTTTACCTATCTTGGGAGTCTCATCGGTGCTAATGGCCTGGTGATTGACAAAATCTCAGCACGGATACAGAAGGCTCGACTGGCTTTTGCCAACTTGTGTCGCTTATGGCGTAGGCGAGATATCTGTTTGCCAAGCAAAGGACGACTGTACTGTTCAGCAGTTCGCTCCGTCCTATTTGATGGCTGCAAAACATGGCCGTTAAGAGTAGATGTTCGTAGGTTACTACTATTCGATCACAGATGTTTAAGAAGCATTGCTCGTATATCGTGGGACAACCGAGTAAGCAATGCTGTCGTTAGGAAACGAGTACTAGGTAAGGATGGCAGATCAATAGATGAAGTAGTGAAACTTCATCAGTTGAGGTGGTTGCGACATGTTTTACGTATGGCTAACCACCGACTTCCTCGATGAGCAATGGTTTGTGGTGTAGGAGTAGGTTGGAAGAATGTTAGGGGCAGCGAGACCAAAACATGGCAGAAATCCATGAAGTCACTGACAAGTGGACTAAGTCATGTTGGTAGTTGTCGACTACCTGGTTGGGGTCCGCGAGATGTTAGTAATCTATGGTTAGAGACCTTGAATGACATGGCTCAAAATCGTTTGCAATGTCGCACGTGCATCCATTCTTTGTGTTGTCCCAACTTCTAATCTAAATTCCTCATCAGTTTTATCTCTCTCTTTTTATGTCTATTTACATGCATTATACTCCTTGAATAACATCTTCAAACCCTAATCTTTCTGATTACTGCTCATACTTTTACTACACCTCTACCACTATGGGATTTGAATTGACACTTGAAGCTCTGTGCTAATGTGGTATGACAGATTGAACTACTGTACGTACACATGAAGTTCTATGTTGTTGCTGACTACCTAACTTGGGATTTTGGGACAGGAGAATTCTATGTAGACCAATAAGAGTTAGTATATCAGTTGATTGAATCAGTGAGCAACATCAGCAGTACCATTTGGAGCATGATGGAAATAAGTCACAAAAGCGAAATTCTCCGATGCAACACGACATGTACCAACCAAATCACTCTTGATCGAGATGCCTTGGAGGACATTAACACCTTTTCATATCTTGGTAGCATCATCGACGAGAAAGGTGGATCCGATGCAAATGTGAGGGCACGGATTGGCAAAGCAAGGGCTGCATTTCTACAGTTGAAAAATATCTGGAACTCCAAACAACTTTCAACTAAAACCAAAATCAGGATATTCAATACAAATGTCAAGACAATTCTACTGTATCGAGCTGAAACCTGAAGAACTACGAAAGGCATCATCCATAAGATACAAGTGTTTATTAACAGTTGTCTACGCAAAATACTTCGGATTCGTTGGCCAGACACCATCAGCAACAAAGAACTGTGGGAGAAAACAAACCAGATTCGAGTGGAGGAGGAAATGAGGAAGAAGCGGTGGAAGTGGATAGGACACACATTGCGGAAAACACCTAACTGCATCACGAGACAAGCCCTCACATGGAACCCTCAAGGCAAAAGGAAAAGAAGAAGGCCAAGGAACATATTACGCCGAGAAATGGAGAAAGATATTAGAGGAATCAACAAACATTGGACAGAATCGGAGAGGGAAGCCCAGGACAGGCAGAGTTGGTTGGAGAAAACTGGTGGGCGGCCTATGCTCCATTGGGGGTAACAGGCATAAGTAAGTAAGCAACAAATAAGTCACACATGTAGTAGTGACACCGTTCACTTTGTATTTTTCTCCAGTTTTTTTACTTTTATTTTAATATTTTTTGGATTTTTATATCTTCCATAGCTTTATCAAACACTCTAATTACTTCCACTCAAAATACAATGAGTCAATTAGATGTTGTACAATTTCATACCTGTTTATCACCAATTATTAATCAATCTGAAAATACAAATAATATTCTCATTACCGATAGTATTATAATCAATGATTCTTTCATAGAAAATTCTCCTATTCCAATCACTAATTTACAACAACAACAACAACAACAGCAACAACAAACATCTTCATCCAAATATCGTCTTATCAATCCAAATGTTGGCGATTCACCAATGGAAGAGTTGATTGTGCCACAAATTAAAAAAACATCACATTTATTCAATGAAATTCATCATAACAATCATAGTCAGTCGAAGAAATGCAAACGAAAATCATCGATCACCAATACTAATCATAATCATACTAATAAAAGACTTTCTATTGGTACACCACTTACACCAGATATTTTATTAAATTTCGTTAGTTCCACTCATTCATCAAAATCATGCCAAGATACTGTAAAAAAGTCTAATCCTCAAATTGTTGATAATAATAATAAATTAACCGCCAATGTTCCAGAAAAACAAATTAAAATGTCTAAATTATTAATGAATCAAAAAAAAACTACAAAATTATTATCAAATTTACAAAATTCACCATCAATTACACCGAAATCAATTCTTAGAGAGGTCAATCAAAACACTAACACTACCAATACTACTAATAATAATAACAGTAGTAAGATTAAATCAAAACAAATATTATCTACAATCAAGAGAACACCAGTTTTAAAACAATCAAAACAACTTACTCCTAAAAAAAAACAATTCAACGATAAAAACGTTACTACTACCAATACTACTAACAATAATAACAGTAGTAAGATCAAATCAAAACAAATATTATCTACAATCAAGAGAACACCAGTTTTGAAACAATCAAAACAACCTACTCCTAACAAAAAACAGTTCAGTGATAAAAATGTTACTACTACTACTACTACCAATACTACTACTAATAACAATAACAGTAGTAAGATTAAATCAAAACAAATATTATCTACAATCAAAAGAACACCAGTTTTGAAACAATCAAAACAACTTACTCCTAAAAACAAACAATTCAACGATAAAAATGTTACAGAGAAGAAAACCAATAATAATGATAATCAAAAATCTAAAACTACTGATCAACAACCTACAAATAATGTTTCAATTCCACCACGAAGAAAATCAAATCGTTTATTATTATTATCAAGTGGTACATCAACCTCACAACCTATATATGTTCGCCCATTATCTAATGTTGATTTAGATGCAACAATAAATAATCCATGTTTAAAAAAATCAAAATCATTACTTAATTATAAACAACAAATTAAAAAATCAACAACTCAACAAACTTCCATGATAAGTAGTAGTCCTATTGAAAAAAATTTAACGAAAGAATTATTATTACCTAATAATAATAATCATAAACGAAAATCACATGTTAATGAAATTACTACACCATTATTATTATTATTAACTAAAACGAAACGTTTGTCGGTGAGTCAAATAAAAGTAAGTTATCATTTATATTCATTGTATTTTATTAAAGGTTAATGAAGATAGTTTGATTTTAACTGCAAATAATGAATCTCTTTTCAACTGTTTTAGCGAAAATTATTATTTACGCTGCTTACTAGAGGTGACTAGCTGTGTGAGGAAGTTGCTTCGAGTTCTAGTAAGAAGTCCCAATCTATAAGAAAGGACAAAAGTCTTCTTGTGACAATCACAGGGGAATAAGTCTAACTAATATAGTATCTAAAATATTGGCCTCAATAATACGTCGACGTTTAACGAAAGCTCGTGAAGAGCAAACTCGAGAAAACCAATCTGGTTTTCGACCTGGACGTGGTTGTATAGACCATGTCTTCACACTCAGACAGGTCCTGGAACATAGACACACATTTAGGCGTCCGACAATAGTTGTGTTCCTGGACCTAAAAGAGGCATTTGACTCTGTGGATCGTGAGGTTCTGTGGCAGTGTCTGTCATTAAAAGGTGTACCAAAGAAGTACATTAACCTTATACAAGCTCTTTACTCGAACACCACTGGTCGAGTGAGAGCTTATGGCGAACTGTCACCGGAATTCTCTACATCAAGTGGTGTCCGTCAGGGATGTCCACTCTCTCCATTCTTGTTTAATTTTATCATAGACATGCTCCTAGAAATAACCTTATCCTCGTCTGAATTTTCTGGAGTAGACCTTCTACCAAGTGGCTCGCTTATTGACTTAGAATATGCCGATGACATTGTCCTACTTGGTGAAGATGCTGACAAAATGCAGAGTCTTCTGACTACCCTAAGCAACAATGCAAGCATGTTCGGGATGCGGTTTTTCCTCTCGAAATGCAAATTGTTGCTTCAAGACTGGGTTTCATCGGCACCTGAACTAGTGATAGGGAGTGAAGTAGTCGAAAGTGTAGACCGCTTCACTTATATTGAGAGTCTCATCAGTGCCGATGGCCTGGTGACTGACGAAATCTCAGCTCGGATACAGAAGGCTCGATTAGCTTTTGCCAACCTGCGTCACTTATGGCATAGGCGAGATATCCGTTTGCTGACTAAAAGACGAGTCTACTCCGCAGTAGTTCGCTCCGTTCTCCTATATGGCTGTGAAACATGGCCAGTCAGAATAGATGATATTCGTAGGTTACTGGTTTTCGATCATCGATGTCTTCGAAGCATTGCTCGTATACCGTGGGACAACCGAGTAAACAATCCTGTTGTAAAGAAACAGATGTTAGGTAAGAATGGCAGATCAATAGATGAAGTGGTGAAACTTCATCAGTTGAGGTGGTTGGGACATGTGTTGCGTATGCCCAACCACCGACTGCCTCGTCGAGCTTTGTTTTGTAGTGTAGGAGTAGGTTGGAAGAAAGTTATGGGCGGCCAAATCAAAACATGGCACAAATCCATGAAGTCATTGACGAGTTGACTTAGCCATGTCGGTAATTGTCGACTACCTGGTTGGGGTCCGCGAGATGATAATAATCGATGGTTAGAGACCTTGAATGACATGGCTCAAAATCGTTCGCGATGGCGCCAGTGCATTTATTCTTTGTTTTCTCTCAAACCCTAATCTTCTGGATTCTTCAACACCTCTAGTTTCGACTCTCTAAACTTTTCTCATTTAATCATACTTCTTGAATATTATCTTCTAATCCTAACCTCCTCTCCGATTACTTCTAATTCCTTTACTACCTCTACTACTATTGGATTTGAATTGACAATTACATCTGTGTGCTGATGTGGTATGGCGACATGAACTGATGTACTTACGTACGAAGTTCTACGTTGCATCTGACTGACTGACTGAAGAAGTCATGACTAGTGGAGTTTAACACTTTCGGGTGTGATGTAGTGACCACTTAAGAAAGTGGATGAGGTTGCGTAGGATTGTGCATTGATCGAAGTTAGACATTAATACCGTGGGTCGTGGATAGGCACTACTGGAGAGTCCGATAGTAGGACTTAATGGCTTTACAGTGCTTTACAGGTTTCTAATGGTGGTCTAACATTGATCGATTCATGCTTTCAATATACATATAAACCTGTATACCAGTGATTGGAACGGTAGCTTAGTGGTTTAAGTGTTCGAATTTTGACCTCTAGAGTCTAACTCCACTAATTTTGATTCCAGTAGCCCCCACACATACTGTGTCTCAAAGCCAAGTACACGAACCTGATGGAACAAGTATATTGTCAATAATGGGTAGTATTTTTAAATAAGATAATATTGGTGTACTGCAAATTATGCTAAACCAATTGTCTATGACTCCAGTTGGCGTATATATTGATCAAACTACTTACAGTTCAGTAGGATAATAAAGTTTAAAAATGTGCTAACGATCTAAGTCTATGGTGTAAATCACAAACTAATCAAAATCAGGCTACACTAGACAGCTGTTTCGTTCTAGTGGGATACCTCAGTAGGGCCTATCGATCACCTCTCCGCGAGATGAATTCGGGACTTACAGGTTTCATGTCCATCGCTTAAACTATTAGACTACTAGGCTGAAAATCAGTAATGTACGTGTGTAATTTTAATTCATTTATTATTCTGCGTGACCATTTTCATCGATTTCAATGCGTAACTTTCTGTGATTCCCGAAAGTCTTGGATCTAATCCCAAGTAAGTTTGTTGATATACACCACTAAGAACTCGTGTATTAAGACGAAGGTATTCTTCAGAACTTCCTGTTTTCCAGTAGCTTTCTAAATAAGATCAGTCTGTCTATATAAACTGAACATTTAGGTCTCTACAAATCCGTATAGTAATAATCAGGCTTTAACTTGTTTTCAATTAACAATAACCAAATTAGCAATTTTTAGCTTACAAGTAAACTAAACAAAAATCAGCTCTGAGATGGTGGAGAAAACTTGTAGCTCAGGTGGATGATTGTGGTGGTGTTTCGTTCTCTGAGCTGGTTGTTTTGATTGTGGAGCTTTCATTGTTCTACTGCTCTGAACAACAACATCATCAGCACAAACTTCAGATAGAAGTGAAGCATTCCAATTTCTCCATGTTTGACTTGTAGCTTGTTCTGATAACCTCGATCTTGATTGGTCAACAGCAACCAACCAAAGTTCGGCTCAGTCGTGTGGTACAACCATACAAGTACCTGACATCATGGTGGACCATTCACACCATTTATATATACACTAGTACATATATAGTGATTATTTCCGATCCATGATCACGTCGTCAATCAATATGCACCGCATGAACAGGCCAATTCGACCCATCCTGCTTACATGACTGTCAAACTCATTATTATTATTAGCAATGGTGATATGTTATACAGCACCCCAATGAAAATGGCCCTCGAGAATGTTACAAAATAACCACCTATATCAATGAAATCGGTCGCCCTGCTAACCAATTTTGTATATAGACTGTTAGCAATGCTTACCAGAGCAATGCAAAGTCCTCCACAATGTGTCACAGCGAACATCTGGTCTCATAAGGAAACCTTCAGCTCTATATAGCAGTATTGCATATGGTATACACATAGTATGGCACAGAATAGCAAGAGATGCAGCCCAGCTTGACACATGAATGGGCTTAAACACTCCTATTAATCTTTATTTCATTTCGGGTAATGATTTGTTCGCAATAGTGAAATTATCATTGTTCCCGACCATATGAGACCTGAATTACGGGGTGTGGGTAGTATCCATAAAACAACATTAATAAGCCAATCAAATAATGAATACATGATAAAAGTCTGCGAAGTCAACAAGCTTTGTCAATAAATGTATGGTCAGTGGTTAACATTGTCGGGTAAAATGACTTAAAATGGACCAACAGTAAAACCACTTTTTATTTCCCCATATAACTTGAATTGTAATTCTCATGCAGACATTTCTTCTGTTTGTGGTGGTGTTTCGTTCTCTGAGCTGGTTGTTTTGATTGTGGAGCTTTCATTGTCCTACTGCTCTGAACAATGAACATCATCAGCACAAACTTCAGATAGAAGACGAAGTGAAGTATTCGAATTTCTCCACGTTTGACTTGTAGCTTGTTGTGCTAATCTCGATCTTGATCGGTTGTTGTTGTTGTCTTTTGACCTGTCGTTGTTTGCAACTTTGTTTTGATTGCACAAGCCACTGGTCAAACATGGAGAAATTCGAATGCTTCACTTCTTCTTCTATCTGAAGTTTGTGCTGATGATGATGTTCATTGTTCAGAGCAGTAGAACAATGAAAACTCCACAACCAAAACAACATCCAGCTCAGAGAATGAAACACCACCACAAAAATTACCTCTACTAAATTACGTATCTATCTTTTTCTTTTCTTTCCTTAGACTATCAATAAACGTAGTAGTTTAGAAGAATTTCAATCTACACCATTGACACAACGTAAAGGTAATTTAATTTGATGATTATAATAATTATTCTTTTTTATTGACTGAACAAAAATATTTGAACTACATAATCAACTGCATGTTTATGGTGTCAATTTCAAAAAAGCTTTTTTCTTGTTATATATAAGCGCATTAGTTATAATGCTCAGTTGTTTAAACCAAAGGAAGTTGGAATTACCAATCCCAACGCTTGAATATATAGTCCTCTTAAAACTAGCAACTTATTGCTGTATGTTTGCTTTTTTGTTGATGGTGAAATGCACTGCATTACGTGTTTGAGCTGTGCCCCGCCCATTTCGATATGAAGAACAGAACAGTATAATTACATGCTTTCACCTTGTTAAGGCCGTAGCTGCTACCTTGACGTGGTGGTTGGGCTTGCCTATCGTGATGACCCAACCGAGCTATATTGGCTGGAACATATGTTCCTGTAGGTTCTACCATGCCAGACAGGTCGATTGCAGAACGATGAGACTAAAAGCAGCTACCCAAGGTCTGAGGGCGAAGTCGTACTGCTGACTGCAGAGGGAACAACAAGCATCTGCAGCGATTCTGCCTTCTCACAAGGAAGGAAGGGTTAGAAAAGGTTGACCCTAAAAATGTCACACCTCACCCTGCCTCACGGATTTCCGTCTCCATCGGTAAGGGTGCCCACTAAGGGCTTTTAAGAGCGTGCGTGACTGGCCTCAAGCAGTTGTCCCTTGGGCTTTGCAGTCACGCTCCCAGGTCTCTAAGACCCACACTAATCAATCTTCCTTTTCAGGTACCTCAAGAAACAACCTTCCACGGTGTGGACAGCCAGGAAGTGATAACCGCCCTCATACCCATAACAGCAGCACACGAGACCAAATTGGTCGAAATCAAATCTTGCTAAGGCTATTATTATTGAACTACTGATTTTTTGTTAATCATGCTACTTAATGTCTTTCTTTACTAAAGACGATAACTACAAATTCACTTTGCTCAACCAGTACTCTTCTCTGATTAATTCCTACTCCTTTAAGTTCACTAATATTTTTTTTCCATGGTTGACCGTATTGAGTTGTACCATTTCAAGTTGTTCTGCTTAAATATTAAGTTTGTCATATACTTTGTGTTTTTTCTGTTTTACCGGCTAACTGTTAGAGTATTATGTGTGTCAGCTACTGTTATCGACTTCTCCATAGAACTGTTTGCTGCGACGAGCTATGTGTTGCAGTGTAGGAGTAGGTTGGAAGAAAGCTAGGGGCGGCCAGACCAATACATGGCAGAAATCCATGAAGTCACTGACAAGTGGACTGAGTCATGTTGGTAGATGTAGGCGCCGGTTACCTTGGTTGAGGTCCGCGAGACGATAGTCACCGATGGTTAGGGACCTTAAACGACATTGCTCAGAATCGTTTGTAATGGCCGCAGGTGCATCCACTCTTTGTGTTCTGTCTAATTCTAAGCTTCTGCATTCCTCATAATCTCTACCTTTCTCTTTCTAAATTTATCTTACTGAATTATACCTCTCGAATCATATCTTCACTCCCTAATCTTCTCCATAACTGCTAATACTTCTATTATTGCTATCACTGTTGGATTTGAACTGACAGTTACGTCTCTGTGCTGACGGGGCATGGCAACCTGAACTGATGTACTTGGGTACGAAGTTCTGCGTTGTATCTGTCTGTCTCTGTCCATAGAACTGTTCATAACAGAATAATTCAATCGTCCTTAAATTCATAAATATTTTAATAAATGATTGTTATATTGGTGTTTATTGTTGTATAAAAGTTTGAGTTATATCCAACTGTAGCAACTAGAACTCGGCATTACCTTCAAGTTAGTCATTGGTAATCACACGTGATTGTTAATATAGTGAGTTTGTGAACATTGTTGAATGTGGTGTTTTACATCATGGATTGAACTTAGATAAACAACCGTGGATGACTATTGAGCGATACAGAGCTATATCGTCCTAGTTTGAGTTTCTTCAGAGGTTCACACACATCAGAACTTAGGGTTATCTTTGAACTACTAAGTTGAAACCCAATGGTCTATATTCTCAAAAAGAATGAGTCCTTACTATTACTTAGAAAATTAAAGAATGCCATTAGTGAGTAACCACATGACTATTGAAGTCAGATCACCAGTTCTCCCTTTAGTATGAAAGTCCTGGCTTCGATCTCTGCTGGGGTTGTGGTTGGACATTACTGAAGAGTTCCAGGTTTCGGACCAAGTAACTGTTGAATAAAGCTAAGGCTACATGAATTTACAGAGGTACATTACTGGAAAAAAATCAAAGCTATGTGAATACCAGTGTATGCTATCCAGTAAGTCTCCCTTCGATCAACATTAGCTTATAACTAACTATATCTGCATTCCAATGAAGAAACTCTAAGGAGATTTGTTACTTTCATGGTGTTGATATTTTCTACTTTAAATTTGAATACTTTGTACCGATCGTATTTTAAATTAAGTACTATTTCTCAATACTCTCTAGATGTATCAATAAAATCTCCATTGGCATCTGAAATAGGTGCAACAAGAATTAGTATTGTATTCAGTGGAACTCAATCCGAGTAAGTTTTTATGTTGTTATCATTAAACTGGGTATGATATTCTTTTTAGTTAGGAGGTAAAATATTCTTAATATCAAGTCAACTACTTACAACTAAATTCATAGCTGTGTGTGTGTTTTCCTCCTCGAAATGCAAAATGTTGCTTCAAGACTGGGTTGCATCGGTACCTGAACTAGTGATACGGAGTCAAGTAGTCTAGTGTGTTGATCGCTTCACTTATATGGGGAGTCTCATCAGTAGTGCTGATAGCCTGGTGACTGACGAAATCTCAGTGCGGATACAGAAGGCTCGATTGGCTTTTGCCAAGCTGCGTCACCTATGGCGTAGGCGTGATATCCGTTCGCTAACCAAAGGGCGGGTGTACTGCGCAGCAGTTCGTTCCGTTCTCTTATATGGCTGTGAAACATGGCCGTTAAGAGTAGGAGATGTTCGTAGGTTGCTAGTATTCGATCATAGATGTTTAAGAAGCATTGCTCGTATATCGTGGGACAGCCGAGTAAGCAATGCTGTCGTTAGGAAACGAGTACTAGGCAAGGATGGCAGATCAATAAATGAGGTGGTGAACCTTCATCAGTTGAGGTGGTTGGGACATGTGTTGTGTATGCCTAACCACCGACTGCCTCGACGAGCTATGTTTTGTGGTGTAAAAGTAGGTTGGATGAAAGTTAGGGGCGGCCAAACCAAAACATGGCAGAAATCCATGAAGTCATTGACTAGTGGACTGAGTCATGTCGGTAATTGTCGACTACCTTGTTGGGGTCCGCGAGACGAAAGTCACCAATGGTTAGAGACGTTGAACGACATGGCTCAAAATCGTTTGCAATGGCTCAGGTGCATCCATTCTTTGGGCTCTCTCAAATCCTAATCTTCTGGATTCGTCAGCACCTCTAACTTTGTCTTTCTAAATTTACCACACTGAATTATACTTCTTGAATAATAATATCTTCAAACCCTAGTCTTCTTGATTACCATTAATACCTCTACTATCTTTATCACTATGGGATTTGATTTGACATCTGCGTCTTTGTGCTAATGTGGTATGGCAACATGAACTTATGTACATACGTACGAAGTTCTACGTTGCAACTGACTGACATAGCTGTGTGTTTATCTAAATATATTGTCTAATTGGACTGAATCACCTGATTACGTAAAAGATTTACTGCATATTAGCAAATATTACTGTTGTGTTGTGTAATGGTCTTGTTCATATCTAGTTTTACCATTTTGATACTGAACCAACCATTGTGTGTGCGTTACCATCAGCGTTCACATAGACCTACCGAAATATTCGAAAAGTTTGACCACTTGTAACAGTTTATTACAAAACGAGTAGTACAAGTACAGGCCGTTACTGGTTTTTTTTAGAAATACACTGTACTTAAGCAAAGTTATATGTCAAAGTTGGCGAATTTACACCAAGTATCCGTTAAATTCTCTAACTTGTTATGGAGATTGATGTTTTTCATTTGAAATCAGGAATCGATCAACAGCATACATCCACAATCCCTGCTAGCGGGAATCGAACCTAGGACCTGTGGTCTCATACAAACACTTAACCTCTAGACCATTAAGCCAGCATCCAACGGTGATGATGTCTTTGGTATTTATTACTTACGCCCGAGCGGGGGTTGTAGATGCACACTGCTGATGAGTCCCATACTAGTAGGGAACGGCCGTCCAGTGCTCCCAGAATCTTAATGGTGGTCTAACAGTGATTGGTTCATGATTTCATTGGAACTAAAAATTACTAGTTTCATAGATAGATATTAATTTATGAAACCTTTTATCAAATAAGATCTGTTTTTAAGAATATATCGTATGAACTTTAGTTAAGTTAGATTAAAAACATTGATAATACATGTTACGGTTAGCGGTTTCCGCGACCTAAATGTTAATATGTGCCAGTCCCCTCCACCTTGAAACTGCCAACTTGCGCGATAAGGCAAGAGTAAAGGGCAAGTCTATTTCGCTACCATATAATATCCGTAAATACTCACTTTTATATATACATTTTTTCCAATAGAACATGAATCCATCTCCTGACCAATAGCATCCATTCATCCTTTTGCATATTTCTAATGGTTATAAAATGACTTGTATGTTCGACCACTTCTAATGTGCTGTCTGTATTAGTTCAAAGATTATCATTTCATATAATAGTACAGATGGATCCCAGGATCCTGATGAGACAAACAGCGTATGAACCTGTTGTTGGTCACCCACCAAATGTACCTCCTTACGTAATTCCACTGCCTTGTGGAGTAGACCTGTGGGTCAAAGGCTTGCGGACTAACACCCTATAAAGACACCATGCTAGCAGTATTCTAGCCTAAACACAAATTCAATGATTTTTATGGTGCATAAATATTTAAGTATGCCTTTATATAGAGGATGGTAAAATTTACTGGGTCGTTCCACATTCATCCACTGGAATACCATGTATATATATTTGTAGTTATATTCTTTTTGTTAGACCAACCGTAGCTGCTACTTTGACGTGGCAGTCATGCTTATCTATCGTCATAACTCAAACGAGCTATATGGGCTGGAGCGTATGTTCCTTTAGGTCCCACTATGCCAAACAGATCGGTTACATAACGATAAGAAAAGCAGCAACTTCACTTCTGAGGGTGAAGTCGTACTGCTAACTGTACAGAAATGTGACAGCAGTAATGTGTTTCTGTAGGTCAACCAGCATCTGCAGCGATGCTTCCTTCTCATGAAGAAGAAAGAGGTTAGAAATGGTTGACCCTAAAAATGTCACACCTCACCTTATGCCACGGATTTCCGTCTCCAGCGGTAAGGCTATTCGAAGAGCAAAGCTAACACTTTAAAAACTCCCTATAAAAAGGCCGTATGTGATCAATTTCAAGCAGTTGTTCCTTGGGCTCTGCGGTGACGCTCCTAGATCGCTAAGACCACCGCTAATCCAATTTCCTTTCCAGGTTCCTCAAGAAACACCTAGGGTGTAGGCAGCTGGAAAATAACTTCTGCCTTTATACCCATAACAATACACCTATTATGTTCGTCACTAAGTATGCTTGAGGCTATTACGAGTTTACCTTAGTCGATAAACGCGAACGAGACATTTACCAGCGTCCAGGTAGGCTACCTTGAAACCCAAGCGGAAGTAAGAAGGCTTTGTAAGCGTAGAAAGTATATTCTACAAACACCCAGCAATCACACAATACAATCAAGCATACAACTCTCGGTTATTTATATATACATCATACAAACGTCCTTGGGACAGTTACGAAAATAGCACACTAATAAAATACACAGCAGCCAATCACAACCATGGATTTTCCTGGTGGGAAATGAAATCTCAAGCTCAACTGATCAGCCCATGCTCGCGCAAACGTGAAAACCAAAAAGAAGGCATTTTTATCAAGCGAGTTTTCGGAATCTAACATCCCCAACAACACCAACCTATCGCTGGACCATTCAATAGTCCTTCTAACTCAGTTTATGTCCGCCAAACCTCTGTTTATTGTCAAGTCACTATTTTAAATCTTTCCTATGATTTAATATTAATTTTTATCACTTTATTTTTCTGTTAAAAACAAAAAACCCTTTTTTTTCCAGAGAAGAACAAGTTTTAATTGCATTATTAAAATCAAGCAATTTAATTGGTTATGATCTAGTTAAACTTCCACATTCACATACACATTCACATTCACATGCAACACGTACAAAATGTCAACTTGGCACAGCGAATCGTTCATTTAGCTTAGTGCAATTTACACATTTAATCACAGAATCACCTTGTCGTAGAACATTGAAATTATTTCATGCACTTATTCGTGGTGTACATATTGTCACTACAGATTGGTTACGTCAATCAGTCACTGCTAATATGTGGTTATCTGAATTAGAATTTAAAGTAAGTAGTCTTTTTGTATTAATTCAATGCAATTCAATGTTCAATACATATTATGATACATTTAAGCATTGATCATTGAAATAGAGACTGACGAAATCTCAGTTCGGATACAGAAGGCTCGATTGGCTTTTGTCAACCTGCGTCACTTATGGCATAGGCGAGATATCCGTTTGCTGACTAAAGGACGAGTGTACTGCGCAGCAGTTCGCTCCGTCTTAATTTATGGCTGTGAAACATGGCCAATGAGAGTTGAAGATATTCGTAAGGTACTGGTTTTCGATCATAGGTGTCTCCGAAAGATTGCTCGTTTATCCTGTTACACCCGAGTGAGCAATGCTGTTATTAGGAATCGGGTACTAGGTAAGAATGGCAGATCAATAGATGAAGTAATGAAACTTGAACAGTTGAGGTGGTTCGGACATCTGCTGCGTATGCCTAACCACCGATTGCCTCGTCGAGCTGTGTTTTGTAGTGTAGGAATAGGTCGGAAGAAAGTTAGGGGCGGCCAGACCAAAACATGGTAGAAATCCATGAAGTCATTGACGAGTGGACTTAACCATGTCGGTAATTGTCGACTACCTTGGTTGGGGTCCACGAGACAATAGCAATCGGTGGTTAGAGACCTTGAATGACATGGTTCAAAACCCTTTGCACTGACGCAGGTGCATCCATTCTTTGTGTTCTCTCAAATCTTGATCTTCTGGATTCTTCAACACCTCTAGTTTTGTCTTTATAAAATTATCTCACTGAATCATACTTCTTGAATAATATCTTCTAATTCTAACCTCTCCGATTACTTCTAATACCTTTACTACCTCTACTATACTATTGGATTTGAATTGACAATTATATCTCTGTGCTGATGTGGTATGGCAACATGAACTGATATACTTACGTACGAAGTTCTACGTTGCATCTGACTGACTGACTGACTCACATAATACATTTAAGCAGTGATCATTGAAATAGTTTGTAAGCATTTATGGTATGTTCAGTTGTTAAGCTATAGATTTTGTGCAATATAAATGATAATCATAATTGTTACTTTATTCAAATTAAATTATTCAAAACTGAATTGTAATCTAACTGGTTCAACATATAAATAATGTTTTAAGCTGTAAATCAACGCGTATTTGGAGTATATATTTCATATAGGATCACGTTGGAGCACGTTGATTCACTCCTCTTTTCTGTTTAGTGAGGGGTTAGTCAAGTTGAGGTAAAGTGTTGAAGAAAAATTACTTACCTACTTACTTACTTACGCCTGTTACCCCCAATGGAGCATAGACAGCCGACCAATATTCTCCAACCTACTCTGTCTTGAGCTTCTCTTTCCAGTTCTGTCCAATGTTTTTTCATTCCTCTCATATCTTTCTCTATTTCTCGGCGTAATGTGTTCCTTGGCCTTCCTCTTTTCCTTCTAACTTGAAGGTTCCATGTGAGGGCTCGTCTTGTAACGCAGTTGAGTGCTTTCCACAATGTGTATCCTGTTCACTTCCAGATGAAGAAGCATACTCAGCAATGAAATTAAATGAGTTGAATAAAATAAATAGTTTACTACAATAATAGTTGCATTCAACTTAAAATAAAACTCTTTACCAGAGTGTAATGATTTCAATTTATCAACTAATGCACTAAAAACAAAGGTTGTGAAAAGTTGTTGAGTTTCACTGATCGATGTTAGATCACCACTGAAAACGTGGAAGCACAAGAAGGGCATTTGGACCTTACCATAAGACTCACAAGAGTAGAACTGTGACTTCTAATACTTCTACTACCTCTACTACTATGGGATTTGAATTGACAATTACATGTCTGTGCTAACAATGTGGTATGGCAACATGAACTGATGTACTTACGTACAAAGTTCTACGTTGCATCTGACTGACTGACTGACCATAAGACTCACCAGCAGTGTACATTCATGACTGCGCAAGCGGGAATCGAACCTAGTGCCTTCGGTCTCATGTACCAATGCTTAACCCCCAAGACCACACTGAGCCTGCATTTAACGACATCAAATAGTTTCCATTTATACAATGAATCAGTTGATGATAATTTGTGAACACAAACTATTACTATAAAGTTATGAAGAATTAAAAAGTTTAGTTGGGATTTGAGAGAACACAAATAATAAATGCACCGGCGCCATTGCAAACGATTTTAAGCCATGTCATTCAAGGTCTCTAACCATCAATTATTATCATCTCGCGGACCCCAACCTGATAGTCGACAATTACCGACATGACTAAGTCCACTCGTTAATGACTTCATGGATTTTTGGCATGTTTTGGTTTGGCCGCCCCTAGCTTTCTTTCAACCTATTCCTATACAACAAAACATAGGTCGTCGAGGCAGTCGGTGGTTAGGCATAGGCAACACATGTCCCAACCACTTCAACTGATGAAGTTTCAGCACTTCATCTATTGATCTACCATTCTTACCTAGCACCCGATTCCTAATAACAGCGTTGCTCACTCGGTTGTCCCGTCATATACCTGTAAAACAGCACACGAGACCGAATTGGTCACAATCAAATTTTGATAGTTGAACTTCACTAGTTTGAAGTAGAATAGAAAATCATCCTTCAGAATAGTAATTGGATAACTAAAACTAACTAAAAGTCAATTTTGATTGTTGAACATGACAGATTTATTTCATCTTATCAAAAAACTATATATAGATATATATATTATCGATATATTTGAATTTTTATTCATTAAAGCCGCCTGGATTACCTCGTTTATCACGTATGCAAAAAATGAATAAATTATTTGCCAATGTTGGTATTCTATATGTTGGTCCTGATACAAAACCACCACGTCAAGATCTTGTTGATTTATTGAATTTAGGCGGGGCAATTGTAAGTCCATTGTCTATTTGTTTTACTGATTTTCTTTTTTTACACCTTTTGAAATCATCAATCTATCAGTGATTGTTAGACCACACACCATTAGAAACTTGGAGGGAATGGACTGCTGCCCTGTGCTGGTACGGGACTGATCAACAGAGAGCATCCACGACTCCTGCTTCTCACAGGGCTCGGACCAAAGGACCTTGGGTCTTGCGCTCGAACGGCTTACCACTGGACCACTGGCATTGGCATCCAACGGTGTTAATGTCTAACTCTGATCAATCTGATGAGTTCTATACCAGGACGAAATGGTCGTACAGCGTTTGCAGGTTTCTAATGGTAGTCTAACAATGATTGATTGATGATTTCAAATGTTTACTTTTCAATGTAATGTTCTCTTTTTGTATCGTATTGTTAGTGGGACATAGATGGAATTAAAGCATGATTACGTTGCTGCGTGCTGATTGGCTGATTTCCTATCCAATCAGTGCCTGATCGAATCTTGGAGAACAGGGTAGAAAGTTCTCATGTTGTTAGCTACACTTACTTACTTACTTACTTACGCCTGTTACCACAAATGGAGCATAGGCCGCCCACCAGTTTTCTCCAACCAACTCTGTCCTGGGCTTCTCTCTCCAGTTCTGTCCAATGTTTGTTCATTCCTCTCATATCTTTCTCTATTTCTCGGCGTAATGTGTTCCTTGACCTTCCTCTTTTCCTTTTGCCTTGAGGGTTCCATGTGAGGGCTTGTATTGTGACGCTCAGTTAGGTGCTTTCCGCAATGTGTGTCCTATCCACTTCCACCACTTCTTCCTGATTTCCTCCTCCACTGGAATCTGGTTTGTTCTCTCCCACAGTACGTTGTTGCTGATGGTGTCTGGTCAACGAATACGAAGTATTTTGCGTAGACAACTGTTCATAAACACTTCTATCTTCTGGATGATGGCTTTCGTAGTTCGCCAAGTTTCCGCTCCATACAGTAGTACAGTCTTGACTTTTGTATTGAAAATCCTGATTTTGGTTTTGGTTGAAAGTTGTTTTGAGTTCCAGATATTTTTCAACTGTAGAAATGCAGCCCTCGCTTTGCCATTCCGCACCCTCACATCTGCATCGGATCCACCTTTCTCGTCGATGATGCTGCCCAAATATGTAAAGGTGTTAACGTCCTCGAAAGCATCTCGATCAAGAGTGATTTGGTTGGTGCATGTTGTGTTGCATCGGAGAATTTTGCTTTTTCCTTTATGTATGTTGAGACCTAATGCTGCAGAGGCTGCTGGTACACTGGTTGTTTTCTCTTGCATTTGTTGTTGAGTGTGCGATAGAAGAGCCAAGTCATCTGCGAAGTCCAGATCATCCAGCTGCGTCCTAACTGTCCAGTTGAAACCGTGCTTCCCTCCAGATGTTGACGTCTTCATAATCCAGTCGATCGCCAGGAGAAAGAGAAAGGGTGAGAGTAAGCAACCTTGCCTGACACCGGTCTTCACCTCGAAAGAGTCTGTTAGCTGTCCTTCGTGTACGATTTTGCAGTTGAATCCATCATAAGAATTCCGTTTGATGTTGACTATTTTCTCAGGCACCCCGTAGTGTCGAAGAAGCCTCCACAGTGTTTTCCTATCCACGCTATCAAATGCTTTCTCGTAGTCGATGAAGTTGATGTAGAGTGGTTAGCTACACGCTGATTGGCTAAATCTAATCCAGTCGATCACGTGAATTACTATCCAGAAGCTTGTCATGTAAATGCTATAAAGAAACTAACATTGTATCTATTTTGCCTTCGCCATCACCTTTGGCTTCTTACTTCCATTTAACCTTTGCTATTTGGAATATAATTTTTCCTGTTCAACCGCTTCCACGGTGTGGGCAGCCGGGAAGTGACAACCGCCCTCATACCCGTAACAGCACGAGAGACCAATTTGGTCGAAATTAAATCCTTCCTACACCCACACATACCTCTCTTCTCTCCACAACTAACTCTACTCACATTCCCTTATCTGACTGCACCGCTAATGCAAACTTTTGGTATGGCGACATGAACTGATGTACTTACGTACGAAGTTCTACGTTGCATCTGACTGACTGACTGACCTGTTCAACCGTGTTTTTGATTCTTTGGAACTTGTTTAGTGTATTGTGGTCAGAGAATACTAAGCAATAGGATTTAGCTGGAAATTATTCAAGCGGGTGTTACAATACGTATCGATATTGATTTGGTTCAGTTAAATTTATAAGGTTAACACTTATTCTCCTAGTTCTCATGTTACACTTTGACCTGCTGTCAAAACAATCCTTCACACTATTCAGTGAATGATGATCAAAATGAATGTGGTTTAGTTTTTCACTCAGTAAGCTAGATATGGTTTGGTTGTGGAGCTTTCATTGCTGTTCTGCTTCTGAACACAACACATCATCAGTACAAACTTCAGGCAGAAGTGAAGTATTCGAATTTTTTCCTCGTATAACTCATAGCTTATCCTGTTGACCTCAATCTTGATTGGTTGTTATTGACCTTGAACTTGTAGTTGTCTAAAATCGTTATTTTGATTGTATCCCCCCTTTGATTCAAATTGTCCCACAACATCCATATATATATATACATATTGATTGAGGTCAAAATGAGCCGGTTATTTAGAAAAAAACGGTCAAAAATCTAACTGTAGACAAACAGAGGAAATGTCTGCATGAGAATTACAATTCGAATTATAGGAGATAATAAAAAGTGTTTCTGTGGTGCGTGCTACTTATAAGTAGTATATGACGCGAGTGAAAACGTAATGTCTGGCAGCAGAAGATGAGGGAAGATCAAGAAAGGAAGAGTGGTGGAACACAATGGAATTTGTATGAAACGCATGAATAGTGAAATGTCAGACAATTGATTGATGATGGATTGAAGATTTGCAAATTACCCTTAACGATATGGTTTTCCTATTTTACCAATTAACTCTGTAATTTTCGTTAAATACAATTCGGTTGCCCTCACTTGTGTTCTCCTTCACTACAGTTCTACTGTGGATCCATTCTAAGTCATTTTACCCGACAATGTTAACCACTGACCATACATTTATTGACAAAGCTTGTTAACTTCATAAACTCTTATCATGTATTCATTAACCAGTCATTACCGCGAAATCTGTATTGACTCTATAGCTCTACAACTACATTATCAGATGAAATTTTCAAAATCAGTAACGAATAAGTTGTCAAAAACTTTATAAACTGATATTAAGTTTTCTATTTGCCAACCTTTGTGGTGAATATTAGTTGCAACATGGCTTATGATTAGTATGCAACAGAGTTTCGTCCAAAACTTACTATTGAAGTGAAGAGTGTCCGGATTCGGCTGTATGGCCAGACTAGAGTGTTTGGAGATTAGAAGACATGCGGAAGAAGATAATGTATTCACATTTTGTCTGGTAAATTATGTCTTCTTCAAATAAATCACTTATTCCATCTGGTCTTCGTTTGTTAAATCCTCACCTTCTTGTGTTGTTACTTTGTTTTCACCTTTACCCAAATGACGGAACAGACAGACAGACAGACACAACGCAGAACTTCGTGCGTAAGTACATCAGTTCAGGTTGCCATGCCCCATCAGCACAGAGACATAACTTTCAGTTCAAATCCAAGAGTGATAACAATAATAGAAGTATTAGCAGTAATGGAGAAGATTAGTGAGCGAAGATATGATTCGAGAAGTATAATTCAATAAGATAAAGTTAGAAGGAGAAAGGTAGAGATGATGAGGAATTCAGAAGGTTGGAGTTTAAGAGAACACAAAGAATGGATGTACCTGCACCATTGCAAATGATTTTGAGCCATGTCGTTCAACGTCTCTAACCATCGGTGACTATCGTTTGGTAGACCCCAACCAGGTAGCCTACATCTACCAACACGACTCAGTCCACTTGTCAGTGACCTCATGGATTTGTGCCATGTTTTGGTTTGGCCGCCCCTAGCTTTCTTCCAACCTACTCCTACACTGCAACACGTAGCTCGTCGCGGCAGTCGGTGGTTAGGCATACGTAACACATGTCCCAACCACCTCAACTGATGAAGTTTCACTACTTCATCTATTGATTTGCCATCCTTACCTAGAACTTGTTTCCTAACGACAGCATTGCTTATACGGTTGTCCCAGGATAAATGAGCAATGCTTCGGAGACATCGATGATCGAAGACTAGTTACCTACGGAAGTACTCTACTGTTAACGGCCAAGTCTCGCATCTGTACAGTAGGACGGAGCGAACTGCTGCACAGTACATTCGTCCTTATTCAGCAAACGGAACACTACCATATTTATTACAACTCAACAATCGTTGTGTTTCTTCATAGAAAACGTTGTCTTCAATTTACTAGACAGAATTGTGTTTGGAGGAGTGGAAAACTTTATTCATACCCTAAAGTCTTTGTATACTAAACGCCCTGATGAGATAAAGTCACTTCTCTCCATTCTTCTTCCCAACCCAATAGTGGGATTAGGCAGCATTGCCCAATCACACCAATCCTTCCCCATTTTCTCATTAATTAATCTTACAACTTGTATAAATATTAAGTAAACTGAAAGTATTATTTTTATTTTTGCCTGTTTCTAATTTTTTTTAAATTTAGCTTACCAATAAGAAAACTGAAGCTACCATTCTTATTGGCTGTCATCTATGCAATAAAACATGTATTAAACCCAGTTGGATATTAGGTAATGTCTACTTTTTTGTCAGAGTTATGTAGATTAGCATTTTCGCACATTAAAATCATGAGTGAATCATTGTTAGACCACACCATTAGACACCTGGAACCACTGAAAAATGGCCGTTTCGTCCTGTTATCGGGCTCATCAACAGTACGCATCCACGACTCCTGCACCTCGCACGATTCGAACCTAGGGCCTTCGGTCTTGCACGCGAACGCCTAACCTCTGGACCTCTGGGTCGGCATTCAACAGTGTTAATATCTAACTCTGACCAATCTGGATATTTTGCGCGACCTCACCAATTTGTCTTTGGTAGTTACTGTCTTCACTCGACAGGGTTGAACTCCTCCAGTGCTTCCAGGTTTCTAATGGTAGTGGTCTAACAATGGTTGGTTGATGATTTCAATGTGCAAGTTTCTACTTTGTATTTTTGGTGAACTTGTTTTATTTTTTTGAAAAAATGCATTCATTCATTGACAATTTACGTGATAAACATTTTTTTAAATTAGTTCAAGTGTGTCTTTGTGTACGTGTGTGTGCGGATTCAGTCAAAAATAGTTGCTTTAAGAGAAGTGTTTACAAGTGTGCTTAAGGAAGGAATATGTTAAATTCGTATGATTGTATGTGCTTTAGTCAGATATCATCCTCCAATATGGAGCATATGCAGAGTCACAAAATGGATTTAACTTGTCTGTATTTTAAACACATGATATCCTCCGCTCACTTCCAACGAACACTTTAACCCCTATATACCCTGATGTATGAATGAGAGAAAAAAAGTTTGCTCTCTCTCTTTGTCTCAAACTAGTCTCATAAGTGTTACGCCTGCACGTAAACACGTCAACTTGATATACTTGAACTGCTACGAGTTTACCGAGTCGGAAAACAAAAGCGAGGATCGAGGATCCGGCGACACGAAATGCTACTCAAATCCGATTATCCCATCCCACATATTTACTTAAAATAAGAAGACATGATGGGAAGTAGTACGTGTATTCTACAAGCATCAGGAAAATACAAGGTCCGGATCCAGAAGAGAATCAGGATCCCGGACTAGGGATCCGGGACCGGGTCCTGGTCGTGGTCATAAAATGTTACAGTTAATGCGTATTTATACATTTTGGTCGAATAGGAAACAGCATCGAATTCTGTGGCATTGACAGTTAAGACGACCAATATAAAGTAACACTTGGAGTGACATTGATAGTCAGGATGACCAATAAGGGACAACATTGAAGTATTTGACTTTGACAGTTAAAACAACCATAATTTTGACCAATAGAAATCGACCGATAGGATTTGACCAATAATTCTCTTATGATATTGGATGAATATCCTAACAATAAGACCATGCGTGTTTAGTCATTACTAGCAACGTCTTATTCACTGTCTCCTTTATGACATGGATATTGTTTAGGAAGTTGAGATGTCAGTTGCTTAAATCGACTTGGTGAGTACAGAGGATTCATTCCAAAGTAGTGGTGCACACGAGCTCCGGGATCCTTAGGTATTGAATGGTGTATGAACCTATTGTTGGTTTTTGACTAGCATGAGACTGCATCTGCTAACGTTGCTCCACTACCTTATGAATTAGATTTTTAGGTCAGTGTCAGTGAGTGACTTCCTAACAAAACTACCTGCTTCAGTTTTCTGGTGTCCGAACAATATCTTATCCCTCTCACAAATTCAATAATTTTTGTGGTGCATAGATATTTAAGTGCCCCTTTGTACCAGTGTGCACAATAACTACTGAAGACAATAGGCGAAGTTGCACAATATCATAGATTGATCAAAGTTCGATAAAATAACACCATTGGTTGACGGCTCCATGGACTCAAAGTTAAGCGTTTGTACGCCAGACCAGAGGTCCTATGAACGGGGGTCATGAATGTGCTCTTTTAATAAGTCCCATACTATTGGATAGGGTCTGAAGTAGTCGAACGTGTAAACCGCTTCACTTATCTTGGGAGTCTCATCAGTAGTGCTGATGGCCTGGTGACTGACGAAATGTCAGCTCGGATACAGAAGTTCTCGATTGGCTTTTGCCAACCTGCGTCACTTATGGCTTAGGCGAAATATCCGTTTGCTGACTAAAGGACGAGTGTACTGCGCTGTCGTTCGCTCCATCTTACTTTATGGCCGTGAAACATGGCCGTTAATAGTAAAGGACATTCGTAGGTTACTAGTCTTCGATCATAGATGTCTTCGAAGCATTGCTCGTATATCCTGGGACGACCGAGTAAGTAATGCTATCGTTAGGAAACGAGTTTTAGGTAGGGATGGAAAATCAATAGATGAAGTATTGAAACTTCATCAGTTGAGGTGGTTGGGACATGTGTTGCGTATGCCTAACCACCGAATGCCTCGACGAGCTTTGTTTTGTAGTGTAGGAATAGGTTGGAAGAAAGTTAGGGGCGGCCAAACCAAAACATGGCAGAAATCCATGAAGTCATTGACAAGTGAACTGAGTCATGTCGGTAATTGTCGACTACCTGGTTGGGATCCGCGAGATGATAATAATCGATGGTTAGAGACCCTGAATGTCATGGCTCAAAATCGTTCGCAATGGCGCCGGTGCATTTATTCTTTGTGTTCTCTCAAATCCTAATCTTCTGGATTCTTCAACCCCCCCCCCTAGTTTTGACTTTCTAAACTTTTCTCATTAAATCATATTTCTTGAATTGGGATTCAAAACACTTATTTTTTTAACATTACTTAATTAAAAATCTATACATGTATACATTGATAAATTGTTCGTTTCTATTTACTTATTTATTCATACATAGATTCCATATTTCAAGCCAAATTATTACCATTAACCGATTATGATTTATCAACAGACCATCATTGATGATGATGATGACGATGATGATGATGTTTCATTCCGGATTTTTCCATGAAACTGACTCATTCTTAATATGTCGTTAAATGTGATTTTATTATTTTCAGTTTTTCGCCTGTTTTTATTTTTAGTTCATTGTTCATTTGTACCATTTAATAAAAATTACTTTTTTTTTCTGATTACTTTAAATTGTGTACACACATACCCTATGATGTATGTATATGATGTATGTATGTGTTTGTTTTTGAGTAGAATTGTAAATATTAATGTTTGTATGTATGTATATTGCCTTTTGCTCTGATTTTTTTTTCTCGTTCAATATTCAATAAATTGTTTGTTTAAATACGTAAAAAATTATTTCTGTTTTGTCCTTGAACAACCGCCATTTCTTTTTTTTGTGTGATGATGAAATAAGAAATTTTTTAATGATTATGATTTCAGATAATGAATGAAAATGGTCAAACTTTTTTTTTTTTTATATAGTTTGATTGATTGTCCAATGATTTGAATTTGTTTAAATTCTACCGTGTGATTTAAACAAACTGTACAATGGACTAAATGTATTGTATTAGTTAGTTGATCATGACAATTGTTTTGGGTGAAATTCGGCGTTAAATTTCTTCCTAAATTGATATTATGTGTGGGATAAATTTACTTAAAATCAAAATGATTCTAGTTTATGACTATTATTTGCAGGCTGAAATTAGATCAGAGACAAGGAATTTCGGTTTATCAACAAACTCAATACTTTTAGATCATTAAGTTAGGCCTCAGTGAGTTATTTCTTAGAATTCAGTCAGTTTATTCCGTGTTAACGGCGTCCGATGTGATTAATCGGTTACCGTTTGACTATCAAAATTGATTAATACTGAAGGTGACGATAGCTTCTCATTTATTGTTATGTACTCCTATTTCTATTTAGTGTTATACAAGGAAGAAACAGCTTATTAGCAGTTTTCTAGCTAATATCATCTGATGATTAATTCAAGCGAATTGTTAGGAATACTTTGGATGCGATTATTATATATCCAAATATTGATTAGAGGTTGTATGCATAAGCCTGTTATTTTTCACCCCCATACGTTCTAGATTCTGATTCCATTTCACTTTCTGTGTGTGTGTGTATGTGCATCGCATCATTGAGCCACGCAAAACCAATGCCTGCTTATTGTCAATTACATAACCTGTTTCTTATTAAGTTTACTATTTGAATGACTGGTTCCTATACATTTTGATCTCAAACTGTCATTCTGCCATGGTGGCCGATTTTGTTGACGTCGGGCTCACCAGATTTGTAGTGAGCGTTTACTGATCTTCTGTGAAGACGTATCGGTGAACGAAGCGAATCGGGGAGTGATATGAATGAACGGTCGGGCTCACCAGAATTGTGGTGTGCCAAACAAAACGTATTCAACACTTCGAATGTACCTTCTGATTTATAACCGTCAGACGCCATTTAGTAACGATTGTCTGAACGAGCTAATTACGAAAACTAAGAACAGGTAGAAATTGGCCACCACACTGTTTTAGTGTACTTCTGAAAGATCATACTATGAAGTATACTTGTCCATTATGCCCGCTCATTTTATCGAAGACTCAAAGTTATCGCCCTACATAGTTTTAGCTGATGTATTCGTGCCATTCTAATTTTTACTTTGTAATTTCAATTCAGTAGACTATTTAGGTTGAATATTTACTGATACATTGTCATTTACTAATTTAGAAACTTAATGTGCTAAGCAAACTGGACAAGTCACTGTATATTTCAAGATGAGGACTATCACTTTCTTGTTTCTGTCGCCTTTAGCTATTTTGGCAATGCAGCTTCAATTGTTAGGAGCACATATATATATAGGATTAGTAAAACCAGATAACATCACATCACAAGGTTTACTATTCAATTTCAAAATGGAATTGTATTTCATGATTCGCACGCATATAATACCATACTTACGCCTGTTACCCCCAACGGAGCATAGGCCGCCCACCAGTTTTCTCCAACCAACTCTGTCCTGGGCTTCCCTCTCCAATTCTGTCCAATGTTTGTTCATTCCTCTCATATCTTTCTCTATTTCTCGGCGTAATGTGTTCTTTGGCCTTCCTCTTTTCCTTTTTCCTTGAGGGTTCCATATGAGGGCTTGTCTCGTGACACAGTTAGGTGCTTTCTGCAATGTATGTCCTATCCACTTCCACCACGTCTTCCTGATTTCCTCCTCCACTGGAATCTGGTTTGTTCTCTCCCACAGTACGTTGTTGCTGATGGTGTCTGGCCAACGAATCCGAAGTATTTTACGTAGACAACTGTTAATAAATACTTGTACCTTCTGGATGATGGCTTTCGTAGTTCTCCAAGTTTCCGCTACATAAAGTAGAACTGTTTTGATATTTGTATTGAAAATCCTGATTTTGGTTTTGTTTGAAAGTTGTTTGAAGTTCCAGATATTTTTCAACTGTAGAAATGCAGCCCTTGCTTTGCCAATCCACAGCCTCACATCTGCATCGGATCCACCTTGATTGTCGATGATGCTGCCCAGATATGTAAAGGTGTTAACATCCTCCAAGGCATCTCCATCAAGAGTGATTTGTTTGGTGCATGTTGTGTTGCATGGGAGAATTTTGCTTTTTCCTTTATGTATGTTGAGACCTGTTATACATTAAAAATACACTTTTAAGTTAACAGCATATGAGATTCAATCTTTGTTCAATAACGCCGCTTTCTCAAGAAATGCATTTCTTTGCTTTTATTTATATTTTATTATGTGATATTCAACTAATTATTTTTTGTACATATTTATATTTAAATTTTTTGTTAGCTCTTACCCCTATTTTGAATGAAATTTCGCATTAAAACAAATGATCCTGGGTGTATTGATTATTTTTCAAGTAAGTTTATAATTTCACTTTGAATGTCAAGTATTTTTTCTAAATATTGATCATTTATGTATGCTGTTATTCTCTTAAATTGTGACATTGTTTATACAGATAATTCTGATTACGCGGACCCCAACATGGTAGTCTATATTTACCCCGCATGACTCAGTCCACTTGTCAGTGTTATGTACTGTTATAATGCTTGCTATGTAGAGCTATTCGAAATCCTACGGATATTCCAATACGACCCCCCAAATACTGTTCCCAAATCTCCAATTTATATATCAGAACACAACACCGTTAGATGAAGCTGGTTATGGAGTCGAGTACAGAAGGAAATTAGGGAGAAAGGAAGGAAGGAATAATAAGCTTTACAGATAATGCATATTTATACAATTTGTTCGAATAGGAAACAACATTGAAGTCTGTGACATGGATAGTTAGGTTGACCAATCGGAAACAACATTTGAAGTCTGTGACATTGACAGTTAGGACGACCAATGGGAAACAACATTTGAAATATCTGACATTGACGACCATAATATTGACCAATAGGAATTGACCAATAGAATTAGACTTCCAAAAATAGTTCTCTTAGGATATTTGATGAATATCCTAACACACTGTTTATCAGATAATTCTGATCAGTTGAATGTTCATTGCCATTGAAAATATAGTGTTATTACTGATTTGTTTTTTCTTCAGGTTTATTGTTAATTTATTTTTGAAATAAACATTTCTAAATACCGTATATAGTTGTTAAACAAGTAGAATTTCTGTTTTTATTGATTTAACAACAAAGACTATGATTTAATGAACGTGAATCCATGTTAACTAATTTCCGTAGAATCTTCTTTTTTTGAATATATATGAAATTCGATATAACAGAATTGTCAATCAGCCTGTCAAACAGCAACAACGTAGAACTTGATACCTATGTACCTCAGTTCAAGATGCCATACCGTTGGGGACGTCAGATCCCCAGAACTCGCTTGATAAATGCCTTCACCTGGATTTCACTTTTGCGAGCATGGGCTGATCAGTTGACCTTGAGATTGCATTTCCCACCAGGAAAATCGATTGCTGTGATTGGCTGTTGTGTATTTTAGTGTATTATTTTTGTAACTCTCCCTAGGACGTTTCTACCTGGACGCTGGTTCATTGTCTCGTTCACGTTTATCTACTAAGGTGAACCCGTAATAGTTTCAGGCGTACCTATTGACGAACCTCACACATATCATATAAATACGGAGACATGGGATTGTCAATTCAAATTCCATAGTGGTATAGTTTGTAGCAGTATTAGCGGTTATCATAAAGATTAGGGATCGAAGATACAATACGACCAGTGAAATAAAGTTCTAGCACCTGCACTGTCGCAAACGACTGTGAGCCATGTCATTCAAAGTCTCTAACTATCGGTTACTGTTGTCTCGCATACCCCAACCTGTCAGTCTATACCTACTAATATGGCTCAGCCCACTTGTTAGTGATTTCATGGATCTGTACCATGTTTTTTTCCGGGCGCCCTTAGCTTTTTTCCAACCTACCTCTACATCACAAAACATCACTTCCTTTGTTTTGTTTGATGACCCTAACGCAGAAGACTAATGAAGCATTGTTTGCGTATGATGGGAAAACTGAGTGAGTACTGCCATGGTTGGACATAAGATATCAGATGAAGTTGGCAACTTAGTTGGAAAAGCAGTGAATCTTCGTCAGTTTCAATTGTTTGTATATGAGCTACGGATGCCTTTGTTATACTACCAGTTGGCATAAAAGTAAACTGGGAGAAAGCCATAGTTGATCAGATGTCCGCTTGCTAACCAAAGGACGAGTGTACCGTGCAGCAGTTCGCTCCGTCCTACTATACGGGTGCGAAACATGGCCGTTAAGGGTAGATGACTTTTGTAGGTTACTAATCTTCGGTCATCGGTGTCTCCGAAGCATTGCTTGTGTATTCTGGGACAACCGTATAAGCAATGCTGTCGTTAGGAAACGAGTTCTAGGTAGGGATGGCAAATCAATAGATGAAGTATTGAAACTTCATCAGTTGAGGTGGTTAGGACATGTGTTACGTATGGCTAACAACCAACTGCCTCGACGAGCTATGTTTCGTGCTGTGGGAAGTAGGTTGGAAGAAAGTTAGGGGCGACCAAAGCAAAACATGGCGCAAATGCATGAATTCACTGACAAGTGAACTGAGTCATGTTGGTAGATGTAGACTACCTGGTTCGAGTCCGCAAGACGAAAGTAACTGATTGTCAGAGACCTTGAACGACATGGCTCAGAATCGTTTACAATGGCTCAGGTCCATCCACTCTTCGTGTTCTCTCAAGCTCTAAGCTTCTGAATTCCTCATCATCTCTACCTTTCTCCTTCTAAATTTATCTCGCTGAATTATTATTCTCGAATCATATCTTCGTTCCCTAATCTCCATTACTGCTAATACTTCTACTGTCACTATCACTCTTGGATTTGAACTAACAGTTGCGTCTCTGTGCTGATATGGTATGGCAACTTGAGCTGATTTACTCATGTATGAAGTTCTGCTTTGTATCTGTCTGTCTGTCTGTCTGTCATGCCATTTAATCGGTCTATGAAATCTTCGCCTGTTGGTCTCAGTCGAGTTGGTCAGTAGTTGATCTAGAACGATAACTGGAACGAACCAACTCGGCTTCCAACATGATCTCGTAAATACATCTTGATTTTATGTTTCGTTATCCTTTTAAACTTTTATTTCATGTGATACTATTCCTGAACTGTATTCTCTTTGTTCAACCTTTCTTACTATCATTGATAGTGGCGACTATGACTGATACACAGTCTTGAATCGGGCGACATCTATCTTGAAATTCACTAGTACCTATTATTTTTAAAATTTATATTTCATATCACGAGCTTTGTTTTGTAGTGTAGGAATAGGTTGGAAGAAAGTTAGGGGCAGCCAAACCAAAACATGGCAGAAATCCATGAAGTCATTGACGAGTGGACTTAGCCATGTCGGTAGTTGTCGACTACGAGGTTGGGGTCAGCGAGATGATAATAATCGATGGTTAGAGACCTTGAATGACATGGCTCAAAATCGTTCGCAATGGCGTCGGTGCATTTATTCTCTGTGTTCTCTCAAATCCTAATCTTCTGGATTCTTCAACCCCTCTACTTTTGACTTTCTAAACTTTTCTCATTGAATCATACTTCTTGAATAATATCTTCTAATCCTAACCTCTCCGATTACTGCTAATACCTTTACTACTATTGGATTTGAATTGACAATTATATCTCTGTGCTGATGTGGTATGGCGACATGAACTGATGTACTTACGTACGAAGTTCTACGTTGCATCTGACTGACTGACTGACTGATTTCAGATCTATTTTATGTTGTATTATTAAAAAGTAGCTAACAAGTTCAATGTCTATAATAAATACCTCTCATCAAATTTTCTATCCTTCCAGATATTGTTCATATGATTGCTGGATTAGCAAAAAATGTTATTTTACATTTGAATAAAAGTCAGTTGTCATTTGTTATTAAAGAAAGATCAGTATTTGGTGGCATAACAGCATGGTGTGATTTAGATCATGTAAGTTTGGTGTTTCTACAAATTTTTGTCCTGCCCTCTTACAAATATATTTCATTATTCACATTGGTTTGTGTTTATTTTTAACAATGGCATCCCTAATTACTTACACATTTACGCTTGCTACCACCTCATGTGGAGGAAGCATCGGCCGCTGACTAGCATTCTCTAAGCTATTTTCTCCGGAGGCTTCCTTTCCAGTGCTACTCAGTTGCTATTCATTCTCTTTATGTATGTTTCCAACTAATCAGTACAGTATGTTCCATGTCTTGAACATACCACCAGGTTGTATCTTTTCATTTCCGCAGCAAATTATATAACTCTCCTAGTCTTCCATAATGTACGAACATTCCATGTATCTATACTAATAGTTGCTTTGGTTGCTCATGACCTCTGAATAAATTCGGCTTGCATCGTAAAGCATGTGAACTCTTCTAACTGAAGAAGACCTTCCAACTGCCAGGGCTGAGTTTAAATGATTTTGAATTACTTTTGGTTATGAACGTTTTTTAGCGAGTTGGTTTTCTACAGGATGGGGTCGCTAAACCTATGCCTAACCCTCTTCCTTTATATCCGGGCTTGGGACCAGCAGTAACACCAGAAGGGCTCCAGGTGGAGTTAATAATGATATCGTTGGTTTGTATTTCAGCATTTATTTCTGGAAGTAAGCGGAAAAATAATCAACTGTAATTCTTTAAGTTGTGCATATATATGAAGCCAATCGAAGTTTGGTGAGAAAAACGATCAAGTACGAACCTTAACTCGTTAGCCGTCTAAGATGATTAATATATTTGAATATCTTGAAAGAAAGAAGCATCCTATAATAATAACAAAAAGAATTATCACGGTGTACGATACTGTAAATCACAACTGATGTCAAGAACAATTTATCGACAACGAAATAGAATTGGAGAGCACACAACTATGAAATCTGTTGTGCTCAAACAAAGCTTCTAAAAACATACACAACTGAAAATAAAAGTTTAAAAAAAGTTGAAATAAAGTATTTATAATCATAAAAATAGGATAAGTTTATGTCAATAATTTAGGTTATCATCACACATAAAATAATCCACTTTGCTCCAAATGCCTTGAAATGGTTAGAAATAAAACGTCTACTGAATAGTAATAAGTAGTATAAAGCAATATACAGAAAAAAACGAGATAAATGAGGTGGAAATATGAACCGATAGTGTAATCGAACCTTATCACTTAAGCTAATTGATGGTAGTAAAATATTACTGATTTATTTGAATTTCGATCACAAATAGACTGTTTGACGTCCAAGACTGAGTATTTATGAACCGTCAGTCATTCAGATGCAACGTAGAACATCGTACGTAAGTACATCAGTTCAGGTTGCCATACCACATTGTTAGCACAGAGATGTAATTGTCAATTCAAATCCATTAGTATAGTAGAGGTAGTAAAGGTATTAGAAGTCATCGGAGAGGTTAGGATTAGAAGATATTATTCAAGAAGTATGATTCAGTGACATAAATTTAGAAAGTCAAAACTAGAGTTGTTGAAGAACCCAGAAGATTAGGATTTGAGAGAACACAAAGAATAAATGCACCGGCGCCATTGCGGACGATTTTGAGTCATGTCATTCAAGGTCTCTAACCATTGATTATTATCATCTCGCGGACCCCAACCTGGTAGTCGACAATTACCGACATGGCTAAGTCCACTCGTCAATGACTTCATGGATTTCTGCCATGTTCCACTCGTCAATAACTTCATGGATTTGTGTCATGTTTTGGTTTGGCCGCCCCTAACTTTCTTCCAACCTATTACCACACCACAAAGCAAAGTTCGTCGAGGCAGTCGGTGGTTGGGCGTACGCAACACATGTCCCAACCACCTCAACTGATGAAGTTTCACCACTTCATCGATTGATCTGCCATCCTTAACTAGTACTCGTGTCCTAATGACAGCATTGCTCACTCGGTTGTCCCACGGTATACGAGCAATGCTTCGAAGACACCTATGATCGAAAACCAGTAACTAAGAATATCTTCTACTCTTACGGGCCATGTTTCACAGCCATAAAGTAAGACCGAGTGAACTACTGCGCAGTACACTCGTCCTTTATTCAGCAAACGGATATCTCGCCTACGCCATAAGTGACGCAGGTTGGCAAAAGCCAATCGAGCCTTGTGTATCCGAGCTGAGATTTCGTCAGTCACCAGGCCATCGGCACTGATAAGACTCCCAAGATAAGTGAAGCGGTCTACACGTTCGACTACTTCACTACTCCCTATCACACTAGTTCAGGTGCCGATGCAACCCAATCTTGAAGCAACATTTTGCATTTCGAGGGTGAGAACCGCATCCCAAACATGCTTGCATTGTTGCTTAGGGTAGTCAGAAGACTCTGCATTTTGTCAGCATCTTCACCAAGTAGGACTATGTCATCGGCATATTCTAAGTCAATAAGCGAGCCAGCAGGTAAAAGGTCTACTCCAGAAAATTCAGACGAGGATAAGGTTATTTCTAGGAGCATGTCTATGATAAAATTAAACAAGAATGGAGAAAGTGGACATCCCTGACGGACACCACTTGATGTAGAGAATTCCGTTGACAGTTCGCCACAAGCTCTCACTCGATCAGTGGTGTTCGAGTAAAGAGCTTGTATAAGGTTAATGTACTTCTTTGGTACACCTTTCAATGACAGACACTGCCACAGAACCTCACGATCAACAGAGTCAAATGCCGCCTTAAGTTCCAGGAAAAGAACTATTGTAGGACGTCTAAATGTGTGTCTGTGTTCCAGGACCTGTCGTAGTGTGAAGATGTGGTCTATACAACCACGTCCAGGTCGAAAACCAGATTGGTTTTCTCGAGTCTTCTCTTCCCGAGCTTTCATTAATCGTCGAAGTATTATTGAGGCCAATATTTTAGATACTATATTAGTTAGACTTATTCCCCTGTGATTGTCACAAGAAGACTTTTGTCCTTTCTTACAGATTGGGACAATCAGTGATTGAGACCAGTCGGATGGGATTGTGTCCAGCTCCCAGATTCTACCTAAGATCTCAGTCAACCTAGCTGATAAAACTGGACCACCATTCTTAAATATCTCAGGGGTCAGTCTATCAGGACCTGCAGCTCGTCCTCGTTTCAGATTTCCTAACGCTTTCTCAACGTCATTAAGACTAGGGGGACCTAGGTCGATTTGCCATTCAGGATGACTGGAGATCGTGGGTAACCGAAGAGTGGCTCGTGGCCAGTTGCACTGATCCCTAAAGTGTTCTGCTCATCGATCAAGTCTCCTAGATTGAGAATGGATAATAAGACCATCCTTTTCCGAGATAGTCTCACTCACATTCGGGTTCTTAATACCAGTTTCTTTAATAAGGCGGAAAAGTTGTCTAGTGTTGCCTATCGCCGCTGCCTTTTCCATCGCTTTTGCTTTCGCCACCCACCACTGTTCGCGGTCGTTACGCAGACTTTTTATAAGTCTGCGCCTAAGCTGACTACGCTCTTCATCATGCTCAGAGTCAGGTGGGATGCGTTTTCGAGCATCCATCAGTTCGGTGGATGCGACTGATATCCACGGCTTCATCCTAGCCTTATGTTTACCTTCCCAGCTGATATCACTACTATTTCCACAGCCTTTTTGATATCATACCAACCTGCTTCTGGATGGGAATCACTTACATCGTTGCTTAACTCTCTTTCTAGTTGCTGCTGAAATATTTTCTTGGTTTGATTATCATTAAGTAAAACCCTAAGAGGCTTCCTTACGGTGTCTTTCCTACGTCCAGTAAGCCTCAAAGAGATACGAGCTCGCACTAGGGCATGATCTGAATCCAAACATGTGCCCCAGAACGAGCGACAGTCTTCTATCGAACCCCTCCATCGGTGGCTGATGGCGATGTGATCTAGTTGAGTCCAACGTTGAGACGACTTCGGGGGTCGCCAGGTCAACAGATGCTTTTCCTTATGCTTAAAATTAGTGTTTACTAGAAATAGTTGGTTATCTGAGCACAGTTGCAACAGACGGTCGCCATTGTCTGTTCTTTGAGCCGCGAGACCGTAACATCCACCTAGGTGTCTTTCCTTTTCACCTAGTCTACCTACTTGAGCATTAAAGTCACCAGCCATTATTACTATATCAGAGCGCCTAGCTTTTTGGAGGAGGTCCGAAAGCTTTCTGTAAAACTCATCTTTAACCTCGTCTACACTGCAGTCAGTGGGGGCATAGGCAGATATGACGAAGAGGCAACAGCGAGTGTCCCTATCCTTCCGAGTCCTTACTGTCCCGTTTATTCGGACGGCGCACAAACGACTATCTACTGGGATCCAGTCTAGGAGAGATAATTCTGCCCTAGGATTCAACGCTATGCCTACGCCAGCAAGACCCCTGGAAGCAGCATCAGGGCTATCGGATTCACGAAGAGTGAATCGGGCTGCTTCTTCGTTTTGACAAGGTGGAATCAGATTAATAATTTTACTAGGATCCTGTATGCGCGTTTCCGAGACGCAGCATACATCGATGGCGTGAGTTTCTAAAGTCCTAGCTAATGATGCCTGTTGCCCTATTTGACACAATGTCCGTACATTAAAAGCTCCAACATGTAGTCTAGAACGGTGTTTCAAGAGACCAGGAACGGCGTTTCGTGATCTCGCTTCGTCTGCATTAGCGGTGCAGTGAGAAAAGAGAGTGTGAGTAGAGTTAGTCGTGGAGATAAGAGAGGTACTAGGGGTTGTAGGAAGGATTTGATTTTGACCAATTTGGTCTCGTATGCTGTTACGGGTATGAGGGCGGTTGTCACTTTCCGGCTGCCCACACCGTGGAAGGTTGTTTCTCGAGGGACCTGAAAAGGAAGATGGATAGTGTTGGTGCGTGACCGCAGAGCCCAAGGGACAACTGCTTGAGGCCGGTCACGCACGGCCTTTTTATGAAAGGTATTTAGAGGATTAGCTCCGTTCTTAAAGGCCCTTAGTGGGCACCCTTACCCAAGGAGACGGAAATCCGTGAGTTAGGGGAGGTGTGACATTTTTAGGGTCGACCTTTTCTAACCCTTCCTTCCTTGTGAGAAGGCAGCATCGCTGCAGATGCTGGTTGTCCAAGGGAAACACCTTACTGCTGGCACACCCCTCTGCAGTCAGCAGTACGACTTCGCCCTCAGACCTTGAGTAGCTGCTTTTAGTCTGATCGTTCTTCAATCGACCTGCTTGGCATGGTAGAACCTACAGGAACATATGTTCCAGCCAATAAAGCTTGGTTGGGTCATCACGATAGGCAAGCCTGACCACCACGTCAAGGTAGCAGCTACGGTCGGGATTTATGAACTTTGCATAGTTTAGAACAGCAAGTGCATTTACTCGTCTATCCCATAATATTTGGTAGGTACAATCAACGCAGTTACAGGGTGTTCAGGATCATTATCTTCTATCGATATTAGCTCGATCTGCTACTCATGAAAAAGTACTAGGCACAAAAATCTATACATAATCACAAGAGTTTGTACATCAATCCTTTACAGGCTCTCTTTACTCGAGTACTGTTGATCGGGTCAGACTATCATCAGAAATGTCAACTTCATGTTCGTTTCCCACGATTTCTATTTCACTTCTAAGTGTTATTTCTTTTTTTTGTTGTTTCTGTTAAAATCTATCTTAGGCAATATTATTTCCTGAACGTATATGTGAAGGCATTTCACCGGATCAAGATGAAATATTCTTAGAATTAATTATCGACCATTTAATGCATTGTATACGTCCAGCTACACAATCTACCACTGGATTGAATCGTCACTCTATGTACAATACAAATTTTACTACATCTTATTCAACAACAACAGGAATGAATAATAAATCACGTATTGAATCAAATTGTTTAACTGGAATGATTAGTCATGCCGATCATTCAGTGTGTCGATTACTTGGTTTAAAAATTAAATTAGTTCGACGTAAAACACCATGTTTAGCTATTGAATTAGAACAGGTTGGTGTACAACTCTTTTTTTTTCTCTTTAAATAGATTGTTTTGTGTTCAATGATTGTTCACATTAGTCGATAAACACGAATGAGACAATGAACCGGCATCCAGGTAGGCTACTTTGATCTGAAACGGCAAAAGAGAAGTTTTGATAAGCGTAGAAAGCATATTCTTGTTGGGGATGTTAGATCCCGAGAACTCGCTTGATAAATGCTTTATTTTGGATTTCACGTTTGCCAGCATGGGCTGATCAGTTGACCTTAAGATTTCATTTTCCACCAGGAAAATCCTTGCCTGTGATTGGCTGCTGTGTATTTTATTAGTGTGCTATTTTCTTAACTGTCTCAAGGACGTTTCTATGTTGTATAAATAAACGAGAGTTGTATGCTTGACTGTACTGTGATTGCTGGGTGTTTGTAAAATATTCTTTCTACGCTTACAAAGCCTTTTACTTCAGCCTCGGATTCAAGGTATCCTACCTGGACGCTGGTTTATTGTCTCGTTCGCGTTTATCGACAAAGGTAAACTCGTAATAGCCTCAAGCATACTAAGTGACGAACCCAATAATTCTACAAACACCCAGCCGACACAATGCAATCAAGCACACAAATCTCGTTTGTTTGTACATCATAGAAACGTCCTTGGGAGAGTCACAAAAATAGCACACTAAAATACACAGCAGCCAATCACAGCCTGACCGAATTGTAGAGTGCATCGATATTGGATTTTGAAATCATACCACAAAAGCACCAAGGCACATCGCTGAAGACGATTTGCAGAATGGGCTGGAATGCCAGATTTTGAACCGAATTCTGCTAGCAGAGGCTTATGATCTGTGAGGAGCGTGAATCTCCGACGGTACAGAAACTTGTGGAAACGGCGAACAGCAAACACAAGGGCAAGAGCCTCGTTCACTATCTAGCTGTACTTACTTTCTGCTGGGGTCAGTGTACGCGATGCATGCATAACGGCTTTTTCTTCTGACGTGTCTGCAAACTGATGTGAAATAACAGCACTTAGGCCGTATGCTGAAGCGTCTGCTACTACGATGATTGGCATGGATGGATTGTAGTGTGTTAATAACAATTCCGAGCTAATTATGGACATGAGTTTACAAAACGTCGCGCCACACTCTCTAGTCCAATTCCATGTGCTATGTTCTAAGCTTCTGCAATAGACAATTCAATGGAGCGCGAATATCATGCATCGAGGGAATAAATGCTGAATAATAACTGATTAATCCGAGAAAAGATCGTAATCCCGAGACATTAGTGGGAGTGGGCTTTAGTGTGATAGGTCGGATGTTCTCAGAATCCGGTCTGAGGCCGTCGGCATCAAAGATGAATCCCGAATACTTTACGGACTGTAATATAAACTGGCATTTCTCTGGGCGTAACCGGAAACCGTCTTACAACACGATTAAGGTAGGCATGAAATGAAAGTCCAGCAAAAATAGCGATCTGGACATTAGGTACAAACCTCAACTCACATGAAGTGTCTTAGGCATTGAACGAGTTTGCGTTTCTATAACTATAAAGTAAAGAAAACCCTAAACGTACAACTAATGTAGATGATAGCTGATAACTGTGTGTCATGTTGATTGATTGACAACCGTACAGGAACTTGTTGCGTTTAAATAAAAATGGAGGGAAATTATAAACCAGAGAATATCTATTACAAGACTCGATAGAAGGAAATTATTATAACAAATGTTATAGATGATGTCACAAAATGATTGCCACATTTAGAAAATTATTGAAGATAAAACTGTTTACTGAATATGTATATAAGTAGTATAAGTCAATCAATGCACATAAACGAATATAACTTTCGAGGGGCTGTTCGTGACGATGGCTATACTTATCTTGTTTGTGGCAAACCTGAAAAACCTTGAGATAAGTGTACACATTGATATTCTAAGACAATATAAGAATATGAATTTTATGATCTTTGCACTCTATATAATGTGAGTACGTAATTAAAACACCAGTCATAATAACTCTTAGTTCTAGTTCTTAACGCAGTTGTCTCTCTGAACCAAATCAAGTAGTCTCTACCTACTAACATTGTACAGTCTAGTTGTCAATGACTTCAAGGATTAGTGTCATATATTGGTTTGGCAGGTAAAACATACAACTGTTTCATAATACCCCTTAATCCTTTCGAGTTATTGTGTGTGCTTGCAACGACAAACTTGATGTTTATTTTTGTTTTCTCTAAAAAATCTAGTCAAGTGTTACTGGTCATCCACGTTCTGTTTGGCATTTTATACCGGTTCAAGTGGTACCTCCACGTTTATGGGATGAATTTATTGAACCAGCAGATCCAGATTTTAATGTAAGCATTAAACTGAAATCATGTTTTTATGTATTGAAAATATACTACTATTTATTATTAGTAGTTAGTAATAATATGAATAAAAGTTATTTCTACATTGATTGGCCGTTGATTACAGCAATTACCTCTCAGACTATCACGCATGAACGTAAACATATCATTTTGATATGCTTGAATTATTATGATTTTACCTTATTCGGAAAACCAGAGCGAGGATCGAGGATCTGGCGACATGACATGCTACTCTAATCCGAGTGTCCCGAATCCCCATTGAATAAAAGAAGTAGAACCTGTATTCTATAAACATCCAGAAAGTACGAGGTCCAAGTCCAGAAGAAGGCAAGGATTCCGGACTAGGAATCCGGGTCCGGCCTGGGTCGTAAAACGTTACAGATAATGCGTATTAATCCATTTAGGTTGAATAGGAAACAGCATCGAATTCTGTGATATTGACAGTTAAGACGACCGTTAGGAAACAACATTTGAAGTAACATTGACAGTCAGGACGACCACTAATAAGGAACAACATTGAAGTGCGTGACATTGATATCTGGGATGACCATAAAATTGACCAGTAGGAACTAACTAGTTGGAATTGACCAATAATTCTCGTAGGATATTGGATGAATATCCTAACACATACCTTAACCGGAAAAAGTTTGTATTTACCGGCTGATATTGGCTTGAACCAATAGTTATTGACTTTGCGAGCTGACGTTTCAACCATTATTGTTAATAACTGATCATAGCCTTGTGTGATCTATCTTAACCCTTATGGTTATCCGTAACATTTCTGTTAGTTCCATTGTATGCAAAATCGGATTCACAGACATACATATATAATGAAATTTTTTCGACTTACTTGTGTTTTTTGCACTTTCATTGACCTTGTTTCGTAGATATAAAGCAGATTGTCTCACAGTACATTAGAGCTGTATCGTTTAGTCGATGATGTCTATGTTTTTCCACAAATGGTCCTCAAATGTAGTCATCTTATATTTCATAGTTGTTAGCTGAAGTTCTTCCATACTATATATAAACAACTATTTACAATCTTTTCTTGTAGAAGTTAATTTTGAAATCTGGGACTTACGGTTAGTCTTATTTCAGACTAATTATCTGAATTTGTTTGTATCCAATCGTTGATGTTCACAGTCAAGTATGTGACTCCTCCAGAAGTGCGCATCCACGACCCTTGTCCGTGGAAATCACACCCAAGAGCTTCAGTTCGACTCAAACACTTATCCTATAGATCATTGAGTAAACATCTAATGATGTTAGTGTCTAACGTCAATCATTCCTTGATGTTGTACAACCTACGGTGGATCACTGTCACCTACTCGACACGGACTGAACTCTACTGGTCACGAAATCTCACTGGAACTCCAGGAATACATCAATGAGGCTAGTTGTTAAGATATTCATCCAATATCCTACGAGAATGACTGGTCGATTTCTATTGGTTAATTCCTACCGATCGTCCTAGATATCAATGTCACGTACTTCAATGTTGTCTCTTATTGGTCGTCATAACTATCAATGTCACTTCAAATGTTGTTTCCTATTGGTCGTCCTAACTGTCCATGTCACAGACTTCAATGTTGTTTCTAATTCGACCTAACTGTATAAATACGCATTATCTGTAACGCTTCATAACCCGGACGCTGATACCTCGTCCGGGATCCTTATCTTCTTCTGGACTCGGGCCTCGTATTTCCTGGATGTTTGTAGAATACATGTTCTACTTCATATCAAGTCTTCTTCCTTTATTCGATGGGGGTTGGGACACTCGAATTAGAGTAACTTGTTGTGTCGTTTTCCGACTCAGGTAAATTCGTAATAGTTCAATCATATCAATTTGACGTGTTTACGTGTATGCGTAACCCTAGTCACTAGTGAGCTTATGATAATTTTCACCATAGGATTGTGAAGATTGTGAAGCTTCATTAAAATCATGAATTATTGTCGACGCAGTTGTCCAAAGACTAAGCATTCGCACAGGGATTCAGTTCTCTAATGCCGGAGACGTGGGTGAGCACTACTGAGGAGTCTTATACTAGGATGAAATGGCTTCCCCAATGCCTCCCAGTTCCTGATGGTGGTCTAAAATTGATCGATTTATAATTTCAATTATCATCCACCAGTTTTTTTTTTAGCAAATATTCACTATTTCTCGATTGCGTATGCCTAACCACCGACTGCCTCGAAGAGCTTTGTTTTGTGATGTAGGAGTGGGTTGGAAGAAAGTTAGAGGCGGCCAAACCAAAACATGGCAGAAATCCATGAAGTCATTGACGAGTGGACTTAGCCATGTCGGTAATTGTCGACTACCTGGTTGGGGTCCGCGAGATGATAATAATCGATGGTTAGAGACCTTGAACGACAGGGCTCAAAACAGTTTGCAATGGCGCCGGTGCATTTATTCTCTGTGTTCTCTCAAATCCTAATCTTCTGGATTCTTCAACCTGCTCTAGTTTTGACTTTCTAAACTTTTCTCACTGAATCATACTTCTTGAATACTATCTTCTAATCCTAACCTCTCCGATTACTTCTAATACCTTTACTACCTCTACTACTATTGGATTTGAATTGACAATTACATCTCTGTGCTGATGTGATATGGCGACATGAACTGATGTACTCATGTACGAAGTTCTACATTGCAACTGACTGACTGACTGATTTCTCGATTGTAATCTGTTTATTATCTTTTTTTAAATATAACGCCAAGCTAACTCACTAATTTAGTAGTAACACGTTTCTTATCAATATGTTGTTTAGATTTTACAATCTCTGTGAACAGTTAGTTAGTTATCAACATTTTCTCATGTATTTTTGCATGCATTTTTTAGGTGAGCATATTTTTCCCACCACTGAAAACATTACGTCCATTTATTGATCGTATGAAAAAATTTGCCAAATTTGTTGTAAGTATAAAAAAGAAAAAAATTCTTGACTTGTTGTTCATTTTGTAAAATTGAAATACAAACAACCATGTAACTTATTGATGATAATATTTTGGGGCAGAGTTTTGGAGGTTTGTGTTTTTTACACATTTGAAATCATCAATCAATCATTGTTAGACCACCATTAGAAACCTGGAAGCACTGGAAGGCCGTTTCTTCCTGGTATGGGACTACTCATCAGCAGTGCGCATCCACGACTATTCGAACCCGGGACCTTCGGTATTGTGCGCGAACGCCTAACCATCGGCTCCACTGGGTCGGCATCCAACGGTGTTAATGTCTAACTCTGATTGATCTAGGGATTTTGCGCGACCTCACCCATTGGTCTTTGGTAGTTACTGCCTACACCAGTTAGGGTTGAACTCCATTGGTCACGTCTTCTCAATAGAACTCCGAGAATTTCCTCACGAAGCTAGTCACTAGTGGGCACTGTTACGATTTTTTGGGGCAAAGTTTGGAGGTTTGTGTTTTTACACATTTGAAATCATCAATCAATCATTGTTGGAACACCGTTAGAAACCTGGAAGCACTAGTATTGTGCACGAACGCGAATGTCCCGGGTTCGAATCCTTCGGGGTGCAAGAGTCGTGGATGCGCAGTGCTGATGAGCTTCATACCAGGACGAAACGGCCGTCTTTCAATGCTTCCAGGTTTCTAATGGTGGTCTAACACTTATCGATTCATGGTTTCAAAAAATGTGTAAGTCAATTATTACAAAGTAGAACCACTGTCACCTGCTCCTGTTCATGGCCTAAGTGTTAGTTATCTTTGACGAAGATCGGTGAATTGTGTTGATGCGCATTGACTAGCTTATCAGACGATTTGTTTAGAGTCCAGTGACATTTCACTGGGTCTCCAATGATTGTAGATGCATCAATTGAAATAATTAGAAATTTGTTATACTGTTGCTTCACGTATATATATCTATATATATTAAACCCTATAAAATTCAAATTTTTGTATTCTATTTCACTTTTTGTTCAGAAAAACTTTTTCGTTTCCCAATAAAATTGTGACATTATTATTTTGATACATTGCTTCTAACTCGCTATACTGTTTACATAAAATATAATAATTTGAGGGAAACTTTGTAGACAGGTACACATCAGGATTTCATGTAAGTCAGTTAGTTCAAGTTGCCATACCACGACAGCACAGAAATGCAATTGTCAATTCAAATCCAATAGTGGTAGAGTGAGTAGAAGTATGATCAGTAATTGGTGTAATAAATTTGATAAGAGAAAGATGAAGGTCATGAGAAATTCAGATTAAAATTTGTGAGAACACAAAGTGCGGATGCACCTGCGCCATTACAAACGATTCTGAACAATATCATCCAGGATCTCTAACCATTGGTTACTATCACTCCGTGGACTTCAACCAGCTAGTCTACATCTACCAACGTGACCCAATCCACTTGTCAGTGACTTCATGTTTTAGCCTGGCCGCCCCTAGCTTCCTTTCAACCTACTTCTACACTACAAAACATCGGTGGTTGGACATACGTAACACATATCCCAACCATTTCAACTGATGAAGTTTCACTACTGCATCTATTGATCTGCCATCCCTTACTTTGTACTCGTTTCCTAACAACAGCATTGTTTGCTCGGTTGTCCCAGGATAAACGAGAAAAGATTTAGTAACTAGTAACCTACAAATATCCTCTACTTTTACTGGCCATATTTCACACTTATCATGTACGACTGAGCTAATTGCTACTCAGTAGTCTTGTCCTTTGGTTAGTAGACGGGTGTCTCGCTTACGCCAGTTGAGCTTTCTGTATCCGTACCGTGATTTCGTCACACACACTCGGCCATCATCACTGATGAGACTCCCGAGATCGATGAAGCAGTCGTTCCGCTCAACTACTTCACTTGTAGTGAAGGAGAAGACAGGTGAAGACAACCAAATTGTATTTATCGCAAATTACAGAGTTACTCAGTAAAATAGGAAAACCATATCGTAAACGGTTAATTTGCACATCTTCAATCCATCATCAATCCATTGTCTGACATTTCACTTATTCATGCGTTTCATACAAATTCCACTGTGTTCCCACTCTTCCTTTCTTGATCTTCCCTCATCTTCTGCTACCAGACATTACGTTTACACTCACGTCATATATACTACTTATAAGTAGCTCGCACCACACACTCCCCATCACACTAGTTCAGGTGCCGATGCATAGTTTTCCCTTTGTCTTTTTTTTTATTTCTATTCAGGTTATCAGTGCAAATGGTTCAGGTGAATTAAATTTGGCTGTTAATGTTGAAACATTAGCTTGTGTGAAATTAACATTTCGTGGTTTAAAAGCACGTAGTTGGATGACAACAACAACAGCAACGAATTCAGAAATAATAGAAGATCCAATTGAAATCAATGATTCCATTATGGAAGATGAAACACGTAGTACCATTTGGGATTCTAATGATATTGTCGATTTGGATCATTCCAAATCAATAGCGGCAAATAATGAAGATCATCCGAATAAAAAATTTGTATCGATTAGTTTAGATTTACGACGTATTAGTCAATTATTATCAAGTCCAAGAATAATGCCATCATGTTTTGTTTGTAGTAAGTTTCCATCTCTCTCTCTTTCTCTTGTTTGTTTGTTTCCTAATTCGCATGCATTCAATACAACTCGCAGTTGAAATGTTTACTTATGTTATTATTGGACATTGAACTGCATACAACAGATTAAAACAAATGTGGCGTTACATGTGAACTTGTAACTCAATAGAAGAAACCACTTCTGCGTAATTACAACTAAAGTTGATAGCTGATCATCACTAAAGTATTATGTATAATGTAAGCCGTGATGGGAGTCATTAAAGCTTTTTTTTAGCAAGTTAGTTTTCTATGGGATGGCGTAGCTAACCCCTATGCTCAACCCTCCTCTTTCATCCGAACCTGGGACTGGCAGTAGCCCTAGAAAGGCACCAGGCGGAGTAGCGGTAGGTCGATAAACACACTGCACCGAGAATTGGAGACAGACATGAAAAAAAGTGGATAGAAACTGGTTGTTACTGGAAAGTGAGGCTCAGGACTGAGTTGCATGGAGAATTCTAATCGGCAGCCTATGCTCCATTAGGAGTAACTGGCGTATAACATCGAAAGTTTCACTGTATTATATTCTCATCAAATTTGCATTGCACTTTACGTGAATGGTTCTGTTTCGCTGTAATATGATCTTCCCAACAAAATATGGTTATACATTGAGATCGTGAGTTAATCGTTGTTATACCACCATCAATCAAAAACCTGGAAGCGCTGAACGGTTGTCTCATCATGCTATGGGATTCTCCACGATTTCAATTTGTGAAGCAACAATCTCTATAACTCCATGATAAAAAATCATGAAATATGCTTACTAGTGAAGTTCAACTCTGCCGGATGTACTAGGTAGTAGTAACTACCGAAGGTAATGGGTGAGGTTGCACGGAATCCTTACAATGATGAAAGTTAGACATTAGCACCGTTGGATGTCGCTGGACCAGTGGTCTAGAGTTTAGGCGTCCGCGCTCGAAACCAGGAGTTCCGAGTTCGATTCACGCGAGTAGCGGTCGTGGATGTGCACTGCCGATGAGTCCCATACTAGGACGAAACAGCTGTTCAGTGCTTCCAAGTTTCTTATGGTGGTCTAACAATGATTGATTGATTCACCATTTCAAATTAAAACAACCATCTGCATTACTCTATAATGAAAAAACATGGTTAGCCTGTCATCTTTGTGAAGACCTTTTATTGTTGAGCCTCAGAAAGGCTCCAGACGGAGTAGCTGTAGGTCGATAAACACACTGCACCGAGAACTGAAGAAAGACGTGAAAAAAGTGGTTAGAAACTGGTTGTAACTGGAAAGGGAGGCTCAAGACAGAGTTGCTTGGATAATGCTTGCTGGTTGGCAGCCTATGCTCCATTAGGAGAGTAAAGCTGGCGTAATTAAGTAGTATATTTATAACATCGAATGTTTCGCTGTATTATGCTCTCATCAAATTTTCATTGCACTTTACACTAAGGTTGTTAATATGTGACATACCAGATACTGTGAAAAACTTGCCGGCATCTGAAATTATAAAAATATTAGATTCGAGTTTTTCGTGAGTATATCAACAATGGAATATATAGGCACAACACCTAGATTAAGAGTTCGAAACAAGAGAGAAGCACCTATACACAGACAGACAGACAGATACAATGCAGAACTTCGTACATAAGTACATCAGTTCAGGTTGCCATGCCCCATCAGCACACAGACGCAACTGTCAGTTCAAATCCAAGAGTGATAGCAATAATAGAAGTATTAGCAGTAATGGAAAAGATTAGGGAGCGAAGATATGATTCCAGAAGTATAATTCAGTAAGATAAATTCAGAAAGAGAACCCTTCCTTCCTTGAGAGAAGGAAGCATCGCTGCAGATGCTGGTTGTCCGAGGGAAACACCTTACTGCTGTCACACCCCTCCATCACAGTCAGCAGTACGACTTCGTCCTCAGACCTTGAGTAGCTGCTTTTATTCTCATCGTTCTCCAGTCGACCTGCCTGGAATGGTAGAACCTTCAGGAACATATGTTCCAGCCAGTATAGCTCGGTTGGGTCATGACGATAGTCAAGCCCGACCACCAGGTCAAGGTAGCAGCTACGGTCGGGGAAAAACACCTATCTTTCGAACTCATTCCTAGCCACTCTTCAACCTTTCTGTATTGAAAATTAATCACTTACTAAAAACATCGGAAAAAGAAAGCAGTGTCATCATGAGCTTATTTTTTTTCTCTGTTACCTCTGTAAAGAATCAACATAGTTGTAAGTAGAATTGATCTTCCCAACAAAACATGGTTATACATTGTGATCGTGAGTCATTGATTGTTAGATCCTCATCAGAAACTTGGACGGCTGTTTCATCATAGTATGGGACTCTTCACGATTTCAATTTGTAAAGCAACAATCTCCATAACTCTATATTAAAAAATCATTAAATGGGCTCACTAGTGAGTGATTAGCTTCTCGCGGAAATTTTTAGAGTTCTAGTGACCAATGGAATATAATCCTGTCAGTTATAAGCAGTTGCTACCGAAGGACAATAAGTGAGATTACGCAAAATCCTTAGATTGATCAACAACACCGTTAGATACCGGCTCTGTGGTTTAGCGGTTAAACGTAAGCACGCAAGATTGTGAAGGTCCTGGGTTCGACTCCCGCACACTAATGACGAGACTCATCCTGGGACGAAGCAGCTGTCTACTGCTTCCCGGTTTCTAATGGTGGTCTTATATTGATTGATTCATGATTTCAATATGAAAAAAAACTGTATCATGTAAAAACTTGGTTAGCCTATCATCTTTGTGAGAACGTCTTATTATTGCAATAAACCATTCCTTCAACAGTCAGTCAGTCAGTCAGATGCAACGTAGAACTTCGTACGTAAGTACATCAGTTCATGTCGCCATACCACATTATTAGCACAGAGATGAAATTGTCAATTAAAATCCAATAGTAGAAGAGGTAGTAAAGGTGCTAGAAGTAATCGGAGAGGTTAGGATTAGAAGATATTATTCAAGAAGTATGATTCAGTCAGAAAAGTTTCCAAAGACATAGGTAGAGGTGCTGACGAATCCAGAAGATTAGGATTTGAGACAACACAAAGAATAAATGCACTGGCGCCATTGCAAACGATTTTGAGCGATGTCATTCAAGGTCTCTAACCACCGGTGACTTTCGTCTCGCGGACCCCAACCAGGTAGCCTACATCCACCAACATGACTCAGTCCACTTGTCAATGACTTCATGCATTTCTGCCATGTTTTGGTCTGGCCGCCCCTAGCTTTCATCCAACCTATTCCTACACTATAAAACATAGTTCGTCGAGGCAGTCGGTGGTTAGGCATACGCAGCACATGTCCCAACCCCCTCAACTGATGAAGTTTCACCACTTCATCTATTGATCTGCCATTCTTACCTAGCACCCGTTTCCTAATGACAGTGTTGCTCAATCGGGTGTCCCAAGGTATACGAGCAACGCTTCGAAGACACCTATGATCGAAAACTACTAACTGACGAATATCTTCTACTCTCACTGGCCATGTTCCACAGCCATAAAGTAAGACGGAGCGAACTGCTGTGCAGTACACTCGTCCTTTAATCAGCAAACGGTTATCTCGCCTACGCCATAAGTGACGCAGGTTGGCAAAAGCCAATCGAGCCTTCTCTATCCGCACTGAGATTTCGTCAGTCACCAGGCTATCAGCGCTGATGAGACTCCCAAGATAAGTGAAGTGGTCTACACGTTCGACTACTTCACTCCCTATCACTAGTTCAGGTGCTGATGCAACCCAGTCTTGAAGCAACATTTTGCATTTCGAGGAGGAAAACCGCATCTCGAATATGCTTGTATTGTTGCTTATGGTAATTAGAACACTCTGCATTTTGTCAGCGTCTTCACCAAATAGGACAATGTCATCGGCATATTCTAAGTCAATAAGCGAGCCACCTGGTATATATTTATATCTATGTATTTGTTGGTGGTTTGTGAGTTATTGATTTTTTTCAACAACAAAAAAATAATCTTTTCTCTATTCCCCTTTTTTTTACAGATATTATTCATGAGAAATTAGCACAATTTTTAATGTTATTTGATAATCATAAATTAAAGTTTAATATACCAGCATCTAATTTATAAATAATAATAATTAATTTACCTCTTTTGTACAAATAACATTTTTATTCATAATTCCGTAAAAAAGATTTTATTTGATCAACTTGGTTGATAATTACAATGTTTTTATGATTTATTGATTATTGAATTATGCCTGGTAAAATGTGCTGGTACAGTGAGGAGAGTTCGCCTTTCTCTTTAAATGATCTTATATGGCCATATGTGGTTGTAGCCACTGCCAGGGAAGTCCTACTCAATGTTGTTTAAAAAATTGAAGGGACGAAAAGCGAATATCTTTTCTGGAGCTTTAACCAAGTTAGTAGGTATGAAGCATTCACCTATGGAAGTTGAGAAATCTTCATACTTAAACTAATGGTGCACATGAACTCCAGTATGCTGATGGAAACGGCGTATGAACCTATTGCTGGTCGCCGACTACCATGGGACTACTTTGTGGATTAGAATTCTAGGTCAAAGGTTTGAGGTGTGACTACTTAGGAAAACAACCTGCTTCGGTTTGGGCATCCAAGCAGTATCCCAACCCACTCAAAAATTCAATTGCTTATGTGATACATCAATGTTTAAGCGCCATTTTGTACCGATGTTCATGTGTTTAAACAAATAAGAGTTAAAAAAAACGACGAATGATCGTTTCTAATGAAAACTTTAGATATATAGTGACTATCCGAGCAAACAAGCCTCGCATTTTTCCAAATGAATCAAAAGATATATTCTTTGTTATTTAGTCAAGGAGGTATAATTTGTAGTGGTGCTGGTTTTCATACCCTACTATAGTCATATTTCTTTGAACTCCTTCATCTTTTTAATCGTGCAAAACAAAAACTCTGTAACAAGTTATTACGACAGTAAAAGTGGAATTAAACAAAACTCCTTAATGTCATCACTCCATTATTTCACAGTTAGTAATGCAGTGATGCTTTTGAACGAAGTGTAGTGGTAGTAGTAGAAGTAGTAGTATAGATTTGTCATCATACTGTACAATAACTGATACGTTTGCAACTATTACGAGTTCATCTTACTCGGTAAACGGAACGGAGATCAATGATGCAATGACACGATAGGCTATGCTAATCCAACTGTCTCGTAGAGAAATGTATTCCATACAGGCACTCAGAAAGTGAGAGGTCCACAACTCAAGCTTATTAATGCAATGTATAAAACGCCCTTGGTGAGAGCCATAAAATAGCATACTGAAATGATCCAACAACCAATGATGATCGAGGATTTTCCAAGTGGGGCATGTAGGCTGAAAGTCAACTGAGTGCCGTTGGCGAGGAAACAATAATTCAAAATCCCAGAAATAAATTACAAAACCAGGAACTTTTAAAAGTGAGTTCTGGGGATCTAACGTCCTCAACAATAACACGAAATACCTTAATTGCATTTAGCTAGTTATCATTCAACACTATTACCAGTGTCTTAATAAAGCATAACTATACAATAATTAAAAGAGATCTCTCTACATGTTTTATTGAATATTGATCTCAGTATACAGTGGATTTTATAAATGTGTAAGTTAAATAGTTTGACTAAATATCCAGTTTTCATAAAACCAATGCGCTTTTAAAACATGGTTGTTTCAAGTTGAAGATTTTGAATCATTCTGTCAAATCACATACAGCTAGATTTTATAATTCCCGACCGTAGCTGCTACCTTGACATGGTGGTCGGGCTTGCCTATCGTGATGACCCAACCGAGCTATATTGGCTGGAACATATGTTCCTGAAGGTTCTACTATGCCAGGCAGGTCGATTGGAGAACGGTGAGACTAAAAGCAGCTACTCAAGGTCTGAGGGCGAAGTCGTACTGCTGACTGTAGAGGGGTGTGACAGCAATAAGGTGTTTCCCTCAGACAACCTGCATCTGCAGCGATGCTGCCTGCTCACAAGGAAGGAAGGGTTAGAAAAGGTCGACCCTAAAAATGTCACACGTCACCCTACCTCACGGATTTCCGTCTCCGACGGTAAGTGCTTTTAAGAGCGGAGCTAATACTCAAGAAACCTTTCATAAAAAGGCCGTGCGTGACCGGCTTCAAGCAGTTGCCCTTTGGGCTCTGTGGTCACTCTCCCAGGCCAACACTAATCTATCTTCCTTTTCAGATTCCTCAAGAAATACCCTTCTACGGTGTGGGCAGTCGGGAAGTGACATCCGCACTCATACTCGTAACAGCACGCGAGACTTCGTAATTAATGCCTAGGGTTTAACATTAATTTTATGGCATAATCTAGAAAACAAAGTGCTCTCTTCTCATTACATCAAGCTACATCATTCAGGCATGTTTTATGGTGGGTGAATGCTACTTCGAGCAACAAACACAACACACACAGGGAAATATTTGCTTACTCCAGAAACATTTTGAGTAGTAGTTTTACGACATTTCATCCTGAATTAGCATTTATTCAACTTATACAAGCTCTTTGTTAGGTTAGGTAACACAATATTTTAAAATACTATTAAATATAACCGAGATACACATTGCTGAAAGCACCCAGCTTACGTCACAAGCTCCAACACAGAATCCTCAAACGCCGAAGGAGACTATAAAATACATTACATTACGCCGACAATCTGATGGCATACATGAAAGTAATGGGATAGAACTTTTAAAAAAGTTTCCCGACAGAGGAGGTTGAAGAATGATAGTCGTGGGGAGGGGGGTTAACAGCCATAAGTATGTAAGTAATTATTAAGCAATTAACCATCCTGGTATAGTATATTCTACCAAATATTTCTTTCATCCGCGCATCAATCAAATCAACAACAATCATAAAATTGATGATATGATTAAAAAGATTTATTTTTCTTTTTTGTAACAACTAAAACAAATATCAATATATAAAATCAGAATGTTAATAAAAAAAATAAAATAAGTACAATGAACAAAAAATCAATAGTGAATTTCATATACATTACATTGTTAAACAGATAAACCTATTATACATACATACATAAATGTTACTGCTCTACCCCATTTTACAGTCAGTCAGTCAGTCAGTCCTATTATTGACTACTGGATGATTCAGAAATCCACGATACTAAAGTCTAAAATAAATTGAAACATTGATTCAGTGAGTGAATGAATGAATAAATAAGAAAATAAACAATTTATTCATGCAGCGAAATCATTGTGATTTTTATATTCAGTTAGTCAGTCAGTCAGCTACAACGTAGAACTTTGTACATACGTAACATCGCTACAGGTTGTCATACGACATTAGCACACAGAGATTGAATTGTCAATTCAAATCTCAATGTAGTGGAAGTTGTAGGAGGAATAGCGGTAATCAAAAAGATCAGTGGTCGAAGATATCATTCAAGAATTAAATCTCAAAGGAATCAATTTGAAGGGAGAGTAAGTCATGTGGAATTCAGAAGGTTAGAATTAGAGAGAACACAAAGAATAGATGCACTTGCGCCATTGCAAACGGTTTTGAGTCATATTACTCAAGGTCTCTAACTATGTTCGTGATGCGGTTTTCCCCACCGAAATGCAAAATGTTTGACTGAGTCATGTTGGTAAATGTAGACTACCTGGTTGGAGTCCGCGAGACCAATGGTTAGAGTCCTTGAACGACATGGCTCAAAATCGTTTGCAATGGCACAAGTGCATCCATTCGTTGTGCTCTCTCAAATCCTCGTCTTCTGGATTCGTCAGCACCTCTACCTCTGTCTTTCTAACCTTATCTCACTGAATTATACTTCTTGAATAATATCTTCAAACCCTAGTCTTCTTCATCACAATTAATACCTCTACTATCTTTGTCACTATGGGATTTGATTTGACATTTGCGTCTCTGTGCTGATGTGGTATGGCAACCTGAACTTATGTACATACGTACGAAGTTCTACGATGCAACTGACTCTCTAACCATCGATTACTATCGTCTCGCGGACCCCAACCAGGTAGCCCACATCTACCGACATAGCTCAGTCCAGTTGTCAGTGACTTCATGGATTTGTGCCATGTTTTAGGTGTGGCGCTTCTAACTTTCTTCCAACCTATTTCTACACCGCAAAACACCTGGACGATGCAGTCGATGGTTAGGCATTCATAAAACATGTCTCAACCATCTTAACTGATGAAGTTTCAATACTTCATCTACTGATGTGCCATCCTTATCTTGTACCATTTTCCTAACAACAGCATTGCTCACTAGGTTGTTCCAGGATACACGAGCAATACTTCAGAGACACCTATGACCGAAAACCAGTAACTTATGAATATCTTCTACTCTCACTGGCCATATTTCGCATCCATATAGTAGAACCGAGCGAACTGCTGCGCAGTACATTCGTCGTTTGGTTAGCGAACGGACATCTCGCCTACGCCATAATTGACAGAGGTTGGCAAAAGCTAATCAGTCAGTCAGTCAGTCAGATGCAACGTAGAACTTTGTACGTAAGTACATCAGTTCATGTTGCCATATCACATCAGCACTGAGATATGATTGTCAATTCAAATCTAAAAGTAGAGGAGGTAGTAAAGGTATTAAGAGTAATCGGAGAGATTAGGATTAGAAGATATTATTCAAGAAATAGGATTCAGTGAGAAAAGTTTAGAAAGTCAAAACTAGAGGGGTTGAAGAATTCAGATTAGGATTTGAGAGAACACAAAGAATACATGCACCGGCGCCATTGCAAACGGTTTTGAGCCATGTCATTCAAGGTCTCTAACCATCGATTATTATCATCATCGTAGAAATATGAGAGCTATTAAGAGGAGCCGTTAGGTAGTTGACGGTGGAGGTCACTTCCCGGCCGCCCACACTGTGGAAGGGTATTTTTTGAGCGACCTAAAAAGGAATTCGTGTTGGCGTTGGTCTTAGTGACCACAGAGACCAAAGGACAACTGTTTGAGGCTAGTCTTGTAAGGCATTTTAATGTCCGAGACGGAAATCTATGGGGTAAGGTGAGGTGTCACATTTTTAGGGTCAACCTTTTGACTAAGTAACACCGCTGCAGATGCTAGCTGTTTGAGGCAAACACCTTATTACCGTCACAACCCTCTACAGTCAGTATTATAACTGCGCCCTCAGTTACTGCTTTTAGTCTTACCGTTCGCCAATAGACCTCCCTGTCACGGTAAGACATGAACAATCGTTATCAAAAATAAACTGATGACTACGACAAAAAATTAATGACATTTGCAAAGAATTTTTCAGTCCAAAAAGGAGTCAAATCAGAGAAAACAGTTAATAATCGAGCATTCCTTATCCACGCCAGGCCATCAGCACTGATGAGACTCCCAAGATAAGTGAAGCGGTCAACATGCTCAACTAATTTACTCCCTATCACTAGTTCAGGTGCCGATACAATCCAATCTTGGAACAACATTTTGCATTTCGACGGGGAGAATCGCATCTTGACCACGTTTGCATTGTTGCTTAGGGTAGTCAGGAATCACTGGATTTTATCAGCGACTCCACCAAGTAGAACTATGTCATCGGCATATTCTAAGTCAATATGCGAACCTCCTGGTAGAAGGTCCACTCCTGAAAATTCAGACGAAGATAATGTTATTATGTAGCAGCATGTCTACGACAAAGTTAAACAAGAATGGGGAAAGTGGACATCCCTAACGAACACCACTTGAAGTAAAGTATTCCGATGACAGTTCGCCATAAGCTCTCACTCGACCAGTGGTGTTCGAGTAGAGAGCTTGTATGAGGTTAATGTACTTCTTTGGTACACCTTTTAATGAAACAAAATGCCTAAGAACCTCACGATCGACAGAGTCGAGAAATACTACTATTGTGGATTTTCTTGTGTTAACTCAATAGTTATTAAACCTTATACGCGCATGTGGTATTTTTAGAACTGATGTTTTATGATATAATTGTTAAGTTACAAGTAAGAAAGTTGTAAAAAGCAAACTTAGAATGGTAGCTTGACAATCAATGTTTTCAACTTCCAACTGATATGTAGCTCAAAGTTGAACAACAAAAATATGAGTTGAATTTTTTAACAGCAACAATGACAGAAAAAAAACACACATTAATACGCATTGATCAAGTTAGACATTAACACCGTTAGATACCGGCTCAGTGGTCCGATGGTTGGGCGTTCGCCTACAATGCCGAAGGTCCTGGGTTCGAATCCTCCGGGGTGCAGGAGTCGTGGATGCGCACTGCTGAAGAGTCCCATACCAGGACGAAACGGCCGTCCAGTGCTTCCAGGTTTCTAATGGTGGTCTAACATTGATCAATTCATGGTTTCAAAAAACACACTGATTAATACCATGAATATAACAAATCATAATTGTATTATAGCCTACCTCATCATCCGCATTACGACTAACACCCATAATATGCCCATGATTTAAAACAACACTTTGTTCATAACGTGAATCAAGTTTCGGTAAAACAATACGTCCAGATCTTGTACGATTTAATTCTCTAACATCAATTACTTTACCTAAAAAAAAGAATAAAAACAATTTTTATGTACATAAAAGAAATAATGAATAATTTTGAAGAGAGAGAGAGAGAGAAAAGATTCAAAGTCTAATCCTATTGGTCAATTCCCATTGGTTAATTGCATATTATGGTCGTCCTAAATGTCAATGTCACAGACTTCAATGTTGTTTCCTATTGGTCGACTTGACTGTCCATGTCACAGACTTCGATGCTGTCTCCTATTCGACCTAAATGTATAAACACGCTATATCTGTAACGTTTTATGACCCGGATCCTCAGTCCGGGATCCATATCTTCTTCTGGACTCGGACCTCGCAGTTTCTGGATGCTTGTAGAATACACGTTCTACTTCATATCAAGTCTTCTTCTTTTACTCAATGTGGGTTTGGGACACTCAGATTAAAGTAGCCTGTCGTGTTGCCCGATCCTCGATTCTCGATCTCGTCATCCGACTAAGATAAACTCGTAATAATTCAAGTATATCAAAATGACATATTTACGTGCATGCGTTAGAAACGTTATTCGATAAAATAAAAAATACATACATTTATTGTTTCATTAATAAAAAGGTTCGCTAACAACATGAACTACAAGCATCCAGTGTGGTGTGGAATTTCTCGATATTGCTTATCCGCGACCTTTCCGCTAAGCAATCGACGTCAAGACCATTGAACTCGCGTGAGAATATGCAATGTCTAAACTAGTAAAGTTTGATTGTGTTACCTATCCAAGGTCGCTCAATATCATCAATTGATAAGAGTAACATATATATGTACACATTACTGGATTCAGGTTCGGTAGCGTAAATAAAGGTTAGGAGTTTGTGGGTAAGGTCGAATATCCACCACCGTTAGAAATTCTCCAAGTTCTAGTGAGAAGCTATGAACAATGAAGTTCAACTGTGACGCATGTGAAGCAGCTGCCCATACAAGACAATAGTTGTGTCGGGGACGTTAGATCCCCAGAACTCGCTTGATAAATGTCTTATTTTGGATGTCACGTTGCGAGAATGGGCTAATCAGTTGACCTTGAGATTTCATTTCCTACCAGGAAAATCCATGTCTGTGATTGGCTGCTATGTATTTTAGTGTGCTATTTTTGTGACTGTCACAAGGACGTTTCTATGACGTATAAATAAAAGAGATTTGTGTGCTTGATTGCATTGTGCTTGCGGGATGTTTGTAAAATATACTTTCTACGCTTATCAAAACTTCTCTTTAGCCGGTTCAGGTCAAGGTAGTCTACCTGAACGCTGGTTCATTGTCTCGTTCGCGTTTATCGACTAGCGTGTACCCATAATAGCTTCAAGCATACCTAGTGACGAACGTAACAGGGTAGCACAATATCATGCATTGATTCAAGTTAGACATTAACATCATTGATTCAGTGGTCAAATGTCCGAGCCTGAGGCTGAAGACCCTTGGTTCGATCCCCGTTGACGGGTTCATGGATGCGCACTACTGAAGAGACTCATAGTTAGAACGAAACAACCATTCAGTACTTCCAGGTTTCCAATGATGATCGAGTATTGGTCAGTTCATAATTCCAATGAATTTCAACAATCTCCACAACTCTATGATGATATTTATATTTTATCATTGAAATCATCAGTTGATCAGTTTGTAAGACAACCTGAAAGCATTGGACCGCTGTTTCTTCCTAGTACGGGGGGCTCATAAGTAATACGCATCATCCATGACCCCCGCTGGCCAGAATCGAATCCAGGACCTACAGCCTTACGCGAGAACGCCAAACGATTTAGACCATTGGAGTCGGCATTCATCAGTGTTGTTAATGTCTAACTGTAATCAATCTAACGGTTGTCTTCGGCGGGTAATTTGCCTACACCCAATGGATGCAGGATGGATATTCATTACAATCAACTTGAATAATCATCAATCAATCATTGTTAGACCACTATTAGAAACCTGCAAGCACTGAAAGACGGCCGTTTCGTTCCGGTATGGGACTCATCAGTGGCAGTGCGCATCCACGACTCCTGCACCTCACAGTCATTCGAACCCGGGACCTTCGGTATTGTGCGCGAACGCCTAACCATCGGACCACCGGGCCGGCCGACACCCAACGGTGTTAATGTCTAACTCTCATTGATCTAGGGATTTTGCGTCTTTGGTAGTTACTGCCTACACCCGACAAGGTTGAACTCCTCCACTGGTCACTTCTCACCCTAGAACTCCAAGAATTTCCTCACGAAGCGGATTGATTGATAATTTCAAATGTGTAAAAAAAACACAAACCTCCACCAAAACTCTGCCCCCTCCCCAAAAAAAAACTTGAATAACACAAAATAAATGAATAATCTTTCTACAATGATCAAACAAACAAACCTGACGCAGTGTATAAACGATAACGTTCATCAATACTACTACTGTTATCATTATTATTATTAGTAGTATTTTTATCCTTGACTATAGATTGACGATTCAATAATAAACCATTCGGCGGCAATTGATGTTTATTATGTAATGAATAAGTGGATTTTTTTATTCGATGTAAATTTGTCCTTTTTTCCATGGCTAAATATTGATTTTTTTTGATAGATTTCTTTAGTGCAGCATTAGTGTGATGATGATGATGACGATCACCATTGGATTGATTTTTTTTCGGAACTTTTCGCTGTCTTGATTTTTTTGACATATTCATAACAAATGGAACATTGGAGATGGAAGTGAAATGAGAGAAGGAAGAAGCAACAGATACATTGTTATTCGCATCATCGCCATCATTGTCGTTTGATCTGGTCGGCGGTGCTGATTTATCATTGCTTGGAACATCATCATCATCTTTGAAGAAAATGAAAAAAATAAAACAAGATGAGGAAAGTTGTGTTCTTGAAGCACATGATTATTCAAGTGACAATAAGGTATGGAATGATAGATATATGCTAGGATTGAAGATAATGAAAAGTAAAACAGAAAATCTATCGGCGCCATGATAAAAGATACTGAACCATGTCAATTCGCGTCATTTATGGCATAGGCAAGATATCCTAACTAAAGAACGAGTTTACTGTGCACCAGTTCACTCAATCTAACATTATGGCTATGAAACATGGTCACTCAGAGTAGAGGATATTCGTAGGTTATTAGTATTTGATCATAGGTATCTTCAATGCATCACTCGTATATCCTGGGACACCCGAGTGAGCAACGCTGTTATTAGGAAAATGGTACTAGGTAGGGATAGCAGATCACTAGATGAAGTATTGAAACTTCTTCAGTTGAGTTGGTTTGGACATGTGTTATGTATGCCTAACCAACGACTGCCTCGACGAGCTATGTTTTGTAGTGTAGGAATAGGTTGGAATAAATTTAGGGGCGGCCAAACCAAAACATGGCACAAATGCATGAAGTCACTGACAACTGAACAACCAGGTGTAGGTAGACTACTTGATTGAGGTCCGAGAGACAATAGTAACCGATGATTAGAGACCTTGAATGACATAGCTTAAAATCGTTTGCAATGGTACAGATGCATCCACTCTTTGTCTTCTCTTAAATTCTAATCTTCTGAGTTCCATAGCACCTTTATCTCTCTCTTTTTAAATTAATTCCACTGAATTATACTCTTTGAATAGACCTTCAAACCCTAATCTTTCCGATTACTGCTAATACCACTATGAGATTTGAAGTGACAATTGCCCGCTCTGTGCTAATGTGGTATGGCAACTTGAACTAGGTAGGGATAGCAGATCGATAGATGAAGTATTGAAACTTCATCAGTTGAGTTGGTTGGGACATGTGCTACGTATGCCTAACCAACGACTGCCTCGACGAGCGACGTTTTGTGGCATAGAAGTAGACTGGAAGAAAGCTAGGGGCCGCCAGACGAAAGATGACTGTTACGTAATCAAATAGTGCAAAGTTTGCGTGAAGACCGAGAAACCTGGTGGTCGAAGTGTGCTAACAAGTTTGAAGTAGCAGCTGCATCTAGTGTAACTGCTGAGAGCTCTTTCAACTGATCTGATCCATTGGCAGCAAGAAGTCTGGTGTGATTTAAACAGTCTGTGAAGCTGATGGGGTACCAATCATTAGCATTCACTGATGTCTTGGACGGTGAACTAATTTTTTGGAGGAACAATTCAGTTGGTCTGCTGTTTCGGTGACATCGATCACCCTGCCCTGTTCTCCATGGCCGGTGACGAATTATCCACATTAAGAGCAGAAAGTTCACAAGGAATTCCAACTTGTGACTCAAATCACTATGTTCAGATGACTTACTTTCGGTCCTTTCTAAAGATGGTAGTAACCTGACTGAGTTGTTGACAACCGTTTGGCAATTACAGTGTTCAAACATCGATAGTTGTCCCCATCTTTTAAAAATGTTCACGTGATCTATACAACAACTATTGGGGGAAAGTCGAGTACCGACCATGTTCAAATTATTGGCTTCCATCATACTTTGTAGGTTATTCAAATCCTGAGGAAGATTGACTCGCGAGCGGGCCGGTTTTCGTCTTAGTTGAGGATGTATTGGTCATGCTAGAACATCAACACACTTATCGCAGGCAAGTAATTGCTGTGTTTTTCGACACCAAGGTCATCTTCTATTTTTCTGGGATCGATGGACGATGCACCGCAGCAGTTTATTAACATCCTGAGGACCCTATATATAAAAACCCTTGGGCAGAATGAGGGCATAAAACCACCTCTCTTCATTGCTTTTTCCAAGAAGTGATTTAGGCAGTGTTGCCCAATCTCACCATTCTTCTTCAGTTTTGTCATAGATGATATTCTGTAAATGTTACGCTCGTCTTTAGGTATTCTTAAACTATTACGAGTCCACCTTAGTCGAATAACCAGAACAAAACAGTGAACCAGCGTCCAGGTAGGCAACTGTGATCCCTTGACCAAATTGAATCAGCAAGAAGTCTTGATAGTGTAGAAATTGTATTCTACAAAAACCCAGCCAGCACACAATCAATTCAAGCACTCAAATTGCTTTTATTTATACTCTATAGAGACGTCCTTAGGACAGTCACAAAAATAGCACACTAAAATGACACTAACCAATCACAGCCAAGGATTTTTCTGGTAAGAAATGTGATCTCAAGGTCAACCGATCAGTCCATGAAATAAATCCAAAATAAAGATATTTATCAAGTGAGTTCTGAGGATCTAATATCCCCAACAGGAAACAGCTTTGATGGACATAGGTGATGGTACCTGTCACCTGGAGAGACTTTCCTACCATGAGTATGAGGATGATATTATCTTACTAAGCGAAAATCCCCGAGTCATGCAATCCGCACTTAATCAGCTGGCAACCCATGTCCATAGGTATGGAATAAGCTTTGCACCGTATAATTGCAAAGTACTTTAGAAGATTGGCAGGACCCTGAACCTGAACTCTCTTGGTAACGAGCAGACAGAAGTAATCGAAAAGTCAATGCATCTGGGTAGCTGTGCAAGTGCTGATGTGGGTGATGAGATTAACTTATGTATAGTGAAAGCTAAAACAGTTTATGCTGATCTGGGCCGTCTTTGAAGCCTTCGTGATACAAGTCTGGCTGTAAAAGGTCGGGTCTACAATGCATGGGTCGGTGAATTTTTATTTTAAGCTTGTGAAACCCGGTCTCTGGAAATTGAGGATGTTAAGTGTTGTTGTCTTTGAAGTATTGCTGACATTCAGTAGCAACACGTTAGCAATACAGAGGTTCGATAACGTGTGTTCGGAAACAGCAACGATAATTCAATTGATGTCACTATCTTGAAACACCAACTTTAGTGGCTTGGAGGCAAACGTACTACGAATGTCGTCGTCCCAGAGAATTCCACATCGCGCATTATTTGCCAAGGCTGGGACTGATTGGATAAAACGGAGACTGGGTTAGTGTACGACATGGTGTCGCGGTATGAATTAATGTAGTGTATGGTATGTCAACTTGAACCGATGCACATAAATCTCAAGTTCTACGTTGAACACGATTGTCTGAGTACGGACTCAGTCAATATCACAGCTTACATATCGTTACTTAGATCAGGAAGGATATGTCAATTAATCTTAGTACTACTTCCAAATATTTAAACAATATTTATACTTTGCATTACGGGGTTGTGAAGATTGTTAAGTTACACATTTTTGAAACCATGAATCGATCAATGTTAGACCACTATTAGAAACCTGGAAGCACTGGACAGCCGTTTCGTCCTGGTATGGGACTCCTCAACAGTGTGTTCGCGCACAATACCGAAGGTCCTGGGTTCAAATCCTGTGGGGTGCAGGAGTCGTGGATGCGCATTGCTGAGGAGTCCCATACCAGGACGAAACGGCCGTTTATCAGTGCTTCCAGGTTTCTAATGGTGGTCTAACATTGATCGATTCATGGTTTCAAAAATATTTATACTGTTTGTGAAGTCCGAAATTTCATAGTACAATCCCGAGAGATATTTAGCATGATTACTAATTAGTAGTATCATAAAAAGTAACAATATTATTATAATATTTCTTTCAGTATACAACGAAAGCTTAGAAGTCACACCTTCTAACTTTTTACAGAATTATTTTTAATTTTTACCATTTCACACACCCACGATTTTAGAAAAACACTACGGTGTGCCTGAGAAAATAGTCAACATCATACGGAATTCTTATGATGGATTCAACTGCAAAATCGTGCACGGAGGTCAGCTAACAGACTCTTTCGAGGTGAAGACCGGTGTCAGGCAAGGTTGCTTACTCTCACCCTTTCTCTTTCTCCTGGTCATCGACTGGATTATGAAAACGTCAACATCTGGAAGGAAGCACGGTATCAACTGGACAGTTAGGACGCAGCTGGATGATCTGGACTTCGCAGATGACTTGGCTCTTCTATCGCACATGCAACAACAAATGCAAGAGAAGACGACCAGTGAAGCAGCAGCCTCTGCAGCAGTAGGTCTCAACATACATAAAGGAAAAAGCAAAATTCTCCAATGCAACACAACATGCACCAACCAAATCACTCTTCATGGAGATGCTTTCGAGGACGTTAACAACTTTACATATCTGGGCAGCATCATCGACGAGAAAGGTGGATCGGATGCAGATGTGAGGGCGCGGATTGGCAAAGCGAGGGCTGCATTTCTACAGTTGAAAAATATCTGGAACTCCAAACAACTTTCAACCAAAACCAAATTAAGGATTTTCAATACAAATATCAACACAGTTCTACTGTATGGAGTGGAAACATGGAGAACTACGAAAGCCATCATCCAGAAGATACAAGTGTTTATGAACAGATGTCTACGCAAAATACTTCAGATTCGTTGGCCAGACACCATCAACAACAACGAACTGTGGGAGAGAACAAACCAGATTCCAGTGGAGGAGGAAATCAGGAAGAAGCGGTGAAAGTGGATAGGACACACATTGCGGAAAGCACCTAACTGCGTCACGAGACAAGCCCTCACATGGAACCCTCAAGGTGAAAGGAAAAGATGAAGGTCAAGGAACACATTACGCCGAGAAATAGAGAAAGATATGAGAAGAATGAACAAACATTGGACAGAACTGGAGAGTGAAGCCCAGGACAGGCACAGTTGGTTGGAGAAAACTGGTGGGCGGCCTATGCTTCATTGGGGGTAACAGGCGAAAGTAAGTAAAGCAAGTACTTTAGAAAAAAGCATATTAATGCATATGATAACTGATAGCTAACTTACTTGTCTTTGAAGTAGGATCGGTAGTTTCTAAATCATTTTCCAAATTACGAAATGTATTCACAACAAATGAATCGAGGTCTACATCACGATTGATTGAGTTTAATATGTGTTTGTATTGATTTTGCTGAAACCAATGAAATGTTGGTGAAATGGGTTTTATGGTTGATGAACTGATAGGAATTATATAATAACCAACAGATTTATTATTATTAGCCGGTTAGAATCCTGACAGTTACATGCTCCAAGCATGTTCGAATCTGAATAGGATGATTAGTTCGTTTATTAATTAACTAACGATCTTGGATAAATTGAAAGATTTATCGGAAGTTCGCCATGTGAATTCTGGATAAACACTTTAGTGTTTTTACTGCATAATAGCTTCGTTATTCACACACACAAAGAATATAATAATGCGTTGGCTTTCCATACTGGTTAGTTGAAGTCGAGCAAATCATCGGACTAGGGTTCCTTATGTGTACCTCAAACACAACATACATCGGTGTCAAAAAAAGCTTACTGTCCTAGCTAATGATCCCTGTTGTCCAACTTAACATAGGGTTTGGACATTGAATGCTACAACATATAGTTCGGAGGGCGATTTCAGGAGATCTGAAACAGCATTTTGTGAACTTGAGTCATCAGTACCGGCGGCACATGTGGACGAAGTCGAAGACAGAAGATGAGGGTTGATAGAAGAGATATAACAAATATCTGATGATTAAAATGAGGTTTAGCTATGAATGAGATGATCTCATTCGATGTTAGAGGAATGAATAAAGTTGCCGCTTTCCGTTTAAATAAGCGCAAGGATACTTTTTCTTGGTAGACCTAAAGCTGAAGCTGGGCTCGTGGTCTTAATGACCTGGGGACGTGACTACATAGCCCAAGGAAAAACTATCTGACGTCGGCCACAAAAGCCTTTTTTATGGAGAGCTTTTGATATGTTAGCTTGGTACTTTATAAGATGAGGAATGCGACTTTTAAGGTCAACGTTTGCCAATCTCTTCCTTCTGTTTTGAAAAGATAGAATCGAAGCAGATGTTGGTTATCCGAAGGAAATAAATTATTGTTATCACACCTCTGTACAGTCAGAAATACGATTTTACTCTCGGATATTAAGTAGATGTTTTTAGTCTTACAGCTTGCAAATCCATGTGCTTAACATGGTCAGCCACCTACTCAACAACGTAGGACCTAGTATGTACGTATATCACTTTGAGTTACAATACCACATTAGCACAGAGAGATGGAATTATCTATTCGAATCCAATAATGATAGGAATAGTAGCAGTATTAGCGATAATCGGAAACACTAAGGATCAAAGATATAATTCGAGAAGTAAATCTCAATGAAATAAATTTAAAAAAAGATTAAACGGTAATGAGGGATTCAGAAGATCAGAATTTGAGAGAAGACAAGGAGTGAATACACCTGCATCATTGCAAGTGATCTTGAGCCGTGTCATCCAAAGTTTCTAGCCATCAGTTACGACTGCCTCTCCGAGCTCAGCCAGGTAGTCTACACCTAACATAGCTCGGTCCAATTATCAGTGACTTCATGGATTTGCGCCATATTTTGGTTTTGGCAGCATTGCTCACTCGGTTGTCCCACGATATACGAGCAATGCTTTGAAGACACCTATGATCGAAAACCAGTAACCTACGAATATCTCCTACTCTCACTGGCCGTGTTTCACAGTAGGATGGAGCGAACCACTGCGCAGTACACTCGTCCTTTAGTCAGCAAACGGATATCTCACCTACGCCATAAGTGACGCAAGTTGACAAATGCCAATCGAGACTTCTCTTTCCGTGCTGGGATTTCGTCAGTCACCAGGCCATCGGCACTGATGAGACTCCTCAGATAAGTGAAGCGGTCTACACGTTCGACTACTTCACTCCCTATCACTAGGTCAGGTGCCGATGCAACCCAATCTTGGAGCAACATTTTGCATTTCGACGGGGAAAACCGCATCCCGAAGATGCTTGCATTGTTGCTTAGGGTAGTCAGAAGACTGCATTTTATCACCAAACAGAAGTATATCAACGGCATATTCTCATTACAAGTCGGAGGACTTACATCAATTGCCATTTAGGTTGACTGGAGTTCGTGACTGAGGTCCAGATGAACTGCTTCCTAAAGTGTTCTGCTTATCGATCCAATTACACATCTTTTTCCGAGATAGTCTCGTTGACAGTTGGACTCCTAATACTGCCTTCCTTGGTAAGTCTGTATAGTTGTCTACTGTCACCTATTCAGTCAGTCAGTCAGTCAGATGCAACGTAGAACTTTGCACGTAAGTACATCAGTTCATGTCGCCATACCACATCAGCACAGAGAAGTAATCGTCAATTCAAATCCAATAGTAGAAGAGGTAGTAAGGGAATTAGAAATAATCGGAGAGGTTAGGATTAGAAGATACTATTCAAGAAGTATGATTCAGTGAGAAAAGTTTAGAGAGTCGAAACTAGAGGTGTTGAAGAATCCAGAAGATTAGCATTTGGGAGAACACAGAGAATAAATGCACTGGCGCCATTGCGAACGATTTTGAGCCATGTCATTCAAGGTCTCTAACCATCGATTATTATCATCTCGCGGACCCCAAACAGGTAGTCGACAATTACCGACATGGCTCAGTCCACTCGTCAATGACTTCATGGATTTATGCCATGTTTTGGTTTGGCCGCCCCTAACTTTCTTCCAAACTACTCCTACACTACAAAACAAAGCTCTTCGAGGCAGTCGGTGGTTGGGCATACGCAACACATGTCCCAACCACCTCAACTGGTGAAGTTTCAATACTTCATCGATTGATCTGCCATTCTTACCTAGCACCCGTTTCCTAATAACAGCGTTGCTCACTCGGGTGTCCCACGATATACGAGCAATGCTTTGAAGACACCTATGATCGAAAACCAGTAACCTACGAATATCTTCTACTCTCATTGGCCATGTTTCACAGCCATAAAGTAAGACGGAGCGAACTACTGCGCAGTACACTCGTCCTTTAGTCAGCAAACGGATATCTCGCCTACGCCATAAGTGACGCAGGTTGGCAAAAGCTAATCGAGCCTTCTGTATCCGAGCTGAGATTTCGTCAGTCACCAGGCCATCGGCACTGATGAGACTCCCAAGATAAGTGAAGCGGTCTACACGTTCAACCACTTCACTCCCTATGACTAGTTCAGGTGCCGTTGCAACCCAATCTTGAAGCAACATTTTGCATTTCGAGGGGGAAAACCGCATCCCGAACATGCTTGCATTGTTGCTTAGGGTAGTCAGAAGACTCTGCATTTTGTCAGCGTCTTCACCAAGTAGGACAATGTCATCGGCATATTCTAAGTCAATAAGCGAGCCACCTGGTAGAAGGTCTACTCCTGAAAATTCAGACGAGGATAATGTTATGTCTAGGAGCATGTCTATGATAAAATTAAACAAGAATGGAGAAAGTGGACATCCCTGACGGACACCACTTGATGTAGAGAATTCCGGTGACAGTTCGCCATAAGCCCTCACCCGACCAGTGGTGTTCGAGTAAAGAGCTTGTATAAGGTTAATGTACTTCTGTGGTACACCTTTCAATGACAGACACTGCCACAGAACCTCACGATCAACAGAGTCAAATGCCGCCTTAAGGTCTAGGAAAACAACTATTGTAGGACGCCTAAATGTGTGTCTATGTTCCAGGACCTGTCTGAGTGTGAAGACGTGGTCTATACAGCCACGTCCAGGTCGAAAACCAGATTGGTTTTCTCGAGTCTGCTCTTCACGAGCTTTCGTTAAGCGTCGAAGTATTATTGAGGCCAATATTTAGATACTATATTAGTTAGACTTATTCCTCTGTGATTGTCACAAGAAGACTTTTGTCCTTTCTTATAGATTGGGACTATCAAGGATTGAGACCAGTCGGATGGGATTACGTCCAGTTCCCAGATTTTACCTAAGATCTCAGTCAATCTAGCTGCTAAAACTGGACCACCATGCCTGAATATCTCAGGGGTCAGTCTATCAGGACCTGCAGCTCGTCCTCGTTTCAGATTTCCTAACGCTTTCTCAACGTCATAAAGACTAGGGGGACTTACGTCGATTTGCCATTCAGGATGACTGGAGATCGTGGGTAACCGAAGAGTGGCTCGTGGCCAGTTGAACTGATCCCTAAAGTGTTCTGCCCATCGATCCAGCCTCCTGGATTGAGAATGGATAATAAGACCATCCTTTTCCGAGATAGTCTCACTCACATTCGGGTTCTTAATACCGGTTTCTTTGATAAGGCGGAAAAGTTGTCTAGTGTTGCCTATCGCCGCTGCCTTTTCCATCGCTTTTGCTTTCGCCACCCACCACTGTTCGCGGTCGTTACGCAGACTTTTTATAAGTCTGCGCCTAAGCTGACTACGCTCTTCATCATGCTCAGAGTCAGGTGGGATGCGTTTTCGAGCATCCATCAGTTCGGTGGATGCGACTGAAATCCACGCCTCATGGTTTACCTTCCTAGCAGATATCACTGCTGTTTCCACAGCCTTTTTGATATCATACCAACCTGCTTCTGGATGGGAATCGCTTGCATGGTTGCTTAACTCTCTTTCTAGTTGCTCCTGAAATATTTTCTTGGTTTTATTATCATTAAGTAAAACCCTAAGAGGCTTTCTTACGGTGTCTTTCCTACGTCCAGTAAGCCTTAAACAGATACGAGCTCGCACTAGAGCATGATCTGAATCCAAACATGTGCCCCAGAACGAGCGACAGTCCTCTATCGAACCCCTCCATCGGTGGCTGATGGCGATGTGATCTAGTTGAGTCCCACGTTGAGACGACTTCGGGGGTCGCCAGGTCAACAGATGCTTTTCCTTATGCCTAAAGTTGGTGTTCGCTAAGAATAGGCGGTTATCTGAGCACAGTTGCAACAGACGGTCACCATTGTCTGTTCTCTCAGTCGTTACACCATAACATCCACCAAGATGTCTTTCCTTTTCACCTAGTCTACCTACTTGAGCATTAAAGTCACCAGCCATTATTACTATGTCAGAGCGCTTAGCTTTTTGGAGGAGGTCCGAAAGCTTTCTGTAAAACTCATCCTTAACCTCGTCTGCACCGCAGTCAGTGGGGGCATAGGCAGATATGACGAAGAGGCAACGGCGAGTGTCCCTATCCTTACGAGTCCTTACTGTCCCGTTTAGTCGGACAGCGCACAAACGACTATCTACTGGGATCCAGTCTAGGAGAGATAATTCTGCCCTAGGACTCAACGCTATGCCTACACCAGCAAGACCCCTGGAAGCAGCATCAGGGCTACCGGATACCCGAAGAGTAAATCGAGCTGCTTCTTCGTTTTGACAAGGTGGAGTCAGGTTAATGACTTTACTAGGATCCTGTATGCGCGTTTCCGAGACGCAGCATACATCGATGGCACGAGTTTCTAAAGTCCTAGCTAATGATGCCTGTTGCCCTATTTGACACAATGTCCGTACATTAAAAGCTCCAATATGTAGTCTAGAACGGGGTTTCAAGAGACCAGGAACGACGTTTCGTGATCTCGCTTCGTCTGTATTAGCGGTGCAGTGAGAAAAGGGAGTGTGAGTAGAGTCAGTTGTAGAGATAAAAGAGACATTAGGGGGTGTAGAAAGGATTTGATTTTGACCAATTTGGTCTCTCGTGCTGTTATGGGTATGAGGGCGGTTGTCACTTCCCGGCTGCCCACACCGTGGAAGGTTGTTTCTTGAGAAACCTGAAAAGGAAGATGGATTAGTGTTGGTGCGTGACCGCAGAGCCCAAGGGACAACTGCTTGAGGCCGGTCACGCACGGCCTTTTTATGAAAGGTATTTTGAGAATTAGCTCCGTTGTTAAAGGCCCTTAGTGGGCACGCTTACCCGAGGAGACGGAAATCCGTGAGTTAGGGGGAGTGTGACATTTTTAGGGCCGACCTTTTCTAACCCTTCCTTCCTTGTGAGAAGGCAGCATCGCTGCAGATGCTGGTTGTCCGAGGGAAACACCTTACTGCTGTCACACCCCTCTGCAGTCAGCAGTACGACTTCGCCCTCAGACCTTGGGTAGCTGCTTTTAGTCTCATCGTTCTCCAATCGACCAGCCTGGCATGGTAGGACCTGCAGGAACATATGTTCCAGCCAGTATAGCTCGGTTGGGTCATCACGATAGGCAAGCCCGACCACCACGTCAAGGTAGCAGCTTCGGTCGGGACTGTCACCTATTGCCGCTATCGCTACCCACCACTGTTCGTGATCATTGCGTAGGCTTTTCATTAGCCTGTGTTTAAGCTGCCTCCGCTCCTTAGCGTATTCAAAGACAGATATGATGAGATTCCGAGTAGTTCAGTACATGCAACTGAAATAGACTGATTCTTTTTAACCTTTTGGTTTAATTTACTGACTGATATCACTGCTGTTTCCATAGCTTTTCAGATATTATTCTAGGTGTCTAAGGAGTTGGTACCACTTACATGGTTGACTAAATGTTTTTAATTGTTCCTGTAATGTGTTCTTGGCACTTTTTCATTACGATGAATTCTAAGGGAGTTCCTTGCTGTCTTTCTTACGTCCAGTAAGCCACAGACAAATACGTGCTCGGACTGGAGCACGATCTGAGTCTAAACATGTACTCCAGAATAAGTGGGAGTCTTCTATTGAGCCTCTCTGTCGGTGGATGACAGCAATGTGGACTATAAGCGTTCAGCACTGCGTTGATTTTGGGGGCCTCACACAGTAGGGATTAAGGAAACGAATGTTTCAGCCAAAATAATGCTTTTAGGTAACCACGACATATAAGCAGAATCACCACAGTAATGTTTTAGTAGTTACCGTACAGCGATATCTCGTAAAGAAATACCATAGATTATTGTTACAACCGAAAAAATTCGAAGTGTTTTAAATCCCTCAGTTCATTAGAAAACGACACATCAGAGGGAATCCATACATACCAAAAATTCAATACAGGACGATAAATTCGAAGAATTCCTTTTAGCTCGAGCAATGAATTTGATATAAACTTTTGCAGTGAAATAATCGAAAGAATGAATCCAGTGGGATCAGTTACCAAACAACAGCAGTATGAAAAAAATGCAAAAATTACTTACGAAGTAAACAAGCAGTAACTTACCTTTAGTGGCTTATTAGTATCAATCGAATTTGGCACATTTACAGGTTTCACACCAGAATTAATGACTATAGGCTCTTTAATGCCTTCAAGAGTGGTAGTTATAAAATAGTGCAGTCCTTGAGTCCAACTCCTCCAATTATGTGCAGGGAAACCATTAGAAAATGCATCAATCATTCCAGGGGGAGGTGAATTAATTGATAACATAGGATGAAGTGCACAAAATGTTGACCAAGAAAAACCTCCACGTAAATAATAGATATTACTACTACCTTCCGTGTATACAGACTGACCATTTTCTGAAACACATGATACACGATTAGTAACTACAAATCTACAAGATGTTTGATTAGGTCTTCTTTCTATTCCAGCAAGACAACAATCTCCATCTACTTGCGGTGAGACAGGACACCATGAATATAGTTCAGAAGATGTTGAACACTGCACATTTAAATTATTAAGAGCAAGTCTTGGTGATTTGGGAGTTTTACTGTAAAGATTTGTCACAAATTACTAATATACCTACCTATATATATCAGCGCTCAAGCAGATTTGTGAATTTTCTTGAAATTTAGGTGGCAGTACAAAAGGAGTTTGAACAAAGTAATCATTGTTCATAGGAGGAAGATTGGTTACGCACTGTAAACAATCTGGCACCGGATTGAGTCTTACAGATGGAACAGATGATACACTGAGAATATTCTGTTTATCTGTTAGCGATTCAATTAATCAGAATTCACAATTACTCTGTTCAAGAAAGCTAAGGAAATCACGTACAGCTTTTAACATCGATTCTAATGTCTCCATAGTCGTGTTTCAACTGACAGAAAGTATTTTTTGAATGTTGGTTTGTTCAAATGTGTCAGAAAAAAGCTACATGCAGATATTAACTCTAAAAAAAATCCGGAAAAGATCCAATAAAATTTTTAAAAACAGAAAAAATACCAGTACGATTAGGTAGTAGAATGAGGTATAACCTAGATAATAGCACCGCGATGTGGCACGAGGACTTTATTTATCAGAACAGATTAATAAATTACCCCCAAAATTTTTTGGCTATCATAATTTGAAAGAAAGTTAGAAATCTGTGAATCAGTTAATACTTTCAACTATATACGTATTTAGTTCAATGTGATGTAACTTGCCTATCAAGTATATCTTGCTGTACTCGGCTTTAAATCATATATATGGTGTTTGAGAGTTGACATCAATACCCTGTTATCCAAATTAAATTAGATGGAGCATAGCTCTCTTGTGCAATACCATGGTTGAGAACCAGCTTTCCTAACAAGTGAGCCACTGTACTTTAACTGTTGGTTGCTATTTACAGTTCTTACTTCAGCCCTTTACGTACGCTATTTTATAACTTTGGCTCATTACGTTCTTGTAACACCAGTTCATCACTCGTGAGATAAAGTATGAGCCGAAATAGGTCCAGCTAGCAGTGAGACTGTAACATTTTCTTGAAGTTAATTCAATATCCCAAGCGTAATAGTCAACACTTACCATACAGCTAAGACTTTCAGAATGACATTATGCTTTGATCTGATCTCAGCGAGACCACCTTTATTTAACTTCAACCATTATAGAATGTTGAGACAGATCAGTAGACATAACAAACATGCTATCTCAATCGATGGACGTTTAAAACATTTCCAATGACTTGCCTCCTACCTAATACTTGGTAATCAGCTTCTGGACTGAAGTTGTAAAGATTATACTACACTAGAACTTCAAGTTATCAATTTTAAGAGGCAGTCTGTATAACGCCCTGTTGAAGCCCTCTTATAAGCCAAAAATATAATAATACTAGGCAAACCAGTTATCTCTATAAACTTTTGTGGCCAACAATTCTAAATGCCAAGTCATAGATGAAAGTGACATTATAAGTTTGCGTAGAGTAGATATTTTGTCTTAAAAGACTTAGTAAGTGGGTTATATCTACTGCTATGGATATGAACGAGATGTCTGGAAGAGTATTGTGTGGTTTAAGTTAGAAATGTCAGCTTTCAAAACTCTGTGATACACCTGATGGTATTGATTAACCAACGGGTAAACTAATGCAACATATTCCTACATAGATGAAAAATCGACCTGAGTTAAAATTCGCCAAATACTATTCTCACTAAACTATGAACAACTTGTATTACATGATTGCCCTTTGCACTGAGAGAAGCTTCATTTGAATCCCAACTCGAATGAGAAGTAGAATTGCGTACCATTAATCTGTCTTATCAACACACACTATGATTAAATTTATTTTTATCCCGTAATTATTCATACTTTCCAACAACTACTCACAGTTTGCAATCGTAAAAGAGTAGATAACTTAACAAATCAGCTATAATAAAAACAAGTTTGTAACGTCCTTGTCACTGAAAACAATAATAATGGTGACAGTGATAACCATAGTTACAAATGCAACTTATGACTTCGAACAATTTTTCTTGATTTTAGTTGGTGTGTCCTTTTCCAAATGTTACTGATTAACTATATGGTCGATCAATGAAAGGATATTCTTTCATTAGTGATATATAGGCTGTATAAGTGGCCTAAATACACACGAAAAACATAGATGCAAACATAATCTTAGAAATAATTTGCTTTACACTTACTCATAACGCTTAAAGACAGAAACCAAAACACAAAAGTCACATTAAAATATTAAAACAGCCGCAGTCAGCACGAAATCTAAGCCCGCGCGTGTTTGTTTCGGTAACCTTCAGCAGCTTGTTCCTTTCTGTCATTACGTACTTGAATGCCTCGGATAGATGGTGTGACAAAAAACTAGCCTAATTTAGTAGTATTTATGTCTTTTCAAGCTCCGTATATTTTCAAAACATGAATAACATAAACCCATGTTGCAATATCCAATATCTTTTTCACGAGTTAGGATGAACCATTAGATTTCTTTGCTCTCGGTCCTTCTTCTTTCGGTACGGTTCCAGGTGTTTAGCAGAGTCAAATGGACTCGACTGTCTAATTCTAGTCAGTTTGTAAGTTTGTATGTTCGTAATTTGAATGAAAACCTTTGTTTCAGGGCAGTAGGGTTTCTGGATACCAGAAGCTATCAACTTACCAGGCCGGAGATCAGTTAGTTGCAATATGGAGAATAATACAGGGAAAATAATGATGACAATAAGATTTCAGGACTAAGTAAATAATGGATAATTTAGTACAATAATTAATGGTGAGGATTGTGAGAGAGGACCGACGCGTAATCAAGGAAGAGGAAATGCAGATAATAGGCGAGATAGATTAAGTTAATGATCTGAGGAGATAGCAATAATAACGACTAGAAAGCTCCAAGGCATGCACCATTAACAGCTTGTCCAAGAGGGAGACGATAATCAGTATGTGAGTACGTGTTTATCAAGTCTCTTCTTGAAGCGATCCACTGAGTGGGCTGTGGTCGCATCGACTGGGAGAGCATCCCAACTTGCGACGACTGTTAATGAGAAAAAAAGAAATAGTTTCCTATCAGTTCCAATTTCATAGCATATTCAAATTTGAACTGTAGAGTTATCAAAGTGAGTAACGGATGAGAAGATGCTGCGAGGTTGCTAAAAATCAGTTACATCCATCTATACGGAAATAGCTTTATGGAACACTGCTTTCAGAGAATAAAGAAGGAAGAATTTAAGTTCTCCACTTATGTTCTCTTCTGATCTGGAGCACCGAATGGTGTTCAGAACATGTAGCGAAAATTCACTTCTTATAAGTGTGAAGTAAATTGTTTAGATGTTCGCCCCACATATCGTGATCAGATGTAAGGAGCGAACTATTAGGAAAACCAGAGTTTCATCAAAATAAATTTTTCAATACGAGAACAAGCTTTAATCTATAGGAAATACCCGTCCAAGGATTACCAGTCTCTGGCGGTGGTCTAGCTTTGATCATTTCGTAACTTCAGCAATCAAAATAATCCTATCTCCACTAATCCCCTTAAGTAATGACAATCCTGTGCTCACCAGTGACTAGCTTAATGATACATAGTTGACAACAGTTCGTAAACAGTAGAGTTCAACCTGTGTCAGAGAAGAAACAATTATCCAATAAATGAAGGCTGTGCAACATTATAGATTGATTTAAATTAGACATAAACATCATCGTATGCTGACTCAGTAGTCTACGGGGTGAGACTGAATGTTCCGGGTCCACTGCTCGTAAGTGGGAGCCGTGGGTACAAACTACTGACTAACCGCGTTCCAGGACGAAACAGCCAGGTTTCTAATGGAGTTCTTGCTTAGACCTTTCAGCCATTTCAACAGTGAAAACTTCATTGTTTCCATGGGGTTTTAGGCCACTGTTAATATCTGGTGGACAGCGGTGCATCCACCAAACTGAACTTGTTTGTTGATTTGAATGTCTCTTAATTTAAGTAAGTGCTTTTGTACAGTGCAGTAGGGTCTCTGGATAATGACGCTTAATATAAAAAATTAAACATAAAATTTTAATGTTAAAATGGAAGAATGTTTCATAAACTAAACAAATGAAAGAATTAGTTCATTAGATGGTGGTGCAGATATTATGAAAGGATCGAAGCTTGAGGATAAAAGAAGAACTAGTGAAGACAGTGAGTAAGATGGGAATGAGTACTCTGCATGTGATAACGATGACAATACACAGGTTTCTAGACATGAATCAGACACAGCTGGTCTGAACGGGGATGGTAACCTATAAGTGAGTTTGTATATGTAAATTTCTCACTTGTTGTCATCCGTTGAACGGTCGGTGGTCACTGTGGCCGAAATTACAATCTGACTGGTCATATAGTCTATGAAAAAAAGCGAGGGCTTACTTGAGGTTGCATCTCTTGATGTGGAGTTTTTGCGGGTCTCCACGAGGAACATGGAAACATTCTAGTAGGATTTTGGAGTAACTTGGCGTATTTAGTAACTTATGTGTCATCATCTGATTTCCTCTTATTCTTCTTTACCTCAATGGGAATAATCTCAGGTTTTTCTTCGTCGTGTTGTTCAGTATAACTTAAGTCACTGTAACAATAGGAACAATAAAAATCTATTCCAAGTATTTTGTTGAACACTGTTGTCATTTATTCTTTCATCCTGTCTTGTATTCTAATTTAGACCCAAGACAATTGTAACCATGGTCTTCTATTTCTAAACAGTTATTCGAATATTTCCTAATTATTTAGCTGTGACCAGATAACAATCAGCCTCATTTTAAACATTCCTTTAGATATTTGTTACGCTATTTTGTGATGCATAAATAATAGCATAAGCTATGCCATCTGAGGTATTTTGTACCTTTGACATAATTGATTTTGATTTTGAAATTGTAATCAGATAAGCAAGTCATAAAGTTTGCGTTTTCGACCGATCTAACATAAGTTACGAATAAAAGTTTTCGCTCTGTACAAACGGATACAGTCCGTTCTAATCGAATAAACGTTTGTTAGCAGGTTCGCTAAAGTGAGACTGAATATTAGGATTCTTCTGTAACATTCAACACTTTTTCTTTTAGGACAAGGCAAGGATAACTTTAATTTCCAACTTCGGTGGTTTATAGCCGCGTCCTTAGGGTGGGATAAGAACCCGTCGAGTTTCCAAACCATAATCTTTACTACTCAGTCTTCTAGTTTGCGATGAACATCGTTCGATATAGCCCCAACAGAGTGATGCGGTAAACAAATAAGGAAATTTTTTGGTGTGAAATAGTTATGAAGATATAAGTTAAACGACAGCTCTGGATAGTTCTTAGAAATAGGCTTTACTGTAAACTAATTTTCCTTAAATCGGATAGGACCAAACTATGGAAATGTCAGCTACAAAACGTCAGGAAATGTAAAAAACAGGAATAACTATATTCCCGTACAGGATTTAACTTGTCCTACAGATATGCCACTAGACCCGTAAACACGATACTAGAGAGCACAGAGTCTATGTGAAAGCTATAGTTAGAACAAGGACAACTTGGCTTTAAACTTTATCTGTTTCTAAACGTAAAAACAATTAGATTAGTACAATTATTAAGGAAATTACAGCTATTAAATCAAACGAACAAACATATCGACCAATATTGCGTGTCTTATCGAAATGAATAAAATTATGAGCGCTTAAACCACGATTTGATTAGTTAGTTATGGACATAACTAACAACCCTTTAGGTTCTAATCTACTAAATAAATCCTTTTACTCCACTCATAAGCGAGTGGTCAAGACTGCAAGAAGAAAAGGTGCATAAGACTAAGTAAATACTTACTTACATATATACCTATGCCTGTACCCCTTCAAGGATCTTAGGCTGCCGATAATCATTCCCCAACCTACTCGGTCCAGGACCCTCCTGTCGAAATACTGCCTATGCTTTATCAATCCGTGCCTTTATTTCCGAATCATCTCCACCCTGCTTATCACTGATGCTGTCCATATGTTAGTTTGCATATGAGAGTTCTTGAATCTCAGTGATTGATTGGCCTTGTGCATGACTGGCGGTTCTAATTTACCATACTTTACAGCTAACCTTTTTCTTGCATTATATAATAATAATAATTTATTCTCAAATAACGGCGTGTTATATAAGGCATGATAGTTTACAGGAAAGATCAAAAAGTTGAAAAATGCCAACACAATCTACTGTAAGAGAATACACAGTTACTTGACAAGATTCACTGACTTTCCTTAGAAGGTTAATAATTTTCTCATCGAATTGGAATGTGCAGTACAATAGTAGGTGCTTTTCAGTGAACAACTGGTGGTAGAGAAATACAACCAGCTGAGTCCAGGGCTATTTTTAACAAGGATTGATGAGGTAAATTTATATTGATCTCGGTGACATTGTCAGGAAATAATTTGATAGTCTGTTGGTAAAGCAACCAAGTCTCCATGATTATCAAGGTTATTATTTAAGGCGGAGGATGAGGTTCTGAAAAGGAGAAAGAAAGTAAAAGAGGCGGGGAGGAGAACAGAGAATATTCTTGCCTGAAGCTTAGTCATGACTTGGCAGATAATTTTTTGGATAAGGCGAAGGTATGATTACTCTGTATTAGAACACCAACTGTACACCTGCATTTATGCAGGTTGAGAAAGACAAGTCACTAATAAGGCAACGAATAGACAAATAATCTTATGAACAGAAGAGATTCAAATGAACAAAATTTTAGAAACGAGGTAGATACACAGAATATGATAAAGGACTCACAGTGACCCAATGACCTAGTGATATTTTGTTTACTGCTTTTTTGTCACTTTTGCTCAAGAAGACACGAGTGAAATTTTCCAGCGCAATCGCTCAGGTCAGCTTGTGATAAGATTTCTTGGTCGGAAGTGAAACCAGTTTAAGTATACAAAACATGAGTCAAAGACGTAAGTGACGTGGAAAAGTAACATCAATACCATTAATTATTGTGAGAAAACGTAGGCAAACAAATTTTTTTCCCCGCAGAAGCGAGTGGATTGAAGTTGTAACCCAACCGTCGCTTACTCAGTTATCCGCAGAATTCTAGGCTTTCGCAAATCTCTACTACTTGTTTGATACTCACTATTCCTTCTAAATAATACAATTCTGACTTCTGAATAGTCATCATCAAATACAAAGTTTGCTTACTTCAAACCCATAGTTTTTGAATGCATTTGAAAGTAACGATTCTCAAATAATTTTTTTAAACCTCCGTTTGAGACCTCATTACGGTATTAATCCTCCAGTTGAATCACTTCACGCAAATTTCGGTTTTGATTAGAAATAGTGAGTACGTATTAGTACCGTTTCAATTACTAAAAACAGCAGTTTTCCACCTTAAGGTGAATAATATGTAAGGTAACAAATGGAGGAAAGAAATCAGTTTTTTTTCCGTCGATATGATGGAAAATACATCACATTTCTTCTGCTACAGTGTCTAAGCACATCATGATAATCTATAGTAATAAGTTAGTTCAAAATATTTATACCATTGATATAGAGAAATTGCAACGTTTGGTATTTATCTTATTCTGATACCGCAACATATAATGTCTTATTTTATTGAGCATTGAGTATATTGTTTAAACTGGTGTCTAATTATATGAGAGAACATCCCTTGAAAATGGCCGCTAGATACCGAGATGTCGGCACGAAGGTATACATAGGGGATCTCCCTAGAGAAGCATCCGAACGAGAACTTGAACGTATATTTCGCGAGTACGGAAGGTTGCGAAACGTATGGGTTGCAAGGAACCCACCAGGTTTTGCGTTTGTTGAATTTGAAGATGCTGCAGATGCCAGCGATGCTGTGCGTGAACTCGATGGGACGTAAGTAAATGCTGATATAATATTATTAATATATAGGGTTATGTGTGGTGTCCGCGCCCGTGTTGAACTGAGCACTGGGAAGTCACGACAAAAGCCATGGGTACGTGGTGGTGGTGGTGGTGCTCGCAATGGCGGAGGACGTGATAATGGACTTGGTTCTCGTCGCTTGAAACCCTTCGATCCAACAGACCGGTGTTACGAATGTGGAGAACGCGGACATTATGCCTACGATTGTCGTCGTCGAGGTGGTGGGCCAGGAGGTCCAAACGGACGCGGCAGGCCTGAAGGCCGAAGAAGGTCGAGGTAATTCACCTTACTCGCATGTCGTCTGGTATCGTCTCGGCTACCATGATACGTTATCAACTGTATTCGTTTTTCATCCAAGTACGACATCCTAAGACTATATCGGCATCCTATCTTGCAATGTCACGGTTTTCTGTCAAGTGCTGGTGCTTTAAATTCCGTAGCGGTGACTCGTCACTAGCACATGTTATGTACTATGAAAGACTGGTCTCCATAGGTACTACACTCGAAAACTGGCATCTCTGACATCATTGCGGCGGGCATAAACTGCCCTACAACTCGGCATCTGTGAGCCGTCGACATCGTCGTCGTCGTGACTACAGACAGCCACTAAAGTTAACGTCCGTAGAGACCTACAGCTTGTTTTTCTTCATGCCTAAACGTGTAAGTGCCTAGTTTCATAGCTTGTCGATATGTTACACCCTTCACCGGTTTATCACCCTAGTAATATATGATATTTTCTTTTCAGGTCTGTGTCAAACCATAGAAGCTTTTCCAGGAGCCGCAGTCGTTGAAGTAGTTGGGAGTTGCAAGTTTACAATGCATTTCATTTCAAGTCCATGAATGTCAGGACTGTAACGGATCATTTTTATATCTGAAATATAAATAACACTCACTACGTCTTCTAGTTGCTTAGACGATCTTGACTTGTCATCCGATCCGTAATGTTCATTATCTCCAAACTAGAAATGTACAACAAGTGCTTGGTCTAATGCATAGTAAGCTAGTTGCAATCGATATAGCAAAAGTATGGAATTGAGATGGTGGAGAAAACTTGTAGCTCAGGTGGATGATTGTGGTTCAGCTCAGAGAACGAAACACCACCACAAAGTATGGAATCTCAGGCCTACCGTGGTTCTTCAATCAATAAGACAGGCAGCACAATCCTGGGGTGAATTCCTGGATTATTTCACGAACAACTCAGTTAATACACTTATTTCCTCAAGGTGAGCTGGAATGATTTGGTTTTCAGTTTGTAGTTCCTAATAAATGCTCTGCAGCACTTTCAAATAGGCGATAGTGATTAAAGTGAAGAGTCATTGTAAGGCTGAAAACAGTTGAGAACCTAAATGATCTGTTATCTATGTGTTGGTTGATTGTCGACGACATCTAATGATAGATGCTTATCTGCCTAGACGATAATAACTGTTTGTGCGTTTATTGGTCAGTTTTGAAGTTCTTGGGTGGGCTACATAGTGAAAGCCTAATAGTTCGTTTAGAGGGCGACAAGAGAAAGGTTCTGGTCCGTACTAGTTGCTCAACTGTTTAGGCTTAACATTATTTTTGATTAGCCGGGAATAAAGTGCGTCCAGGTGACTTGCGTGTCCATGTCCATTGCGGAGTTTGGTAGGCATAGTTTGAATGCTTCCTGCAAACTGATCACCTGAGGGTTTGACAGTAAGTCGAAAAACCTTGGTTGTTTCCGTTAAGTATTCAGGTGAACATATTTCTAGTGGTGATGCCTGTTAGCGTGTCGTCGCGGCTAAGTAGCTTAGACCAATCTAGAGAAGTTAATAGGAGTGGCAGCACAAACTGAGTTTTACTTCATTAGCGCTAGATACCGGTAATGTGGCTGTACTTGGAATATTTGTCACTACATCACATCTCTGGTTTTTTCTTATACGGGGTGGGTTATTATAATGGTCAGTGGTTTGGTGACGTATCAGACGGCTTCATTATTTTAATTGTTTCACTCGATTATAACGATGTAGCTCATGGCGAGTTCTCGGTACTAATTACTTCAAGGAGTTTCTTTTACAAAATAAGTAGTCGGCACCGGATACATCCCTTCAAACACTGTACCTTGTTCTCCCTAAGGTGTGTTACAAATAACCACGTAGTTATCCAGTAATTGGTGTTGACGCTGCTGTAGCTTATGGGGAATTCTCAGTAAGACGTAATTCAAGGACTTTCTAATACAAAACAAGTTTTCGGTAACCACGTACCCATTTACATTAAGTAGATAAGCTGTATGGAATTAAGTTTAATGCTACTTAGTAACAATATGTTATTTAATTAAGAATATGTTCAAAAACTGGGATGTTTATGACTTAATCAACCCTCGTAGCATGTTTTTGACAAATTAGGGCTATCTTATGTTTAGAGAGATGTGAGCTCAGTAGTTGGTTAGCGTATGGGAAGATAATACTTACCAGAAATTAGTAGGATTTTAACTATCTGTGGTCCCAAGAGATTGGCCTTGCACGCTGCTAATAGCCTTTAGCTCTATTCACAACGCAGTACCTTATTCTCCTTCAGAAGTTGAAGAACAGCCATTCGGTTATTCAGCAATGGGTGCTGCTAAATTTATTTAGTAGTCCTGTTCTTGGAGTGAAATTAAAGGTAGAAGTACAGTCTAGAGTCTCGCATCGATTGTAGATTACCCACCAAACAGTTCTAATATTCTTAGGCAACGGAAAGTCAGGCACTGAGAGTCGTATCTCACTTCGGTTGTAGACTGAGATGACTACGTTGGTTGTTGACCTTAGTTGCCACCTTTTCCTACCGATTGGCAAATACTGTGAACATAACTTTTGTTATATCACCAAAGCGGTTCATGCAGTATGCTGTTGGCCGTAATTTCGTTGTAGTAAGAGGTGAGAAACTATAATATAATGAGTTTTATTTTGAATAATAGGTAAAAGGTTCAACTTCTTATAAATAAATTGTATCTTTGTAAACCTTCAGTTCGTACAGCTTCATAAAATACCACTAGCTATCACAAACATTCAGCCTAAAAGAACAATAACTTGGACTTACGTTCTTTACCTCTAATCGCTTGTAGGTAACAATGTGCACGTGTCTGGTTTATTTGTCTTATGTAGATTTTCTCTAGTTTTGATTAGTGCTAAACAGGACGAAACGCTTTAGAATGAATGCTTCTCTGCATAAGATGCATACATATGCCAAAATTGATTGGCCTATTGCAGCCCTAAAAACATCGAATGGTGAAGTCTTATATATATATATATATATATATATATATATATATATATATATGAAGGACTATTCTCTGAATTAAAAGGGCTTTCATTATGGTTTTGCTTCTCCTTCAACAAGACTAGTCAGTGACAGATCATTCTTATTATAGATTCGGTAAAGTACTGTTTGAATGGTTTACACTTATCTAAGTTATTCTTTTTAGATTCGCTTGATTTAGGTTTTGTGTAAGAATTACTGTTTAGTGTGTCTATTAGGTGAATATTCAGCAAATCTATTAGCTGGATCTTACACAAATAGTAATGTCCGAATTGAAAAGCCTAACATTTTTAACTACACTCTTCAAGCTGTAAAAAAAGCAGAACACCTTTGGTGATTTTAAGAATTTAATCATTAGGTAAATGATAGTCATAATTATTAGGAAATTTGTACTTTTCCTAGGTGAGAAGGTTTTTTTTGTTGTTGCTATCTAATGATTAAAGCTTTGTTAAGGTGGTAGCAGTAGTTATAGTGTTAAACCATCATTTTTAATTGTTACCTTGGTAAAGTTATTGGCATTGAATAGTGAAATAAATGTCAGTAAAAATAATTTTGTTTCATTTCTATCAGTCAGTCTGTTATAATGTAGAACTTCATACATGAGTACATAAGTTCAGGCTGCCATACCGCATCAACACAGAGACGCAACTGTCATTTCAAATCCAATAGTGGTACCGATATTAGAAGTATTAGCAGTAATGGAGAAGATTAGTGAGCGAAGATATGATTCAAGAAGTATAGTTTAGTGAGATAACTTTAGAAAGAGAAAGATAGAGATGATGAGGAATTCAGAAGGTTAGGATTTGAGAGAACACAAAGGATAAATGCATCGGCGCCATTGCGATCGATTTTGAGCCATGTCATTCAGGGTTTCTAACCATTGATTATTATCATCTCGCGGACCCCAACCAGGTAGTAGACAATTACCGACATGGCTAAGTCCACTTGTGAATGACTTCAAGGATTTCTGCCATGTTTCTGTTTGGCTGCCCCTAGTTTTCTTCCAACCTACTCCTCCTACACTACAAAACAAAGTTCGTCGAGGCAGTCGGTGGTTGGGCATACGTTTCATTTCTATAATCATTGCAAATGTGTAATAATGAACAGAATTCTTTGTAATTTTCCGCAGATTCTCTCATAATCGTATGTATCTGATGCTGAGGTAACAAAAATACATTGAATTCCGGCTTCTATTAACCTATGAATTACTTGGTATTATTTTATTATAACATTCATTGTTTGCCAAATAGGTTGTAGTTTAGAATAAGAGAACAAGTCAAGTTATAAGCAGCATGGAATCTGACTAACTGTTACGCATGAATGTAAACATGTCATTTTGATATGTTTGAATTATTATGAGTTTACCTTAGTCCGAAAACAAGAGCAAGGATCCAGCGACACGACATGCTACTCTGATCCGAGTGTCCCAACCCCTATTTAGTAAAAGAAGAAGACTTGATATGAAGTAGAACGTGTATCCTACATGCATCCAGAAAGTGTGAAGTCCAAGTACAGAAGAGAATCAGGATCCCGGACTAGAGATCCGGGTCCGGTCCATAAAATGTTACAGATAATGCGTATTCATACATTTAGGTCGAAAAGGTAACAGCATCGAAGTCTGTGACATTGACAGTTAAGATGTCCAATAGGAAACAACACTGAAGTACGTGACATTGATATCTAGGACGACGATAAAATTGACCAATAATTCTCTTAGGATATTGGATGAATATCCTAACATTAGTGCACCAGTTTAAACTGCCATACAATTTAGCCCGGTGCAAGATAAATCCCATAGCAGTAGAAAAAGTATCCATAGTACTAGGGACTATTAAGCAAAGAAAAAGGCTTAAGAAGATTTAGAGTTCGAATATATGAAGGATACACAGAGAATTCATCTACGCCATGGTGAACGATCCTGAACCATGTTAACCAAGTAATCTAATCACTGGTTACGATTCTCACACGGAGCGCAACCAGGTAGTCTGTATCTACCGACATGGCTTAGACAAACAATCAATAACTCCATGGACTGATGCCACATCTAGGTTTGGAAACTCCTAGTTTTTTGTCCCAACCTACTCCTCCAGATAATGTTGATCATTGAGGTGGGGCGTATGTAACACATGTCCCAACTACCTTGGTTGATTAGAATTGACTACTTCGTCAATTATCGTGTGTTTGACTTCAGAATTGCTCACTCGGTTCATCCTATCATTCTTCTAAGATACACTCATAATTGAATGCTGGTAACCAACCAATATCCTTCATTCTTAATGACTATCTTTCACACACCCCATGAATTTACTGACTGAAGGACGAGTGTACTGCGCAGTAGTTCGCTCCGTCTTACTTTATGGCTGTGAAACATGGCCAATGAGAGTAGAAGATACTCGTCGGTTATTGGTTTTCGATCATAGGTGTCTTCGAAGCATTGCTCGTATATCCTGGGACAGCCGAGTGAGCAATGCTGTTATTAGGAATCGGGTGCTAGGTAAGAATGGCAGATCAATAGATGAAGTAATGAAACTTCATCAGTTGAGGTGGTTTGGTCATATGCTGCGTATGCCCATCCACCGACTGCCTCGACGAGCTTTGTTTTGTAGTGTAGGAATAGGTTGGAAGAAATTTAGGGGCGTTCAAACCAAAATATGTCAGGAATCCTTGAAGTCATTCACAAGTGGATTTAGCCATGTCGGTAATTGTCTACTACCTGGTTGGGGTCCGCGAGATGATAATAATCAATGGTTAGAAACCCTGAATGACATGGCTCAAAATCGATCGCAATGGCGCCGATGCATTTATCCTTTGTGTTCTCTCAAATCCTAATCTTCTGGATTTTTCAACACATCTAGTTTTGACTTTCTAAACTTTTCTCACTGAATCATACTTCTTGAATAATATCTTCTAATCCTAACCTCTTCGATTACTTCTAATACCCTTACTACCTCTACTACTATTGGATTTGAATTGACAATTTGTTAGGATATTCACCAAATATCCTAAGAATACTATTTTTAGAAGTACAATCCAATTGGTCGATTTCTATTGGCCGAAACTATGATCGTTCTTACCGTCAGGGTCAAATACTTCAATGTTACCTCTTATTGGTCATCTGGACGGTCAATGTCATTCAAATGTTCTTTTCTATTGGTCGTCCTAAATTGTCAATGTCACAGACGTTGATGCTTTTTCTTATTCGACCTTTTGTGTATAAATACGCACTTAATAATTCCGTTTCCCCTGCCTGCCTCTTCTTCTGTATTCGACCCAATAAACAACTTCCTTCCACGGTGTTACGTTCTGATTTCTAGGAGATTCGGAAAAAGCCTTTTGGGTCGTATTGTGATATTTGAATTGGACGCCGTTAGGACTGAAGAGCTATATGCAGCAGCGTTACAACACAATTAAATCTGTGTGCTAATAATGTGGTATGGCAACATGAACTAATGTACTTACGTACGAGGTTCTACGTTGCATCTGACTGACTGACACACGCCATAAAGTAGAATAAAACGAACTGTTGTGCAGTGAACTCATCCTCTCGTTAGTAGATGAATATACATATTTGTCTACTTTACAGAACTAAAAAAAACAATAATATAAAATAATAGTCTGTGCCTTAATAAATTCCATTAAACAGCCTGACTAAATTATCTTTTAATTAATCGTTTTCATCGAATGGCCACTATTATTTTGATTATTATTATAATTATTATCATTAAAACGAAATTCAATATCATATATGTCAGAATAATAATAATCTATATTGTAATTTGTCAACAAAAAAAAGAAAAAAATTACATTTACAAACAAATAAAAAGTAAACAAATTTATTAGTATTATTAATAATAATAGTAAATAAAGCAATAAAATAGAAAAAAAAATAAAAGAAAAGAATGTAATTTTTTTATTTTACTTGTCGATGATAAACGAGAAAAAAAAGTAAAACGAAGTGTTAAAAAAAAATTAAAACAACAACAATTGATGAGAAAAATAAAAGAGAAGTCAGTGGTGGTAGAAAAAACGAAAAAGAAAAAGTAGAAATATTGATTTTTTTATTATTATTATTTTTAATTATTTTCAATTATTTTTTTTATTTCGAATCATTAATGAATTGACGGCAAATCACTTGTTAATAATAATAATAATAAAAATAGTAAAAAACTTTATTTTTTTCAACAATGAGATTACTTGATATAAATAATAATAATAATTATTATTATTAAAAAATAAATAGAAAATAAAAAAAAATACAAAAACAAATTGTTTATGTTTATGTTATCATCATCATCATCATCTGAGATGGAATATTAACAAACAAAAAGAAAAGTAACCAAATGAATATATTATTATAAAATATTTTTTTTAAAAAAAAGAATGAGATTATTTTGTGCACAATAATAATAATAATCGAGCGAGAGATTGAGAGAGAGATTGGTGCTGATTGATTGACTGATTGAATATCAATCAATTCAATTGTTATGTATCACAGAATTCATTATCCCACAACTTAGCTAATTCATATACAATTTGATAAAATTGATCAAATTTTATAGCATAATTCTGATGATCTAATGCATTTCTAATTGATTCATCTGATAACCAACCAGTGTAAGGAGTAGTACTTGTAGATGGTATAATTTTCAACGGGTGTTTTGATTTCAATTTGTGTTGTTGTTCTTGACTGTTATTATTATCATTATTATTATTATTATTATTATTATTATTATGATCATTGATAATCCATGATGAACCGAATAAATTTCTATAATACGCAGCATTGAATGCATAACCGCCACCATTAGTCAAACGTGTTGAACGATTCCATCGATACCATGCATGTAACCAAAATCGTGGATAATAATAGTAGGATGGTGATAAAATTGGATTCGTCGTAGTTGTTCTGAGTGTAGATTTATTGATAGATTGTTGTATTAGTTTAGTATAATTTGATATAGTCTTTTTTAAAATAAGAAAAATAAAACAAAAATCAGAACGATTGGATAAAGAAAAGACTTAAATTTGTAAACAATTAATACTGCTATTATTATAGATTAGATATACTGTGGTGCGAGCTACTTATAAGTAGTAGTATATGACGTGAGTGTCAACGTAATGTATGGCAGCAGAAGATGGGGGCAAAATCAAGAAAGGGAGAGTTAGTAGAACACAATGGAATTCGTATGAAACGCATGAATAGTAGTGACAATGGATTGATGTTTTGCAACAGGAACAGTCCAGTTCGATATGATGAACTGATATTTTGCAAATTAACACGATTTACGATATGGTTTTCCGATTTCTACTGAGTAACTCTGTAATTTTCGTTAAATACAATCCGGTTGCCCCACCTGTGTTCTCGTTCACAACAATACGACTGATTTTATTTTATTTGGTCTTATGTGATGTTACGACTATGAGGGCGGTTGTCACTTGTCGACACAAAGTGGAAGGGTGTTTGTTACCTGGGAGCGTGACTGCAGAGGATAAGGGACAACTGCTTCAAGCCGGTCACGCAAAAGTGGACTGAGTCATGTTGGTAGATGTAGGCTCTGGTTACCTTGGTTGGGTTCCGCGAGACGATAGTCACCAATGGTTAGAGATCTTGGATGACATGGCTCAGAATCGTTTGCCATTGCGCAGGTGCATCCACTCTTTGTGTTCTCTCTAATTCTAACCTTCTGAGAATTCCTCATCATCTCTATCTGTTTCCTAACTTTATCTCACTGAATTATACTTGTCGAATCATATCCTCGCTCCGTAATCTTCTTTATTACTGCTGATACTTCTAATATCACTATCACTCTTGGATTTGAACTGACAGTTGCGTCTTTGTGCTGATGTGTTATGGAAACCTGAACTGATGTACTTATGTACGAAGTTCTACGTTGTATTTGTCTGTCTGTCTAGTCACGCACAGTCTTTTTATGAGAATTTTTTTAAGTGTTAGTTCCGCTCTTATTTATAAGGCCTTACCACGGGAGGGGGAAATCCATGAGGTAGGGTGAGGTGTGAAATTTTTAGGGTCGACCTTTTCTAACCCATCCCTTTCTTTTGAGAAGGCAGCATCACTTCAGGTGCTGTTTTTCTGAGGGAAACACTACCGCTGTCACATCCCTCTACAGTCAACAGTACGACTTCGCCCTCAGACCTTGAGTAGCTGCTTTTAGTCTCATTGTTCTCCAACCGATCTGTTTGGCATAGTGGGACCTAAAGGAACATATGTTCCAGCCAATATAGGTCGATTGGGTCATAACGATAGGCAAGCCCGACCACCATGTCAAGGTAGCAGCTACAGTAGGGGATTTTATTATATACATTTTTAGTCGGTTAAAAGCAAGAAAGAGTTAGGACACTACAAGTATCGGACTAAAGTTGACACTGCTGTCAGTACAGTGAGATGCATATCAAATTAGTAGTATGTGGCTTATATGTAGTGTGTGCAATGGGTCCGAATGTACGGGGTGATCATCTAGGTGTGTTTTGAAAACCAGAAGATATATCGAAGAAGACAGCATATCATTTACTTGTTTTACAAGTGGGACTTTGAAGATTCTAAATATACCGACTGCTATTCCATCTGGTCTCGACGCCTTCATTCATTACAAGGCATCTTAACCAAGGAGTAAATTTAATTATAACGAAATGAGTTAATCATTCATAAAGATGTGGATTGATTATCAAGGAGAATGTAATGTGTTATTGCTGTAGATTGTCTAGTTAAGAATGTATTGTACCAACCACACATTTCTCAATGAATGAACCGAGTATTATTCAGTGATAAATCTATTTGGTGTTGTCAATTAATAAGGCATCCTATTTAGTTATCGCAATAGTCAAAACTTAATTGGTTTTACGGTATATAATCTAGCCAATGTCATCAGAAAACATTACGGAAGGTTTACTCTTTTATCTTTCTATTTACTTGCTGTTAAATGTATATATATATATATATATATATATATATATATATATATATGTATATTTACGATACGGACTGAGGTAGTTAAGCGTGTTGACCGCTTTACTTATCTCGGGAGTTTCATCAGCGCTGATGGCCTGGTGACTAACGAAATCTCAGCAGGGATACAGAAGGTTCGTTTGGCTTTTGCCAATTTGCGTCACTTGCTGCGTAGGAGAGTTATTCGTCTGCTAACTAGCAGTTCATTCCGTCCTACTATACGGATGTGAAATGTGGCCAGTAAGAGTAGAGGATATTCGTAGGCTATTAGTATTCGATCATAGGTGTCTTCGAAACATTGCTCGTATATCCTAGGACCTTCGAGTAAGTAATGCTGCTGCTGTTTGAAAAATGACGATGTTATTCATGTCCTACCATGATATAAATTGAAACACACATACTGGAAAGACTATAATTAATTGTTGCTCTAGTTGTCAGAAGTGGTATCAACCTTGTTACTTTACAAGAAACTCTGCTTTCACCATGAGGCATCATAACTTTTCTAAATGAAAACCCTCCCCGCCGTAAGACAGAGTTTGAATGATCTGAATAATATTATTCTGGTTAGCATCTTTTATCAAGTTAGTTTTCTACGTGATGGAGTTGCTAACCCCATGCTCAAAGCTCCTCCTTTCTTCAGGTTTGTGATCAGTAGTAACCCTAAAAGGGCTCCAGGCAAAGTCAGAATTGTCAATACAAAAGCTATCATTTTAAAGATACAGGTATTTATAAACTATTGTCTACTGAAGATACTCAAGATCTGTTAGTCAAACACCATCAAGAATAACCTGCTGTGGGAGAGAAAAAACCAGGTTCCAGTGGAGAAATGAATCAGAAAGAAGCGCTGGAAGTGGATAAGGATATGCATTGCAGAAAGCACCCAACTGCTTCACAAGACAAACCCTCATTTGGAACCCTGAGGGTCAAAGGAGAACAGGAAGGTCAAGGAACACATTACGCCGGGAAACAGAAATGAGAAGAATGAACAAAAATTGGACAGAACTGGAAAGGTAGGCCCAGAGAGCAGAGTAGGTTAAAGAATACTGTTCGGCAGCCTATGTTTCCATCAGAGGTAACACGTGTAAATAAGTAAGCAAGTAAGTAAGTACTAACATAATTCTTGGAAAATTTTGAAACATAATCATGCATAATCTGATTAATTCATCATCATCATCATCATCATCATTACAATCAATATGAACATACATTTACAGGATCTGAACTATATTGCCAATAATATAACCAATTCAGCAGAAGTTGACATCCATTATCAGTTAAAATATCATGCCAATTATGAAATGAACGCCATGCACTAATATCATGAAAATAATTAGATTTTTCAATAATTTCTTCTTTTGTCATAGTTTTTGTTTTCACATGTCTTGCAGCTTCACATGAACATGAGAATTCAATAGTGAATGGTGGTGTACCACCACCTCGACTTAATGCACTGTCTAATAATAAAACTAAATAATCCTAAAAAATTAAAAAATCCATAAAAAGAGGTTTAATTTTTGTGAGTTTACAAAATAGAACTAGTATTATAATGTGCATGCAAATTAATGTAGATACAACAGAGATGTTGAAAACGTATAGATTGAATTAAAAATTTGGCAATTACATAACGAATTGATTTTATTTCGGGGCTGTTACAACGTTTCGTGATCTCGCTTCGTCTGCATTAGCGGTGCAGTGAGAAAAGGGAGTATGAGTAGAGTTAGTCGTAGAGATACGGAGAGACATTAGGGGGTGTAGGAAGGATTTGATTTTTACCAATTTGGTCTCGCGTGCTGTTACGGGTATGAGGGCGGTTGTCACTTCCCGGCTGCCCACACTGTGGAAGGTTGTTTCTTGAGGGACCTGAAAAGGAAGATGGATTAGTGTTGGTGCGTGACCGCAGAGTCCAAGGGACAACTGCTTGAGACCGGTCACGCACGGCCTTTTTATGTGAGGTATTTAGAGGATTAGCTCCGTTCTTAAAGGCCCTTAGTGGGCACCCTTACCCAAGGAGACGGAAATCCGTGAGTTAGGGGAGGTGTGACATTTTTAGGGTCGACCTTTTCTAAAACTCCCTTCCTTGTGAGAAGGCAGCATCGCTGCAGATGCTGGTTGTCCGAGGGAAACACCTTACTGCTGTCACACCCCTCTGCAGTCAGCAGTACGACTTCGCCCTCAGACCTAGGGTAGCTGCTCTTAGTCTCATCGTTCTCCAATCGACCAGCCTGGCATGGTAGGACCTGCAGGAACATATGTTCCATCCAGTATAGCTCGGTTGGGTCATCACGATAGGCAAGCCAGACCACCACGTCAAGGTAGCAGCTTCGGTCGAGTTATTTTGGGGCTGTGAAGATTGTTAAGTTACACATTTTTGAAACCACGAATCGATCAATGTTAGACCACTCCATTAGAGAAACCTGGAAGCACTGAAAGACGGCCGTTTCGTCCTGGTATGGGACTACTACTCAGCAGTGCGGGTGTAGACAGTGTCTACCAAAGACTGTGTATGTGGGGTTGCGCAACTCCGTGAATTTGATCAAGTTAGACAATAGCACCGTTAGATACCGGTTCAGTGGTCTAACGATTAGGGCGTTCGCGCAATGGTGGTCTAACATTGGTCGATTCATGGTTGAAAACTCAGAAGCACTGAGTAACTGGTTCGTTTTAGTACATCGATACTGACGACCTTCAGGTATGAGAGTCGTGGTGAGAGAAACCCTGACCATGGGAGTAAGATGGGTACCGTACACTAATGGCAACTGATAAAGGGGTGGAAAATATCACGAGTTGGCTGAAATTAGAAATGTGAAGGACTGGGGGTCAAATGTGAATTGTAAGATGTGGAGGTCCTAAGAGAGGGGAGTTATGGATAGGTCATATTGACATTTCGGTAAGACAGCTTATCTTGGTTCTCAATGATTGTTTAGCTAAATTGAATCCATGATGTGAACTACAAACAAAACTAATAAAACTGTTAGGATATTCATCAAATATCCTAAGAGAATTATTGGTTGATTCCTATTGGTTAATTCCTTGTTATTATCAATGTCACGTACTTCAAATGTTTTTTCCTATTGGTCGTCTTAACTGTCAATGTCACTGACTTCAATGTTGTTTCCTATTGGACCTAAATGTATAAATACGCATTATCTGTAACGTTTTATGTCCCGGAATCCTGATACTCTTCTGGACTTGGACTTCGTACTTTCTGGATGCTTGTAGAATACATGTTCTACTTCATATCAAGTTTTCTTATTTTTACTCAATCGGGGTTTGGGACATTCGGATTAGAGCAGCAAGTCGTGTCTTTAATACACCTCTTCTACTATTGGATTTGAATTCACAATTATATCTCTGTGCTAATAATGTGGTATGGCAACATGAACTGATGTACTTACGTACGAAGCTCTACGTTGCATCTGACTGACTGACTGATCTGACTGATAAATATCTTAAACAAGTTTATTTTATTATAATTTTACATCCATGAATATCTTCTCCATCATCAGAATTATGTCATAAAACTTTACACCACCGCATAACTTCTATCTTTAATGTACACAATATAGTATTTCACCGAAATCATATTGTATATTGTACATTTTTAATTAATATTGCAATGGATGCTACTCACAAACTGGCATATAAATAGTAAGTAGTATGCAGCGGAGCATTGCATTAAAACTTTGCTGTCAGAGAGAGAGAGAGAAGATTGTTCAGAGATTGAAATGCATGACATGATCAGAGTGTATTGAAGACTTGAAGTGAATGAAGCCTGATTGTATTGGATGTTTGAATATAATGTTGTTACGCCTGCACGTAAACACGTCAACTTTGTATACTTGAACTATTACGAGTTTACCTAGTTGGAAACGAGAGCGAGGATCCGGTGACACGCCATGCTAATCATATCCGGATTATTACAACCCCCCATATTTAGTTAAAATAAGAAGACATGATATGAAGTAGAATGTGTATTCTACAAGCATCCAGAAAGTACGAGGTCCGAATCCAGAAGAGAATCAGGATCCCGGACTAGGGATCCGGGACCGAGCCCTGGTCCTGGTCGTGGTCAGTAAACGTTACAGATAATGCGTATTTATACATTTTGGTCGAATAAGAAACAGCATCGAACTCTGTGACATTGACAGTGAAGACGACCAATAGAAAGTAACATTTGTAGCGACATTGATAGTCAGGATAACCAATAAGAAACAACATTGAAGTATTTGACCTTTACAGTTAAAACGACCATCATTTTGACCAATAGAAATCGACCAATAGGATTTGACCAATAATTCTCTTAGGATATTGGTTGAATATCCTAACAATGTGTACATAGTTTGTGAATAAATTGTATCTTCTCCAAATACTTATAGATATCCTATCTGGTGTTGACTTACACGTTACACCATGATAAAGTTTAGTAATTGTCACAAATTGGATCGGATGAGTTAAGTTCAATGCATATAAAATGGCGCTATAATCAAGTATTTCTGTGTCAAATTACTCTCTCTCTCTCTCACACACACACAAGCACAAACACACACACTTACCTCAGTAAATGCAAATTCCGCTGGGAATTGAATTAACAATTGATGAACACAATCAATGAATAATGCAAAACTAACACCATCATCATAATCACAACTGGGTGAATTGTTATTACTAGTATTATTATGATTATGTTTATGATGATGATTATCATCATGCCAATCAGTAGGATCAGGTACAAATGGATAACCATAACGTATCCATTCTTGTTCAATTAAATTTTCAAAACCATGAATTGTTCTATTCTCTGAAGATAATATTATCTATAAGTGATAACAGTAATAATAATAACAGTATGATTTATAATGTAAGAATTCTGGTTATGTGCTAATCAACGATTAACTTTTAAAAAAAGAAACTATGAGTTGAACCAAGTCGGATGTAATCCCGTCCGACTGGTCTGAATCCCTGATTGTACTAGTCTACAAGAAAGGATAAAAGTCTTCTTGTGACAATCATAGGGGAATCAGTCTAACTAATATAGTTTCTAAAGTGTTAGCCTCCATTATACTTAGACACCTGACAAGAGCTCGCAAAGAGCAGACTAGAGAAAACCAGGCTGGTTTTAGACCTGGACGTGGTTGTATAGACCACATTTTCACACTACGACAGGACCTGGAACACAGACACACATTTAGGCGTACTACCCTAAGTTATCTTCCTAGACCTTGAGGCGGCATTTGACTCTATGGATCGTGAGGTTCTGTGGCAGTGTTTGTCATTGAAAGGTGTACCACAGGAAGTACATTAACCTTATACAAGCTCACTACTCGAACACCACGTCGCGTGGGAGCATATGGCGAACTGTGAGAAATTATGAGTTGAATCAAGTTAGGAGTGAAGCAGTGGCTATCTAATAGTATTACTGATTGATGAGGATGGTAGAACAGTATTGCGAATTGATTGAAATTATAAATTTGAATAGAAAATACATCAATGTAACCATGACATTCAAGGTCTGTTATTATCGATGACTTTCGTCTCGAGGATACCAACCAGGTAGCCTATATTTACCGACATGACTCAGTCCCCTTGTCAGTAATTTCATGGATTTCTGCCATGTTTTGGTTTGGCCAACCCTAGTTTTCTTCCAACCCACTCAAAAAACCACAAAATATAGCTCGACGAAGAAGTCGATGGTTGAAAATTCGTAATACATGTCCCAAATACTTCAACTGATGAAGTTTCACTACTTCATCTATTGACCTGAAACCTTTACCTAGCACCCGTTTCGTAACGACAACATTGCTTACTCGATTGTCCTATGTTACACGAGCAATGCTTCGAAGACACCTATGATCGAAAACCGGTAACCTACGAATATCTTCTACTTTGATTGGCCATGTTTCACAGCCACAAAGTAAGACGGAGCGAACCACTGCGCAGTACACTCGTCCTTTAGTCAGCAAACGGATATCTCGCCTACGCCATTAGCGACACAAATCGGCAAAAGCCAATTCAGACTTCTCTTTTCGTGCTTAGATTTCGTCAGTCACCAGGCTATCAGCGCTGATGAGACTCCCTAGATAAGTGAACTGATCAACACGCTCGACTACTTCACTCTCTATCACTAGTTCAGGTTAGGGTTAGGCGCACAACACCGAAGGTTCCGGGTTCGAATCCTGTGAGGTGCAGGAGTCGTGATTGATGCGCACTGCCAGTGATGAGTAGTCCCATACCAGGAAGAAACGGCCATCTCTCAGTGCTTCCAGGTTTCTAATGGTGGTCTAACACTGATCGATTCATGGTTTCAAAAATATATATACATATGAAAACATACCTGTACAAGACTCATTAAAATCGGTTGCCAATTACGACCACTATCTGGTCCACTTAATAATATAATTGTTCCATCATAATTATTCACTGGTTTCATTGAATATTGATAAATTAATTGACTCAACTGAGTAGCTTGTTTCAATGTAAATGATAATAAATTTAACCAATTTGTTGATAACCAATTCTCACACCAATCCGATCGATGTGGACTACATTGAAATGCGATATGATCTAATTTACTTTTATTGAATATATTAAAATGTGAATAATTTCTCCCAAATGATTGACCAATTAAACTAGTACTAATAGGACGATGATGATGATGAGTAGTACTGTTATCATCAGTAGAATGATTGACAATATTTTTCTGACTTCTTTTATCAACAACATTAGTCTGCTTATGTAAATTGAATAGAGCGTTTAATTTATGCTGTTGTTGATTAGATTTTATTGTTGATAAACGTTGTTTATCTTCTAGCATAAAATGATGATTAGATTTTGAACGGAATAACAACTGACTAGGTGGATAATGTTTATCATTGTTATATTCACTGCTGACTGAATCTGTCGATGATAATGTATCCCAATTGGTAGTAAATAGATTATCATGAATACTATTACTTTTATTAGTCTTATTAGTAGTATTAGTAGTAGTGGTAGTCGTAAAATTATTCAACGACTGACAATCACTAGCAATTATGAAAGAATCATGTTCATTCATACTACTACTATTAGTAGTAGTAGTACTACTATCATTATTATAAGTAGTATTTGTGAATTCATTAAAAATCTCCACATTCGGTATATGAATTTGTGATAATTGTATCAAATGTTTCAATTGTAACCATGATTTTTTAACATAATTATATTTTGGTATAAACCAATGATCATAAGGTTGATCGATTTCATATAATTCCGTGAAAAATGCAGATAAACGCATAAAATTATTAGATTCCGAGGATTGGACAACATGAACTGCAGCAGCAGCATCATTTTGATGATGCTGATGATGAACGCTAGTGTCTGATGTCATCAACACATCATCATGATCATCATATTCTTCTTCTTTTTCTTCTTCATGTAAAAAGGGTATATAAAATTCAGAAAAATTTTTCTCTTTCATTTTTATCATAGTTTTATCTTGAAATAATTCATTTAAATCATTACTAAATAATAATTTAATATGTTTTAAAAAGAATTTTTGTGGATTCGATGGGGACAATGATGGATCATCACAATTGATCAATTGATTCAAGTTGATATTCGTTAATACATTGCCTGATCTTAATATCCATACCGGGGAGTTTGTAGTAGTAGTAGTAGTAGTAGTCGCACTGGTACTGGTAGACAATGAATACAGTGGTGGTGGTGATTGTTTGTATAATTGAGAAGTTTTTGGATGATTTAATAATACATTAGAATAATAAAATGACAAGACTGGAAATCGATGTCCTTCAAAATAATCACGAAAAATGATAACCTAAAGAATTAAAATATAGAAAAATACAAAAACAGAAAAAAACTAAACATTAATTGGTTATACTACTTGTTAGTAGTGTGTAGGAGTAGATTGGAAGGAAGCTTGAGGGGCTTACTTACTTACTTACGCCTGTTACCCCCAACCAACTCTGTCCTGTGCTTCCCTCTCCAGTTCTGTCCAATGTTTGTTCATTCCTCTCATATCGTTCTCTATTTCTCGGCGTAATGTATTCCTTGGCCTTCCTCTTTTCCTTTTACCTTGAGGGTTCCATGTGAGGGCTTGTCTCGTGACGCAGTTAGGTGCTTTTCGTAGTGTGTGTCCTATCCACTTCCACCGCTTCTTTCTGATTTCCTCCTCCACTACAACCTGGTTTGTTCTCTCCCACAGTTCGTTGTTGTTGATGGTGTCTGGCCAACAAATACGAAGTATTTTGCGTAGACAACTGTTAATAAACACTAGTATCTTCTGGATGATGGCTTTCATAGTTCTCCAGGTTTCCGCTCCATACAGTAGAACTGTCTTGACATTTGTATTGAAAATCCTTATTTTGGTTTTGTTTGAAAGTTGTTTGGAGTTCCCGATATTTTTCAATTGTAGAAATGCAGCCCTTGCTTTGCCAATCCGTGCCCTCACATCTGCATCAAGCTTGAGGGGCGGTCAAACCAAAACATAGCACAAATCCATGAAGTCATTGACAAGTGGATTGAGTTATGTTGGTAGATGTAGGCGCTGGTTACCTTGGTTAGGGTCCGCGAGACGATAGTCACCGATGGTTAGAGACCTTGAATGACATGGCTCAGAAGCGGTTGCAATCGCTGCAGGTGCCTTTAGTCTTTGTCTTCTGTCAAATCCTAACCTTCTGAATTTCTCATAATCTCTATCTGTCTCCTTCTAACTTTATCTCACTGAACTATACTTCTCGAATCATATCTTTGCTCCCTAATCTTCTGTATTACTGCTAATACTTCTACTATCACTATCACTCTTGGATTTGAACTGACAATTGCGTCTCCGTGCTAATGTGCTGTGGCAACCTGAACTGATGTACTTACGTACGTACAAAGTTCTGCGTTGTATCTGTCTGTCTGTCTGTCTGTCTAGCAAATATATTATTTGGTGAGTTTAAGCTTGGAAATAGTTTGATTTTGATGAGAATAATTAAAACGATAATAAGATGAAATTAAAATTGAATCTACTTTGAATGTTAGTGCATACTGTAATTTCATTTAAATAATCTTATTGCATAGCGTAATTAGCTTTTTGAACAAATTAGGTTACATCATTTAATCACAGCACATCTGTGGTTTAATGGTAAGATGTTCTCCTGCCATGCGAGCTATTTGAGTCCAATTCCCAGTTGACGCGCACCACTGTTAGCCTTCAAATGCCCCTGCACTGTCAAGATTAAGGCAAGTTCAAACTCTCTGACAAAATGATCTCACACGGCTACGCGTATATAGGCACTAGAGGTGAAATCGTAGTCACTGACTTTTCGTAGCAGGAGTGTTGTTTACGAAATGGAGAGGATGAAAACAAGCGCTGTAACTCGATTGACGGCTATCAAAAATTTATCTAGAGGATGTAGAAAACCCCTATTCCAAACCACTGATGCATATGGGTTCCAGAATCTTCAAAGAACAAATTGCACATAAAACTATTGCTGGTCACCGACTACCATCGAACTTTATCTACTGACGTTGTTGTTCCATTGCCTTGTGAATTAGATCATTAGGTCAAAGGCTCCAGAGACGAATTCCGCAATAACTACACCTGCACCTGTTTAGGCACCTATGCAGTAAGTATCCTAGCGCACTTACAAATTTCATAGTTTGTGTAGCACATTTAAGTGCCACTTTTTACCGTTGTGTTTACGTGTTCAAATAATTATTTAATTTTCTGTAAATCATAATTTTACAATTTCTAAAAATTTACACAAAAGTTGTATTTTTTTTCAAGAAAAAAAATCAACCAACTTCTAACCAGACAGACAGATACAATGCAGAACTTCGTACGTAAGTAAGTACATCAGTTCAGGTTGCCATACCAGATTAGCACACAGACGCAATTGTCAGTTCAAATTCAATAGTGATAGCGATAGTAGAAGTTACACATTTTTTTTGAAACCGTGAATCGATCAATGTTAGACCACCATTACAAACCTGCAAGCACTAGACGACCGTTTCGTCCTGGTATGGGACTCCTCAGTAGTGACCAGGACCTTCGGTATTGTGCGCAAAAAATGTGTAACTTAACAATCTTCACAACCCCGTAATGAGGATAGTAGAAGTATTAACAGTAATATAGAAGATTAGGGAGCGAATATATGATTCGAAAAGTATAATTCAGTGCGACAAATTTGGAAAGAGAAAGATAGAGTTTATGAGGAATTCTCAGAAGGTTAGAATTTGACAGGACACAAAAAGTGGATGCACCTGCGTCATTGCAAACGATTCTGAGCCATATCGTTCAAGGTCTCTAACCATTGGTGACCACCAACTTCTAACCAAGTAAAACGGATCAACTGCAGTTTCAGTAAATATTTTCATTTGGTTCAATTAGAACACTAAAAAACATTAACTTAATGGAAGTAATTATATTTCATTCTTGATTGATTATTTATAGTGAAATGACAGACAGACACAACGCAGAACTTCGTACGTACGCACATCAGTTCAGGCTGCCATGCTGCATCAGCACAGAGACGCAACTGTCAATTCAAATCAAATCCAAGACCGAATTGATCAAAATCAATTTATAGTGAAATACCAGAAAGTAGCTGCTACCTTGACGTGGTGGTCGAGCTTGTCTATCATGATGAGCCAGCCGAGCTATATTGACTGGAACATATGTTCCTGAAGGTTCTACCATATCAGGAAGGTCGATTGGAGAACGATGAGAATAAAAGTATCTACTCAGGTCTGAGGGCGAAGTCGTACTACTGACTGTGATGGAGTGGTGTGACAGCAGTAAGGTGTTTCCCTCGGACAACCAGCATCTGCAGCGATGCTGCCTTCTCACAAGGAAGGAAGGGTTAGAAAAGGTCGGCCCTAAAGATGTCACACTTCACTTTGCCTCACGGATTTCCGTCTCCTTGGGTAAGGGTGCCCTCTAAGGGCCTTTAAGAACGGAGCTAATCCTCAAAAAACGTTTCATAAAAAGGCCGTGCGTGACCGGCCTCAAGCAGTTGTCCCTTGGACTCTGCGGTCACGCACCCAGCTCCCTAAGACCAACACTAATCTATCTTCCTTATCAGGTCCCTCAAGAAACAACCTTCCACGGTGTGGGCAGCCGGGTAGTGACAACCACCCTCATACCCGTAACAGCACACGAGACCAAATAGGTCAAAATCATATTATAGTGAAATGTGTTGTTAATTATTATAAATATTGTTATCATTATGACCACAATCTAATTAGAGTATTTCAACTCGTTTTTTAAAATTTTTATTATAATCCTTAAAATGTTCTTATACATCAGATTAATATCAAACTTAGAATCAAGTAAAATTAAAAGACAGATATAGTATATATATATATACGTGCGCAAGATTTTGGTGAATATCGAAGACTCCATTAATATAAAAGTTTTTATTGATAAATCATCTGTTAATTTGTATTTGAGAAGAACTTTTGTGAAGATCTATCTATATACAAGAGGAAAGCCAGCTAAGGGCCATGGTTTTGTCAACACGTGGAACTAATGTAAGTTTGATAATATGCGCAATAACAGTAAAAATGAAGTTCTTGTCGCCTAAACATTTTTTTTTGGTTCAGTTAACGCCGATAAGTTCATTCATTCTTTTTGATCAATTGATTGAAAAATGAAATCAAAAATCAATTTTTTAAGAATTGCATTTTTATCCTTGATAATGCAAGGATTTTCAATACAAATGTCAAGACAGTTCTATTATATGGAGCGGAAACTTGGAGAACTACCAAAGCCATCATCCAGAGGATACAAGTGTTTATTAACAGTTGTCTACGCAAAATACTTCGGATCAGCAACAACCTACTGTGGGAGAGAACAAACCAGATTCCAGTGGAGGAGGAAATCATGAAGAAGTGGTGGAAGTGGATAGGACACACACTACGAAAAGCACCTAACTGCGTCACGAGACAAGCCCTCACATGGAACCCTCAAGGCAAAAGGAAAAGAGGAAGGCCGAGAAACACATTACACCGAGAAATAGAGAGAGATATGAGAAAAATGAACAAAAATTAGACAGAACTGGAAAGGGAAGCACAGGACAGAGTTGGTTGGAGGAAACTGGTCGGCGGCCTATGCTCCATTGGGGGTAACAGGCGTAAGTAAGTAAGTAATGCATGGATCCATCACTCCAATATTACCAAAACTTCTTTTGATGAAAAGAGAGTAAAGGGTTATGTTTTTGTCTCCTTATAGTTGTATGCTTAATCCAATTGAATTTGCATTTTCAAAAATTAAATCCATTGTATATAAGAAGATCACTGGCAAGCGAATTTAATTTACAAATCTTAGATATTAAATTCTGTAAATCAATTAACCACAAATGATTTGTTTACAAGGTCATACGACGCATATATACTTCGCAACTGTTTAAAAGCGATTGTTAAAGAAGACTTTAATTTGAAAAAAAAAATAGTATTCTTTTAACTTTTTTACAAAACGCTGTGAAAATTAAAAAAAAAACAAGTTGAAATACTCTCTATATATGATGGTTTGAATGTCAGTCTCATTGACTAACTGACTGACTACTACTTGGTAAAACATACATAAATGCAATAACATTTTGTATTACAGGGTGATGAAGATAGTTAAGTTACACATTTTTGAAACCATGAATCGATCAATGTTAAACCACTCCATTAGAGAAACCTGAAAGCACTGAAAGACGGCCGTTTGGTCCTGGTATGTGACTCATTAGTAAATGACACAGTAGAGTCAGTTCATCCTTTGTCTTGAAATGTTCTCATATGGCCACAAATATAGCTACTAACGGCAAAGTCCTACTCACTTCGTTCTCATTGAAAGGGTATTGTTCACAAAATCGAGAGAATGAAAACGAAAGTTTGACGCTTTAACCGGATCGATGGGTAGGGAAGATCTATCTAGAGGATATGAAAAATCATCATTTCGAACCAATGGTTCTCTATGGGCTCCAAGGTCCTGATGGAACGATTGGCGTATGAACCTACCGTTTGTAACCGGCTACCATGGGACTGCAGCTCCTGACACTGTTCCACGGCCTTGTGGATTAGATCACTTTGTTAAAGGCTCGAGGCATAGCTCTTTTCTACCACTAATTATGAATATCAACAATTGTGTGTTTACATAGAAAACTTACTATACTAATCGCACTAGAAAGTAAGTAATATTAAGCATCTTTTTCGCCCTTAAATCTATTCAATCTCATGTCCCATTTATAATAACTTTTTCTTGTCAATATCAAACTATCTTAAATAATACATCAAGATATTTTTTTTCGAATTTACACATTCGGGTTAATAATAACAGATCCAGATCAGTTTTTTTCTTAATTCTGCACCAAAATCTATCTAACAGCCCATCTAATTTGATTGGTTAAGATTCTCATCTTACTATCTGCTATAATAGATTAAACTAACCTTGAAATTATGAACGAATCATTGTTAGACCACCATTAGAAACCTGGAAGCACTAGACAGCCGTTTTGGTCCTGGTATGAGACTAATCAGCAGTGCACATCGACGACTCCTGCTACTCGCAGCATTTGAACCCAGGGCCTTTTGTCTCACGCGCGAACGTCTAACCTCTGGACCCTCGAACCGGCATTCCACGGTGTCAATTTCTTGAACAATCTAAGGATTTTGTTCAACCTCATCCATTTTCTTCATAAAAGTTTTAATGCAAGATTTAAATTGAACTCTCGCTCCGTCTTATTTTATGGCTGTGAAACATGGCCAGTGAGAGAGTAGAAGATATTCGTAGGTTACTGGTTTTCGATCATAGATGTATTCGAAGCATTCCTCGTATATCCTGGAACACCCGAGTGAACAACGCTGTTATTAGAAATCGGGTGCTAGGTAAGAACGGCAGATCAATAGACGCAGTAGTGACACTTCATCAGTTGAGGTGGTTGGGACATGTCTTGCGTATGCCTAACCGCCGAATGCCTCGTCGAGCTATGTTTTGTAGTGTAGGAGGAGTAGGTTGGAAGAAAGTTAGGGGCGGCCAAACCAAAACATGGCAGAAATCCATGAAGTCATTGACGAATGGACTTAGCCATGTCGGTAATTGTCGACTACCTGGTTGGGGTCCGCGAGATGATAATCGATGGGTAGAGACCTTGAATGACATGGCTCAAAATCTTTGAAATGGTGCCGGTGCATTTATTCTTTGTGTTCTCTCAAATCCTAATCTTCAACACCTCTAGCTTTTACTTTCTAAACTTATCTCATTGAATCACACTTCGTGAATAATATCTTCTAATTCTAACGTCTACGATTACTTCTAATACCTTTACTACCTCTTCTACTATTGGATTTGAATTATCAATTACATCTCTGTGCTAATGTGGTATGGCGACATGAACTGATGTACTTACGTACGAAGTTCTACGTTGCATTTGACTGACTGACTAAATTGAACTCATTATTTTTGTCTTTCATTCATTCATTCATTTATTCATTCATCGATTGATTATTGTCTCAATTTTGCTGGAAAGTTAGTTAGACAAATAGACAAATAGACAAAAAACGCGCATATTTTTTTTAAGTGCATATTTCATGTGTAGGTTTATATTAATTTACAGTCCAACTATTGATTGCATCATCCATCATCATCATGGTTACCATTTTTTTTAAATCACAATAATCACAATGTGCAGCATTCTAAGAGAACTAACTGATTGATTATACACCAAATATTTATATTGATGGTTTTTTTTACAAAAATGTGTGTAACTTTTAACAATCTTCACAACAACCCCCCCCCACGTAATACAAATTACCTGTGCTCACACTAGTGAGTGACTAGCTAGCTTGGTGAGGAGTCTTCTTTCGAGTTCTAGTGAGTGGGAAGCACGTGACCAGTGAAATTCAACTTTTGTTCGGGTGTAGACAGTAACTACTACCGAAGACTGTGTATGAGGTTGAGTAACTCCATGAATTGATCGAAGTTAGGCGTCCACACACAATACCGAAGGTCCTGGGTTCGAATCCTGCGAGGTGCAGGAGTCATGGATGCGCACTGCCACTGATGAGTCCCATATAAGGACGAAACAGTCATCTTTCATTGCTTTCAGGTTTCTCCAATAGTAGTGTAGTGAAGGAGAACACAGGTGAGGACAACCAAATTGTATTTAACGAAAATTACAGAGTTACTCAGTAAAATTGGAAAGCCATATCGTAAATCGTTCATTTGCAAAATATCAGTTCATCATATCGAACTGGACTGTTCCTGTTGCAAAACATCAATCCATTGTCACTACTATTCATGCATTTCATACAAATTCCATTGTGTTCTAACTCTTCCTTTCTCTTGATCTTCCCCCATCTTCTGCTGCCAGACATTACGTTTACACTCACATCATATACTACTTATAAGTAGCTCACACCATAGTAGTCTAACATTGACCTATTCATGGTTTCAGAAAATGTGTAACTTTTAACAATCATCACAACCCCGTTCGTTATATATATATATATATATATATATATATATATATATATATATATATATATATATATCAATCATACAATGAATTATATATAAACTTACAGAAGTTTTAAATGCAATTGTCGGTATCTCTAAAGGTAATGTACGACAATAAGCAAAATCTTTATTATCAATAATTGTATAATTTCCTTTTAATCGATGATACCAAGTGGATTTTAATCTTGTCAATGAATTAATTGGAGTACAATTGATTGACTGATATAACAGAGAGAAAAAATAAAGCAAGATTAGACAAATTAAGGATACTAAGAAGAAATATATACAATAAATTTGATGAGTTGTATGAAGTGAATATTATATATTGAAATAATAATTCTAAGAGTTGACAGTTTCTGGATTTGATCAATTTACTGTTGTGTTATACTCCGTATGTCGGATCCGATGGCTAGACATTATATCAGCAACAACCTACAGTGGAGGAGCAAAATCAGGAAGAAGTGGTGGAAATGGGTAGGACACACACAGCGGAAAGCACCCAACTACGTCGTCACAAGATAAAGCCCTCACTTGGAACCTTCAAGGTAAAAGGAAAACAGGAAGGTCAAGTGTTAGTTGGACATAGATGGAATTAAAGCACGACTACGTTGCTGCGCGCTGATTGGCTAAATTCCTATCCAATCAGCGCCTGATCGAAGCTTAGAGAACAGGATAGTAAATTCTCGTATTATTAGCTGCATGCTGATTGGTTAAATCTAATCCAGTCGGTCACGTGAATTTTCTTCCAGAAGCGTTCTCATGTAAAGGCTATAAGATAGACCGGCGTTCTATTTATTTTTGCCTTCTTTGCCTTGGCTTTCGCCATCACCTCCGGCTTCTTATTCTTTACTATTTTGGAATATAATCTTTCCTGTTCAACCGTGTTTTGATTTTTGGGGACTTGTCCAGTGTTTTGTGTCAAGAATACTAAGCAATAAGACTTAGCCGGGAATTATCTTAAGCAAGCGTTACAACACCAAGGAACACATTACGTTGAGAAATGGAGAAAGATATGAGAAGAATGAACAAAAATTGGACAGAATTGAAAAGAGAAGCCCAAAGATAGATTAGGTTGGAGAATACTGGTCGGCGGACTATGCTCCATTGGGCGGTAACAGGCGTAAGTAAGTAACTAATGGAATTCCTAATTCATATGTTTCATTCATTTTAAGGTTTCTCGAGTACTTTCAGTTGACAAATCATTAACCGATGTTTTAGTCTACGGCAGAAAACGTAATTAGTTTAAAACACAACTGAATAACCACCTCTAACTAAGAATTCCTTGTACAGAGTGATATAACGATGATTGGTGAACATTCACTTACTAGAACAAAATGGTAATCATCGCATCGATCTGGATATATTTAATAGATCTTTAAGTCAGGAGTTGGAAATTATTGACAACTTACTGACTGAGATCGGCTACCCCATGTGCTGTTGTTCCGAACTAATATTATTCAGATTAAGAAAATCAACTTTGGTTTTTTGATATACATAGTCAGTCAGTTACAACATAGAACTTCGTACGTACGAACATAAGTTCAGGTCTCAATACCACATTAGCACATTGTCAGTTCAAATTCCATAACAGTAGAGGTATTAAAAGTATTAGCGGTAATCCGACAGATTAGGGTTCGAGGATATTATTCAAGAAGTATAATTCAGTGAAATGAACTTAAGAAGAAAAAGATAAAAGTGATGAAGAACTCAGAAAGTTAGGATTTGAGAGAACACAAAGAATTGATGTACCTGAGCCATTGCAAACGGTTTTGAGCCATGTCGTTCGTCTCTTGGACTCTGACCAGGTAGACTACATCTACCAACATGACTAAGTTCACTTGTCAGTGACCTCAAATATTTCTCCCATGTTTTGGTTTGGCCGCACCTACCTTTTTTCCATCCTGGTCGTACACCACAAAAGATAGCTCGTCGAGACAGTCTGTGGGTAGGTATACGCAACACATGTCTCAACCAACTCAACCGATGAAGTTTCAATGCTTCATCTATTGATCTGCCATCCTTACCTAGTAATCGTTTTCTAACGATACCATTGCTTACTCGATTGTCCCAGTATATACGAGCAAAGCTTCGAAAACCAGTAACCTACAAATATCTTACACACTGACTGGCCATGTTTCGTAGAACGGAGAGAACTACTGCACAGTAGTAGACCTAACTTTTGGTTAATTTGTCATAACTCTCACTAGTATGAGCATCTACGAATGTAAACTGTGAATCGAATAGACAAGTTATGTGCAACGGTTTCACACACACAAAAAAAATAAACCACACAACTAAACTGAAAAATTAAGAAACAGCCAATTATCGTTGTACATAACTACACACACACACACACACACTACACATAGGAAACATGTGAACAAATAACCAAAATATGTGTTCTGTTTTATGTGTACGCGTCTATTGACTGACAGCCAAATTCTTACATATTATTAATGTATTTATACATATTTATATATAAAATGAAGAAACTACACATAGCGCGCTCATCAACTTGTGATCGATCAATTTTTGGATAAGAGTGATAATTTTTTTCTAACTTATTGTCATTAGTATTACGATTATTATTATTATGCATGTAACTGTCATAGGATAGTAAAATTAATTTACTTAAAATAGAATTTTTGATTCAAAAATAGTATTTCGTAAGATGAATTAATCAAATAATGAGTTCCAGTTAGAAATGTTACAATGACTCTAATGACTACATGTCTCTGCAGGACTACACCTAAAATCGATCAACTTATATCAATTTTGTACGCTGTCAGTCAATTTGGTCTCTCGTGCTGTTATGGGTATGAGGGCGGTTGTCACTTCCCGGCTGCCCACACCGTGGAAGGTTGTTTCTTGAAGGACCTGAAAAGGAAGATAGATTAGTGTTGGTCTTGGAGACCTGTGAGCGTGACCGCACAACCCAAGGGACAAATGCTTGAGGCCGGTCACGCACGGCCTTTTTATGGAGGTTTTTTCGAGTATTAGCTCTGCTCTTGAAAGCCTTTAGTAAGCTTCCTAACCTTCGGAGACGTAAATCCGTGAGTTCTGTTGAGGTGTGACATTTTTAGGGTTGACCATTTCTAACAATTCCTTCCTTGTGAGAAGGCAGCATCGCTGCAGATGCTGGTTATCCGAGGGAAACACTTTACTGCTGTCACATTCCTATACAGTGAGCAGTACGACTTCGCCCTCAGAACTTGGGTAGCTGCTTTTAGTCTCATCGTTCTCCAATCGACCAGCCTGGCATGGTAGGACCTGCAGGAACATATGTTCCAGCCAGTATAGCTCGGTTGGGTCATCACGATAGGCAAGCCCGACCACCACGTCAAGGTTGCTGCTACGGTCGCGTTGTACGCTGTGGGATAATAGGCTGTACAATTGTTTAGGCTATATTTTGATGACAGTATGGTCATATTACATGTTATGAGATAGTGGATTCTTTTCTGTCTAAAGCAATTTGTGTAACATAATTCAATAACGCTTTGAATACAGTAAATAACTTAAATCTATGATATCATATATATCAGCTGGATGCAGCTGTACGATCTTCGCAACTTCGCAAATGATCTCACACGCAACAACAACAAATGCAGCAGTAGGTCTCAACATACACAAGGGCAAAAGAAAGATTCTCCAATACAATATAACATGCACCAACTACATCACACTTGACGGAGAAACTTTGGAGGATTTAGAAAGCTTTACATTATCTAGGTAGCATCATTGATGAGCAAGGTGGATCTGATGCAGATGTCAAGGCACGGATGGACAGAGAAAGGGCAGCATTTTTTTTTACTGGAGAACGTCTAGAATTCAAAACAACTACCAACAAACACCAAAGACACAATATTCAATGTCAAGACAGTTCTACTGAATGGGGCGAAAATTTGGAGAACCACGAAAGCCATCATTCAGAAGATACAAGTGTTTATTAACAGTTGTCTACGCGAAACATTTCGGATTCGTTGGCTAGACACTGTCAGCATTAAATTTACTGTGGAAGAAAACAAACCAGATTCCAGCGGAGAAGGAAATCAGGAAGAAGCAGTGGAAGTGGATAGGACACACTGCGAAAAGCACCCAACTGCTTTACAAGACAAGCCCTCATTTGGGACCCTCAAGGTCGAAAGAAAAGATGAAGGCCAAGAAACACATTACGTTGAGAAATGAAGACAGATATGAGAAGAATGAACAGCAGTTGGATAGACCTGGAATGGTAGGCCCAGGACAGAGTTGGTTAGATAATGATAGTCGGCAGCTTATGCTTCATTGGGAGTAACAGGCGTAAGCAATTAAGTAGTGATATTGTATATGTTACTAATAGTAGTTGATTGCCACAGATTGCAAACGTGAAGAAAAATGAAAGAATAACACTCTCTCACTTCATAACGTAAATAGAAGTGAGAATAAATAAAACGTGATTCCATGATATCAATAGACAACAGTATTGAAGTAAACGAGATAAAGAGTTTATGAAGTTTGTGTTTATTGAATTGCCTCATCAGTGTTATTTTCTGTTTAAACAAATGAACATTGGTGGAAAAGGGGCACCAAAAATGTGCCGCACACACACGTGTTCTAACCTACAAGGTAGTAGTACGTGGATCAACCTTAGACGCAGTTCTGTGGTAGCTGGTGACTAACAAAAGGTTTGTGGACCATTCGTTCCACTAGGAGCTCATATGCATCATTGATTACGAATGATGGTTTTTCAACTACAATGGCAGGTGTTGGATTTCTAAAACAAGTCCCTATACTCTCGCACACAGAATATTAGCAGGCTATAGTTAAAACAAGCCAACAATTATAATCTGTAGTAGTCGGTTAATCACTCCCAAAGAGAACAGTAAACACACACACATACCGAATAGTAGTAGGGATATAACAAAATGAATCAATAATCAAGGCTTAGTCATGTTTACATAACTAATACAATCTCATGCTTGACAGTTAAATAAGAAAGGTTAAAGTAATAATCAGTCTGGGACTATATAAGTTTTAAGTGATGGGTTTTGAACTTGAATATGATTGGCCGGTCCACCCTTATCGATCGAGATCAGCACTATTTAGCCTACCTAGGTTTCTTTTTGTTCTTGAGGAATCCAAGTCACGAGTTGCTTTATGATATAGGCTTGATGACTTTTACTATGTGTGTTGATTCGTCTCCTCCATCTCTTCCTAATTTCTTCTTTCGCTGAAACCACGCCACTTTCATTCGTCTACATTTCTTGAATCTCCATTCACATTATTCTTCCCATGAAAAATCGTATCAAAATTTGTCAAGTTCATTCTACAGTACTAAACTTACACATTTGAAATCATCAATTAATCATTGTTAGACAACCATTAGAGAAACCCGGAAGCACTGAAAGATGGCCGTTTCGTCCTGGTATGGGACTACTCATCAGCAGTGCGCATCCTCGACTCCGGCACTTCGCAAGATTCGAACCCAGGACCTTCGGTATTGTTCGAGAACGTCCAGCCTTTGGACCACTGGGCCTGCATCCAACGGTGTTAATGTCTAACTCGGATTGATCTAGGGATTTTGTGCGACCTCACCAATTTGTCTTTGGTAGTTACTGCCTACACCCGACAGGGTTGAACTCCATTGGTCACGTCTTCTCACTAGAACTCCGAGAATTTCCTCACGAAGTTGCTAGTCACTAGTGAGCACATTTTACGATATTTTCAATGAGAGTTATGTATATTAGTGTTTTTACACATTTTAATCCTGCGAGGTGCAGTAGTCGTGGATGCGCACTGCTAATGAGTCCTGTACCAAGACGAAACGGTCGTGTCTTTCAATGCTTCCAGGTTTCTAATGGTAGTGTCTAACATTGATCGATTCATGATTTCAAAATGTCACTCAACAATCTCCACAACCCCATAATGCAAATAATATAACTATCAATGAATGGAATTTTTAAAATAAAGAGTCTCACATTGTTGACAGTTGTCTTAGACATAAAGTTTTAATTACAATTAGACGAGCAGTAGGTATTGGTTCTCATTCAAAAATACTCTTCAGTGTTCTATTCTATGAGATATGTTCTTTGAAAGAATTACACAAAGTTATACTACGTAACGATGCTGATGTTCAGTGTAAACTCGGTAATATTTCTTAGGACCCATCTAATGCTACATTGTTAAGAACATCTCTCTAAAATCCAGCTTTACTAATGAGACAGTGGGTAGGGAGGACCCACTGTTGATTTCCGTCGATAAGAGTGAGTTAAACACTCACCACTTAATTAAGAATCAGGAAATTAATTGCATCCGTAATATAAACATGATTAACCCTTTGTTAGTGACTGATTTTGCTGTGTGTCCCAGTTACTGTTCGGTATGTGTGTGCTTACTGTTCTTATCTTAGCTGACTAGTATCTTCTAGGTTTGTATAAATTCACATTTTAGGAACAGATTATAAATGTTGGCTCAATACATAGTTGGAAACCACTTAGACTTTTACTTAAGAATGAAAAAAGTCAAGGGCACATTGTAGCAGTACCTAGAAAAAACAGTTAGACAGTCTTACAAGTGATGTTCACTCTGAGGTAGCTTGGAATGATATCCAAAAAGCTTTGGAAACAGCAGTGATATCTGCCAGTAATTTCAATAATTGTAATCACAAAATATTGCGAATTACCTGGAAGATGGATAGATAATACAAGCAACACGAGCGAATACACTAATCCCTTATTTATTTTACACTTAAATTTTCATGGTTCTTACACACCGACTGTTTAGATCCTTCCATTGATACTTTAAGGACTACAACTGATCAGTAGTCTCTTTTAACAGATGCGTGTAGCTAAGAGGAGTCCTGAATAAGACGAAACGCACATACTGGATTCCACTAGTAGCCACCACTATTCGTCTCAACTTATAACTCTGTCATCAGTCAGTCAGTCAGATGCAACGTAGAAGTTCGTACGTAAGTACATCAGTTCATGCTGCCATAAAATCACATCAGCACAGAGATGTAATTGTCAATTCAAATCCAATAGTAGTAGAGGTAGTAAAGGTATTAGAAGTAATCGGAGAGGTTAGGATTGGAAGATATTATTTAAGAAGTATGATTCATTGAGGTAAGGTTGAGCAAAACTAGATGTGTTGAAGAATCCAGAAGATTAGGATTTGAGAGAACACAAAGAAAATAAATACACCAACGCCATTGCAAACGATTTTGAGCCATGTCATTCAAGGTCTCTAACCATCGATTATTATGATCTCGTGGACCCCAACCAAGGTAGTCGACAACTACCGACATGGCTCAGTCCACTCGTCAATGACTTCATGGATTTCTGCCATGGTTTGGTTTGGCCGACCCTAACTTTCTTCCAACTTACTCCCACACCATAAAACATACCTCGTCGAGGCAGTCGGTGGTTAGCCATACGTAACACATGTCTCAACCACCTCAACTGATGAAGTTTCCACACTTCATCTATTGATCTTCCATTCTTACCTAGCATCCGTTTCCTAATAACAGCGTTGCTCACTCGGGTGTCCCAAGATATACGAGCAATGCTTCGAAGACACCTATGATCGAAAACCAATAACCGACGAATATCTTCTACTCTTACTGGCCATGTTCCACAGCCAGTCATCAGTAATTAATAATAGCAATAATAATAATAATAATAATAATAATAATAATAATAATAACCATTATACACAAAACATTACATTGATAAACACAAAAACTACTTACAAGATTATGCTTTTTAGCAATAGGATTCATTTTCAAGCTTTGATGAAAGCTATTGTAATGATTTTCACAGCTTCTATTTACAGATAATTTTTGATGTGAATTATTAAGATGATTATTCATAATTTGTTGTTGACTATTGAATAATGTTTTCAAATGAGTAATAACATTATCATTATTATTATTATTACTATTATTATTATTATTACTATTACTAGTTACATATTCATTCGTTAATAAATATCCAGTCGATTGACGAACATGTGAAATTCTTGCCGTTAACAAATTCATAAATATATTTAAATTATTTTTAATAGTTTTACGTAATATATTTAAATCTTGTGAAATAATTGATGAGATTTTCATTAATTTCAATTGGTCATAATTAATTTGAAATGTGTACACTTCAAAATCTGTAGTCAATATGAAAAGACGTGTTGGTATATGTGGCAGCGTTTTACTAGCATATAACCAACGTTTTTTAAAATTTAATTTCAGCCCATTCATTGAACGTAACCAAACATTGTGGATTGGATCAAATTTATAAATACGATCACGTCGATCTTGTATGAGGAGACAATCGATTTTACCGAAACCTATACAACCGGGACGATTTGATAACCATGCATGATAGAAATATGGTTCTGTACGATGTAGTGTTTGTGATAGTAATTGACTGTTAAAAATAAAGAAACAAACAAAACATAATTGTGTTGATAATCACACATATATTACATAAACAGTTATCGTTATCCGACCATTTATTATTAGTAGTAGTGGTAGTGTGGTGCGAGCTACTTATAAGTAGTATATGACGTGAGTGCCAACGTAACGTCTGGTAGCAGAAGATGAGGGAAGATCAAGAAAGGAAGATTTAGAACACAATGGAATTTGTATGAAACGCATGAATAGTAGTGACAATGGATTGATGTTTTGCAACAGGAACAGTCCAGTTCGATATGATGGACTGATATTTTGCAAATGAACGATTTACGATATGGTTTTCCAATATTACTGAGTAACTCTGTAATTTTCGTTAAATACAATTCGGTTGCCCCACCTGTGTTCTCATTCACTACAGTAGTATCGTTGCATTGTGGAATGACAAACCCTGATGTTAGGATATTCCATCAAAAATCCTAACAGAACTATTTTTGGAAGTTTAATTCTATTGGTCGATTCCTATTGGTCAATATTATGATCGTCCTAATTATTAAGGTCATATATACTTCAATGTTGTCTCCTATTGGTCGTACTAACTCAATATCACAGACTTTCATGTTGTTTCTTATTTCACTTAACTGTATAAATATGTATGATCTGTAAAGCTTTTCACTCAAAGTTATTCCTTCCTTCATCTCTTCTGTACTCGATCCCATAAACAACCTCATCTAACTATGTTGTGTTCTGATATATATATTTAAGATTTGGGAACAGTTTTTAGGGTTGTATTGGAATATCTGAATTTGGTCAATCGGTAGGATTTCGAATGGCTACTTAGCGTCATTATAACACCTGATTAAAATCAACTATTTTTATACTAAAAAGATGAACTATTCTCTTTTCGTTTTAGACTGCTTTTACAATGGATCTGTAGCAAATGACTAACCATTACAAATTATGGAGGATTGGATATATAGTTGTGTCATCCTAATATAGGATTATTTCATCATGATGTGTGATATCCAAGGATAGACAGACAGACAGATACAACGCAGAACTTCGTACGTACGTAAGTACATCAGTTCAGGTTACCATACCACGTCAGCACAGAGACGTAACTGTCAATTGAAATCCAATAGTGAAAGCGATAGTAGAAGTATTAGCAGTAATGGAGAAGATTAGGGAACGAAGATATGATTCGAAACGTATAATTCAGTGAGATAAATTTAGAAAGAGAAAGATAGAGATGATGAGAAATTCAGAAGATTAGGATTTGACAGCAGACAAAGAGTAAAGGCAACTGCGTCATTGCAAACGATTCTGAGCCATGTCGTTCAAGGTCTCTAACCATTGGTGACCTTCGTCTCGCGGACCCCAACCAGGTAACCAGCGCCTACATCTACCAACATGACTCAGTCCACTAATGTCCAAGGTGTGAACGTAATACATGCAAACTCCCCCAAACTTGAAGAAGTGAGAGTGGAAGAGGAAGTCTATTTGGTTGCCGAATGATATATACATAATGCTTGTGAGTCTGTAGATATAATTATATTTCACCGCCTTAAAAAATAAATCCATTTCTTGACCAATGACATGCGTGCGTCCTTCAGAACCTTTTTGATGGTCAACAAATGACCTTCCCCGTTTGGTCGCCTTTGATTGGCTCTCTGTATTAGATTCCTTCATATATTTTATTTTTTTTTCTTATGAAATTTATAGATATGTGTAAAACTATGACAATACGTGTTCTAAGCGCTTCATGAATTCTATTAGGTCTCTCCAAATGATTAGGTTATTCATAATGTTTTCAGCATTCACAACTTTCAGTCAGTTTAATTTATTTTTTTAATCAGTATGTTGGGGTTGATCAACGGCAACATATGCAAAAGACTGATGATGATATCTCTAAAACCTAAAAATCAAATCTTTAGCAAAAAAACAAAATCACATTCCAATATAACAGCACCACCACCTACTGAGATAAAAAAATTACTGTTGACAAGTTAACATAATCAATCAATGAAGGAATGTTTATTTACATAAACGTTTCAATGTAGAAAATCAATATGATCCCATGATTAGAGCTTCTACTTAAAATAAAGTGATCACTGAATAGCAATATATATATATATATATATATATATATATATATATATATATAACTTGCATTAGGGGGTTGTGAAGATTGTTAAGTTACACATTTTTGAAACCATGAACCGATCAATGTTAGACCACCATTAGAAACCTGAAAGCACTGGACAGCCGTTTCGTCCTGGTATGGGACTACTCGTCAGCAGTGCGCATCCACGACTCCTGCACCCCGCAGGATTCGAACCCAGGACCTTCGGTATTGTGCTGAGGAGTTCTAAAGATCTCTTTGACCACACATTGACATAACCTAAACAACTATTTATCAAGATGAAAAAGACTTTTTTTGACAAGAATTCATGTCACGAGTGATTCAACTTCAACATCATAAGTACAAGTCACATTGTTAACTGATAGACTTTGCACAGTCTATGTGCTACTAATACAATGTAAGTGTTAAGGTTGATCATCTCAAGTGTTTGATTTGTAATTGAGGCTATGTATCACTCAATATATTGATGTGTGGGATAGTGAAAGTAAAATGTGAATGGTTATCGAGTGTGGACAAACAGGCACCTAGCCACAACTCACTATTTAGGGTGATTTCATTTCCTTTTATAGATTTCTTTACTCTAAGCTTCACTGTGACTGATTGTACTTGAGGTTGTGGAGCAAAATATTGTCTGTCGCTTTCTCTGGTTCTCTACATCGGTTGAGAATTGTGTATCTAGTCCCGGTGTTAGTACGCCGTTCGAGTATCTACCCGTTGTATATCTGGAAACTCATTATATCATAAGTATACTACTAGAAGGCAAGATAATCTGTTGATTTCCGGTTATTTCGCTCGCATAAATGTGGAAAAGAACAAACCAGATTCCAGACGAGGAGAGTATCAGAAAGAAACGGTGGAAATGGATAGGACACATTGCGGAAAGCACCCAACTGCTTCACAAAACAAGCCCCCACTTGGAATCCTCAGGGCCAACGGGAAAGAGGAAGGCAAAGAAACACATTACGCCAACAAATGGAAACAGATATGAGAGGAATGAACAAAAATTGAACAGAACTGGAAAGGGAAGTCCAAAATAGAGAAGGTTGGGAAACACTGGTCGGTGGTTTAAGCTTCATCAGCGGTAACAGGCGTAAGTAAGTAGGTAAGTCGCTCGGGAAAAAACAACACCAGTATGCAAGTGAATTCAACAAGTTAGTCTCAAAGCAACTATACAAAAATGTACACATTACTAATTTCCAAGATACAATTTCATATGTACATATATATATATATATATATATATATATATATATATATAATTATATACAAGTCAGCCAGTCAGATGCAAAGTAGAACTTCGTACGTAAATACATCAATTCATGTTGCCATACCACATTAGCACAGGTAGATCGAATTGTCAATTCAAATCCAATAGTAAAAGAGGTAGTAAAGGCATTAAAAGTGATCGGAGAGGTTAAGATTAAAAGATATTATTATTCAAGAAGTATGATTCAGTGAGAAAAGTTTAGAAAGACAAAACTAGGAGTATTGAAGAATCCAGAAGATTAGGATTTGAGAGAACACAAAGAATAAATGCACTGGCGCCATGTCATTGAGGGTTTCTAAACATCGATTACTATCATCTCGCGGACCCCAACAAGGTAGTCGAAACCTACCGACATGACTCAGTTCAGTTGTCAATGACTTTATGGATTTCTGCCATGTTTTCGTCTGGCCACCCCTAACTTTCTTCCAACCTACTCCCTCCTACACTACAAAACAAAGCTCGTCAAGGCAGTCAATGGTTACAGGCATACACAACACATGTCCCAACCAACCACACAAACAAACAAACAACACAACTCACATTAAGAATCCATATATAAATTCGAATCATAAATACGGAAAAAAATAAAAACAACTTTACGCCTATCAATAAATAGGATTGTAATAAACACTTGAATTATTGACAATCACATGCTTTAAACTAATTAGTCATTCATATCTTATTTTATACAAAAACAAAGAAACAGACCATTATATATGATGTCATTGATTAAATAATTGATTAAACAGTAATTAGTTTCTAAATAATCATTCACTCAGTCACTTCTATAATTATAATACAAAATGTAAGAAAAAGAAAGTAAAGTAAACTTGATGTTGATTTTGATTTTACAATACAATACAATACAATGAATTAGTTAATTAATTAACTAACTAATTAATAATAATAATAATTAATAATGATAATCATCATTCTATAGGGCGGTTAAAAGTATGCTAAAAAAATTGATAATTTTTACTCTAAAAGCATTGCAATGAAGTCAAGTCACAAGAGAGAGAGAGAGAGAGATACAGAGAAAAGAGAAACTATTTATAGAAAATAATTTCGTTTAGTGTTGTTGTTTTAAGATTAACAAACACAGCTGCTATACACTGTATTAATTTTATTATTTTTTTTTATTGAAATACAAAAACAAACAAACAGAGAAATGTTTGTAAATGTTGAAAGAATAATCAATGAACTAACTAACGAACTAATTAACTAACTAACCGATTTAAGTCATTTGTATTAAAGTAGTCGAGTGTGTTGATCGCGCTTCACCTGCCTGGGGAGTTTCATCAGTAGTACTGATGGCCTGGTGTGTGTGTGACGAAATTTCAGCATGGGTACAGAAGGCTTGGTTGACTTTTGTCAACCTGCGTCACTTATGGCGTAGGTGAGAAATTCGTTTGTTGACTAAAGGACGAGTGTACTGTGCAGTAGTTCGCTCCGTCTTACTTTGTGGCTGTGAAACATGGCCAGTGAGAGTAGAAGATATTCGTAGGTTACGATTGTAGATGTCTTCGAAGAATTGCTCGTACATCCTAGGACTACCGAGTGAGCAATGCTGTTATTAGGAATCGGGTGCTTGGTAAGCCTGGCAAAT